TTCCCAGTTATTGGCTGTCGTGCGCCGAGTTCCCCGTCAACCAGAATGGAAAAGTGGATTTCCGGGCCATTCGTCGACTTGCTGAAGGTACTGAGGTTAGCAAGATGTTGGGCCACAGTACCTCACCGAAAGACGCTGCTACCGCTGGCTTGAGCGAGACTGCCGCGAAGATTGCGCAGGTTTGGGCAGAAGTGTTGAATCTGCCCGCGTCCTCTATCACGCCCTCGGATTCCCTGGTGGCACTGGGAGGAACCTCCATTGACGCAATCCGCGCGATTCGTGAACTAAAGCAACGCGGAATTCACGTCGAGTTGGCGGATATGCTTCAGGCACAGACGGTCGAGGAAATTGCGGATACGGTCCAACTGGACTCGACTGAAACTCACGATAGCAATGAGCCAGCCGCGCCTTTCGATTACATCTCTGATGCAGCACTTAAGGCGGACTTCCTTGCCGACCGTCGTGTTGTCGATGCTTATCCTGTCACCGCACTGCAGGAAGGCATCCTGGCCAGCACGCTCCAAGGCAGCCAGGACTATCTCTACCAACGCGTTTTTGACATTCGCCATCTCGACCTTGTACGACTTCAGCTGGCATTCCAAGTCGTCTTCTGGCGCACGGAAATCCTCAAATCCACCTTTGTCACTGCGGCCAAGGGCTTCGCTCAGGTCGTGCGCAATGACTTCAACCTACCTTGGTCGGAGGTGTCTATGAGCCTCCCTGAGTATCTGGAACAGGACAAAAACAGAGGCGTCACACTGGGCGAACCATTCATCCGTGTCGCCGTCCTCGACAGAAGCATTCTCGTCGTCTCGGTTCATCATGCCCTCTTCGACTTCTGGTCTCACAGATTCCTTTTCGACGATGTCGCTCGTGTATATTACGGCCGTCGTCCCGAGAAGCGCCCGGAGTGGAAATCTTTCGTGGCCCTTCTGCACACACGAGACACAAAGCAATCCCATGACTTCTGGAGAGAACATCTCGGCGAGGCGGTGCCAACAGTCCTCAATTATGCTCCTGTGACAAAAACATCCACAGCCAGGCGCACTGTCAGCCAGCAGGTCAAGGCCGCATCATCGGCTTTGCGCGCTCCTCTGGGTGCCATTATCCATGCGGCGTGGGCTCTCGTCCTCTCCTCCCACATCGCTTCCAAGTCTGTGACAATGGCAACGGCTGTTTCCGGTCGCGAGCTGCCTGTTCCAGGGATTGAGGCCCTGAACGGACCCACGCTGGCTGTCGTACCCTATGCCGTCGCAATCGATCCAGAACAGACCCTTCAGCAGCTGGTGCAGTCAGTCAACACCAGTCTCTGGAAGGTCATCAAGCATTCCCAGGTCGGAGTGCGGAATGCGCTGGCCGCCGCTGAGCGCCAGGGTGCTACTCTCTTCGACACTATGGTCAATATCCTCGTAAGCGAAAAGGGCAACGATGATATTTCCAAGGAGGTGTTCCAGCTCTACGGTCGCCGACCAGTATGGAGAACCGAGTACACGACTCTGAACGTTGAGGACGGCGCTACAGGTATCGACGTCACGCTCACTTCGCCAATGGAAGAGCGCCGTTTGGAGTTCATTCTCGAGCAGTTTTGCATGGCACTGAATCTCATTACATCCAATCCTCGACAGACAGTCAAGGCGACGAACCTGGTCAGCGCAACAGAGCTAGAGTTCATGCTTCAGCCACACAAGAACTTGCCTGATGCCAGTCGCACGTTGCACGGCCAATTCGAAGCCACGGTCCGCACATACCCCGACCGGACTGCGATCAACTACCAAAACGAGCTGTTCCTTACGTATGCTGAGTTGGATACCGAGGCGAACCGCATGGCACACTATCTTTCCGAGCGCGGGGTGGTGCCAGGTGACATCGTCCCTCTTCTCCTAGAGAAGTCGCCGTTGATGATGAAGGCCATTCTCGGGCTGTTCAAGCTCGGCGGTGCTTACGTACCTTTGAGTCCTGAGAACCCCTTGGAAAGGAACGCGTACATTGCTCGCGACGTCAGCGCCAAGTTTGTCCTCACGGAGAAGGAACATGAATCTTACTTTGCCTCGGAAAGCGATATTCCTAGCATTCTCCTGGACCAGGTCAACCTTTCCCCATATGGCCCCGAGCCACAGCAACTCACTGTCTCTCCGGATGCCATCGCCTACCTCCTCTACACCTCTGGAAGTACTGGTCTTCCAAAGGGTGTCATGGTGACACATGGCGCTTGTGCAGCTGCCATGCAATCGATTATCGAGTTTGAGCATCGCCAGGGCCAGGAGTCGAGGATGCTGCAGTTCTCCAACTACGTCTTTGACGTCTCACTGTACGACTTCTTCGTAGCCCTGCACAGCGGCGGCACTCTGTGCATTGCACCCTCGGAGCGCCTGCTGAACAACCTTGCCGAGGTTATCAACGAGATGAACGTCAACCATGTTTTCCTTACTCCGACAGTGGCTCGACTGCTGAATCCCAAGGACGTCCCCAACCTGGAGTCCATGACTGTCGGCGGTGAACAGCTGACCCGTGACGTGGTAACAACATGGGCCTCGCGTGTGAATCTTCGCAATGGCTACGGGCCAACTGAGGCCTCCGTTCTGGTGACGATGAAGGATGTCGATGCTGACACGATCGGAGGCAATATTGGCACGCCTCTCGCGTCTGTGGGTGCCATCGTTCTGGAAGCAGATGGTGTCCGTCCAGTCCCTTACGGTGCTGTCGGAGAGCTGTGCTTCTTCGGGCCACAGCTCGCGCAAGGGTACTTCAAGAAGCCTGATATTACCAATGCCGCCTTTATCGAGAGTGAAGTGCTCAATGGGCAGCGTCTATACCGCAGTGGCGACTTGGCCCGGTATCTGCCAAACGGAGACATTGAGTGTTTGGGCCGTAAGGACGACCAGGTCAAGATTAACGGTCATCGGATCGAGCTCGGAGAGATAGAGCAAGCCTTCCTGCGGACTGGTGAGGTCAAGGACTGTGTGTTGACCGTCTGGAAGCAGAACAGCACTGCGCATCTTGTTGCGGTCGCCGTTTTCGATGGTGCTGCTGCTGAAAAACCGGGCGAGATTCTTCCACTGGAAGGCTTTGCCGAGAACGTGCAGCGCGTCCGAGCCAAGCTCACTGGCCTTACTCCATACATGATTCCAAAGGCAATTGTCCCTCTATCGTCGCTCCCAAGACTTCCATCCGGCAAGGCCAACCGCAAGCAGCTCAAGGCGATGGTGCAGTCGCTGAGTCAGGGCGAACTGACCAAGTTCTCATTTGACAAGATCGGCGCTGCGCAGTCAAAGGGTGCGGTTATCCCTCTGGTCTCTGAGACACAAAAGGTACTGCAACAAGGATGGATCGAAACCCTGCAGCTTCCCGACGATCAATTCGGTTTGGAAGCCGACTTCCTCAGTCTCGGCGGCGATTCCATTGCCGCCATCAATCTCGTCAGCTGGCTCAGACGCAAGCAGCTCAAGATCTCCGTACGAGATGTGCTCAAATACACTGGCCTCGGAGCAATGGCCGACCAGCTGAAGGGCGAGTCGGACAACGCCCAACAGATTCAACAGAAGACCTTCACTCCTCCCTCGGAGGTTGATTCTGCTGTCTCTGCCGCTGGTCTGCAGGCGACTGAGTATGAGTACATCTATCCTTGCCCGCCTGGACAGGCCGAGTTCCTGACCCAGGGTGCGCATCCCGAGGCGTTGTGGAGTCTGATGACAGTCCGGAAGGTCGGCAATGACTTTGAACCAAGGCAATGGATTGACCTGGTTCGACAGCTGGCAACGACCAACGAGATCCTACGCACGACCTTTACTCGCTGTCACGGAAAATGGTATGGTGTTGTTCTCCGCGATGCAACCCCTGTGGTCGAGATCTATGAAGATGTCAGCGACGAGCAGAGACAACAAATTATTAAGACTCTTGACGACCACCGTTTCGTATTTGGCAAGCCCTTCATTCGCTACGCCATTCTCCGTTTGTCGACGGGCGAGACCGAAATTGTCACCAAGCTCGACCATGGCCTGTACGACGGAACGCTTCTCCGCATCTTTGGCGAGCACTTTGAGGCTTACCAAGACAATGTTCCGGTGGAACGCTTCACCCCATTCAAAGACTTTGCATTCCACATCTGGCAGATGGACAAGTCCCGCACGCTGTCGTTCTGGAAGCAATCCGAGAAGCGACCTATTGCCTTCGAATTCCCCAGCGCAAGCGCCACCGAACCGCGCATCAACTCTGTGCATGTACACACCATCAACCTCGAGTTTGACGGATTCGCCAAGTCCACCGGTGCCACTGTCTCTATCATCTTCCAGTCCATCTTCCAACTCTGGCTGGCGCTGCGCAGCAACCAACGCGACGTCGCCTTCGACTACCTCTACACAGGCCGAAACATTGACATGCCCGACCCTCAAACCATCAACGGCACCTGTGCGAATTTCGTTCCCATGCGGTCAAAAGTCGACCCGTCAATGCCTGTGTCGGAATTCCTTCGTCAGACCCAGGATGAATTCTGGCAGTACACCGAAAACAGCACGGTGGGAATGGACGAGATTCATGAAGCCTGTGAGACGACGCGTGAGGGATTCTCGAACAAGACTCTCTTCCTCTTCCAGCCATTTGAGCCGGTCGCCGCGACAGGGAAGCAGTACCAGAGGTGGGTTGTGATGGCCAAGTCCCAGGTGACGATGCCGCAGCCATATGCGGTAGTATTCGAGGTTGTCAAGACAGCGGATGTGAATGAGTATAAGCTCAAGTTTGCCTTTGACAAACGTATTTACGAGAAGGAACAAGTACAGATTGAGACACGGGTGATTGAGAAGTTGTTGGCCAAGGTGATGGAGAATGCGGAGGCGTCCGTGGGAGATGTTCTGGGATCGTTTCGTTCTTGACTGGTCTAAATGATTGTATATAGAATAAAAGTTAATGGAATTCTTTGATTGAGACGAAGTATCTTCCCTTTGATTTGCAGTAACTCTCCTTACATTAAGCTTCCTGGAACTAAATACGCAAACTATTTAAAACCACTAAGACAGACGAGTACAAACCCCATACTCCCTCAGCATCTTCGCCACAACCACAAACCCCCCCACAGCCGGAGCAGCCAGCGGAATGGCAAAGCAAAGCACAAATGCTATCACAATGACAAAAGATTTCTCCGTCGTCGAGAGATCCCGATCCTTTTCTGCCTCACCCTCGAACATACCTAACATCCCAAAATACAGCCAGAGTCCGCCGACAGTTCCAGTCGCCAACCAAGCCATTGTAAATCCCCGCTCAAGATTAGAACTGCTCCCCGCCGAAAACCGTGACAGCGCCCCAACAACTGCAAGCGGGGGGAGCGAAAGGAGAGTTCCCAACCACACTTGGAGTCCAAGATTGTCTTTGTCATTGTCTTTGTTTTGGTCTTCCTTCAAGTTAACATGGTCCAGATCGAGATCTGCGACTTCTCCGACGATCACGGCGCCGTTTGCTTCGGCTTCGTTCATGAGTGAAGTTCGGACCATGTATATGGCGGGGTATTCGGGCGTGGCGCAGGTTGCGAGTAGATTGATAATGGACATGTAGGCGTAGGGAGCGACTGTTAGGCCAAATGCAGCGTATCCGTATTGATCAATTTGGTTGCCGCGTGCGCGGTACAGAGTTATAATTGCCCAGATGGCTTGGGCTAAACTGATAACGGCTTTTGGGATATTGAATGAGGCTGCTAGGTTTCCTATGATTCGTTCTCTTTCTGCTTTGTTCTCCGGCGCATTCTCCGATTTGTTCTCCGAAGTGTTTCCTGCAGCGTTCTGCTGTGTATCCTCGGCTTTATTCTCGGCTGGGATTTCTGCTGTGCTCGCTGCCGCATTCTTCGCCTCTCCTTGCTCAAGGTCTTCCGTCTTCCTCTCCCGGCACGACAACTCAACCGAACCAGGAACATACGCAAGCACATATCCCTCGGGGAGGTGACTTTGACCGTGGACTTTTGCCCGTTCACGAACAAGCGAAAGATTCTTCATCCATTTATACTTGGTCGAATCAATAACTGGATTCTCCCCATTCTCATCCCGGCGCATTTTCACCACCATACACAACGCCATCGCAGCAGCAGCTTGATTCAGCGGGTTTTTCCTTCGAAACACCGGCCGTCTGATGAAGATTTCAACAGCTCGCATGATACCGCTCGATGGCACAAGGAGCGCTGCAATGGCTAAACATATTGTCTCCGTGGTGCTTTGCCCTGGAATGGAGACAATGGTCGTAGCATGGGCGAGATAGTTGGTCAAGAAGAACAAGATGTATTCGTACCATTGCGGAGGCGTACAGAGGAGGTATGGGTCGCCATGACTACTTGAGCCTTCTGGGACGCTGATGGTGATGTTCATGGCCGGTTCTGGGATACGATGAGTTCAAGGGCGGAAAGAGAGGGGAGGTTGCGATTGTTGAGCTATTTCAATTTTCTTCTTTTTTCTTTGTTTTTTCCTTCTCTTCGCGTTTTAGCTCCTACCTCAAGCCACATTCTATACAGCCACGCTTTAGCTGCTGTGACGAGTATAGTTTGCCCGCAATGTCCTTCAAAGTTTCCTAAGCCCAGCATTTTTCCCTCTTCGAGAAATAATTTTACCTCTAGATGTCTATCACGAGTGTGAATAGTACTGCCAGCCAGATACAAGTTTTGTGGTCGTCGTCCATGTTCAAGGCTGCGGCATGGAAAAAGCATGCACCAGTGACCCACGAGATCACCGTGCGTACACTTCGGCCCCCAAACAGCTTCCTGATTAGGCCTCTTGCAAACTCAAATATTTGGAGGGCTTCTGACAAGCAATCACCACCTTCACACTCCATTACGCTAGTCCATACGAGGTTAAGCCTCTCTATGCTTCAAATGGGATTAGATGGAAGCTTCAAGCGACTGGTTTCGGGCCAGCGGTATACCCCAAATAATTCGAGACCGGAATGATGACAACAATTATTGGCAGCACTGATTCAACATTGCTCAGCTGCGTATCTTTACGGCGTGCTTTACTCCAAGATAGGGAACCCCAGGCGATTTGTCCTGCTCCTATCGTCGAATCATCTATACCTTAGAAGCCACTGTCTCTTCCTTCACGCCTGAATTCTTGAAGCCATATTGTAGTTGCTGCATCAAAACGGACCGCCGACGAAGCGCAAGCTAATTGACGGGCCGTTTATACAGCCCTATTTGATCAGGATGGGTTTTAGCTCTACATCACAAGAATACTCTACATCACAGGAAAAAGCTCAAGGCTGCAGCAGGGAAAAGAAGTGGAGAAACTACGGCATTTATTTAGATAAATGCGGGGTTGTATTAAGACTACATTTTAAACCAGACACCCCCACTCATCCATCTCTTCATTGTCCCTCACCACTCACCATACTGTATGGCGTTCTACGTAGAGTCAGTACTATCCCGCCACACCTGTGTTCATCATAAAGATTGCCCAGCACCCAGCACAGCAGTGATGCTGACCGACCGCCCGGACTACGCTCATATGGCACAGTATCGCCATTTTCCCACCCGATAAAAGCGCCTATTCTATGCAATCGCGTGGATGACGAGCGTGCTAGAGTATCGGGCAATCGCGCCGTGAAGGGCCCGTTTGCGTGAAAGCAGGAGCTCAGTGCTTCGGTTTGTTGAACAACAAAAGGATTCGTATTATCGGCTGAGATTGCCTTGGAGAGAGACTGGAGGGCCGTAGCACTGGAGATTGCGCTCACAGGTAGATTGGTCAAGTCGACCTGCAGCCCGACCGGCTCCGACATGATTATGGTCGAAGCTTGAGTAGGATTCTGACGTGGTTATTGGATGCATTTAACTGCAGATTTCTTTTTGCACGAGGCTGAAATTGCCGGGCCAGTAGTGCCAGAATCCCTGTACAGTGCAGTCTGCTAAGAAGGACCCTGACACCACCAGAGTGGCTGATGCGAGGGCCGTGCTGTCAGCCTTCTGACAAGTCGATGCATCACTTGCCATCAAGGAGAAAAATGACAGTTCCAATTTCTACCAGGCAGGCAATGGCACACCTAACGGGCAAAAAAATGCTCTAAAAACATACAACAGCCATACTATGGTAATGCTCACCTAGCGCCCATCATTCAGTGCTGGGCGGCTCACTGCTTTACATAGTTAGCCTAGTGGGTTCAGGTAGCTTCAGGCAGTAGTTCACCCACCTGAACATTCTTCACTTTAGTGGGGTGAATCCCTGCCCTAAAATATATCTTTATACATTTTAATCGAGGGAAAGATTGCATCGTACAGGAGCAGACACTGTGTCCTTACCTTTTAAGGTAGTTGCTGCTAGTTACACTTATCCTTTTCTACTTCCCTTCCACTTCACTTCTACCCCAACATTCTAAACGTGGAGCAGTTATTGTCAACATAGATGTTGGTCAAACTCGTTTACCCGACTGGATCCGTAGACTTGGAAGGGTGGTGGTCCATACAAGATACTGATCATATGCTTGACAATCTTGAGCAACATGCATGATCCTGGTCATTCATTATTGAAGAGCAACCCTATGTCCGATCGTAATGCTAGAAAATGGCTGAGCTGAATGAAATGCTAAAGTTATTTCGCCCAACCACCCATAAAGTTGTTATCAATTCATAGCCTGAAGGTACATTTTTGGTACGAGATACTCTCTTTTCTCAGGGAAATACGCAAAAACTGTAAAATAGTCAGTCGATCTCAAGCTGAACATGTCTGGAATTGGGCTGGTAAAGATTGCTCACATTTGGCAAATTTATCTTCTACTCCGTCGAGTTCAAGATCCGCAATCTGCTTGTTGAAATCATCAAGATCGAACCTGCTCATATTACGTGCGATCTTAAAGTATAACCATAATCGCTCAACCGGAAACTCCATGAAGAAAGCTTGCGAAGAGAGTCGAACGAAGCTTTTGTCCTCATTGCTTAGGCAAGAGTTGTTGAGAATAACATCCACCTTGATCCTTAACAGCAACATGAGACTAGCTTGATGAACATCGTTCCAAAAGGTCTTTCGGGTTGCTCCTACCCAGCGAACTGTGAGTATGACGATGATTAGGTGAGCAAAACGGCTTACATACCTGGTTTCAAAAGCGAATAGACTTGAGGAATGAAAGATTTGGCTTCCTCGCTTTGCAAAAGCTCTATTGCAATCCTGGCGGCAACAAAAAGCGACATATGCATTTGGGAAGATTGGAGACCAGGATGGAGGTGGTGGATTCTGCAAACGGTAGAACCGCCGAGATGACGCACAACATTTTCAAGTGTAGTCAAATATAGACGACGCTCATCAAACGGATCGCTTAGAGAATTCTTCATGCCGAGGGTCTCATCTTCAAGGTATCTCTCTATGCTGGTTCTGAGCGATGCCTGTGAATGATACACAATTGAGGAGGTGTTATATGCTTCTTCCAGAAGAAGGTTGTTGATGATTGTCATATGGCTCGACGAAAGTTTGAAGCATTTAAAGTGAAATCGGTCGTTGGCGTGTAAAGAAGCTGTTGAAGTAATGTGTGGTTGGATGTAGACAGTCTTGCACTTGCGGATAGGAAGGTCTTGCAAGATTGATCCCGCTTGGTCGGGATAGAGATGTTGAGATCGAACTGCCTCTAGTAGTGTATCCAACACATATCTCGCCGCATCATTCTCCTGGTCCTGGGAGCGAAGCAGATGGCTTCGCAGGACAATCATCAGCCGAGGAGAAAGAGGAGCGAAATTGTGGTATTCGTTATATATATACTGGGACTCTTGAGTCAGAGGGTTTACTGTTTCGGTTGAAGGGCCCTCAAAGATGCAGTAGGCATTTTCAGTAAGAAGGAACTCATCATCCGAGGACATCGGCTCGCAAAAAGCAATGAAACTATGCGTGAGATGCAGAATCATCATCATAGCATCGTCAGGATATATCCGAGTTTTGAGAGTTTTCGTCCAAGTCTTCACGGGATCCATTTCAAGATCTAGAAATTCTCTTAAGTTGTCGAACCACACATCGCGCGGTTTTAAAAAACCTCTTAATCTCATGTAGTTCGACATGCGCTCCCGGTCATCTGCCTTATAGTCGTTGATGTGATCATGATTATACCGGTCGAACATTCCTGAATTTCGATATTTCATGAGAAATAAAAACTTTCGCAATCTGTCAACTTCGATCCGCTTGAGTTCGAGAATTAATCCTTGCGCGAATTGGCTGAATGCACGACGAATAATGTCACTCGCCTGACTTTCAAGATCTGAAAGTTTCTTTTCGAGATGGTAAGGATCCTGATCAAAACCAGGGTCCCGATACATGTCCACGAGGGCAAACTCAGTTGACACGGGCCGCTGAGTTAGAATAGACCTCTTTAGAATAGACCCCTCAAGATCAACCTTGTTCACAAGGAAATCCCGACTTTTTCTGGATTTTGGCCGCTCGCCATGATTATTGCTGCTATAGGCAATAACTGGGCCTGCCGGTGGTTGGTCTTTCGGTCTGAACTGTTTTAATACGAATCGAGGAACAAAATGATGTCTTTGCTGCGAGGTTTTCATCTTTTGTATCTTTGGTCTCCTTCACATCTGCTCTTGCCTACTTAAGTATTAGTTTTTGTTGTAAGCCTTGTCAGCCTTGTCAACATACGCCAACACAGATGGCCGATTAATTTGCGTTATTGACACCGAGCCGCCAAGCCAATTTCGATGATGAATTCTCAGCGCTTATTGATTGGACGAGATTGCGGGTGACGAAGTCTTTGCGAGCGTTAGCGCCGTGCACTGAAGTGGTAGTATACAGCATGCCAGAAGGCCAGGAAATTCTTAGATGTGATAATTGTCTCGGTCGCCATTTCTCATCTGGTAGATTGACTGATTTCACCGGCAGCGGCAAAGTCTGTCAAATCCAGATCGAGGGATCCTCCCGCGCAACTTGAAGCTGAGGGCTATGTCCGTACTCTGCCTATGGTTGCTTGTTCTTCTAAATCCTGAGAAATTCTGGCTTGCTTGATTGAGCTCATCGACAAATAATGTCTGTTAGACTGATCTGGCTTCGCAAATCTCTTCAGAACTACTCTGTTGGAGGCTCCACGGGAGGTCCGGTCGAAGAGTGAGAGGAAGGGAACTCAATAGGAGTCCTAAAATAAGGTGATACAACCTGCTCTAGTATTAAATCACAGAATCGCAGCACCACACCAACATTAACATGATAAGAGCGTAGGTGTGGATTTCATTAAAAGGCACAGAGAGGTGCTGAACAAGGAAATAGGCAATCATAACACTAGTACTAACAATGCCTTTTGCACGTCTAATAGAGAGCATTGTTAACCCATGTATAGTCCCTCTGTCACGAGATGGTTCTTGCCAGACCAGTGTCATCGAAAATCTCGCCATATGGAAGGACTTGACTAATACCCACGAAATGCAGAACCTTCAGGAAAGTCAGCATTGCAGCATTGCGATCAGGTTTTGTCAATTAAAATACCCAAAAGCTACCCAGTGCACAGGGTAAGAGTCGAATGGTCCATTTTCAAGAAATACCACAAGAATCAAGGATAGCTGGAATAGGCCAGCCAGCACACAGTTACTTGTAGACATTTCGGCTTCCCCAAGACCATGCCTTGACGGTAGCTGTCCTCCGCGTTCAAGATCATCCCTCCGGGCCTCGTCGAGGTCAACATTCTCGAATTTCCCCCGCCCAGCTAACCAGATACGCCCGCTGGGAGGCAGTGAGGTCTACTAGAGAGGAGGCCTTGGGGGGCGTGAAGAAGAGAAAGTCTGATTCATAAGAGTAGCGGTCTATGGGGTACAACCAGTGTTATCATGTCCGTGCTGTCTCATCGCTGAAGGTCAGCAAGATCAACCCTCTGCCGTAATAGCAACAGAACATAATCATATAATGTCCACTACTGAGTTCTGACCAGTCATGTTCCTTAATCTTGCTGCCGGAGGAATAGGCATGCTGGAACATGACTGGTCAGTCACCATTATCTGCCTCATTGGGATCAGACTCCAAGTCAGAAGCTTCATAAACTAAGGTGCCCGGCCCCTCATCTACACAAGCATCTGTTTGCCAGCCAATACCTAAATCCCCACGTCCACCAAGTTTATACGTTAGTTAACTCAACACAGTCTCTTCTAACCTATAGTCTCCTGATTCCTTATTAGCTAATTATCACCATCAGTCAATACTCCTGGTAACCTAGAAGCTATACCTTTAGCTAGTTAGAGCACCTGCTGGGCTAGACCCTTGATTTTGCCTCCCAAGAATATCTGATGGCTGCTGTCAAAACCTGGGTTATTAGGTGAGAAGTATGGGTCTTTCAGCTAGTGCAGGATGAGGCTTCAAGCAAACATAATCTTTTATACTTAAATGCGAATATACATGCAACAGCAAAGCTATACTTAGCTAAAATCTTATAGATCACTTCTTTGCTCTTCTCCACCTCTGGGTCCTACTAGGGCTTATATAGATGGGTAGGGGGTTTCCGGCTGCTTCAGAAGCAATCTTAATGACAGGGACAATTATCTTAAGCTTTTAGCTTTTGCTCAAATCAGTAATGACACTGACACCTGTGAAGAATAGAGGGGCTTCAGGGCGTTCAAGTGAGGGGCCTGAAGCGGCTGAAGAGTAAAGCGGCAAGGGCAGCCATTACCACGAATGACAAACAAGACTCAAGACAAAAAACATACAACAGCCAGGATTCACTGGTGGTCACCCGTCCCAGCATCTGTTCCATCGCTCCTTGCTGCCTAAGTTCTAGCACCTTCAGGGGAAAATTTATGTGCCTGAATATTCTGTACTTAAGCTAGTAAGAAGTTATATTCTTATAAATGGGCAAAATGGGTTTGCTAAGGGAGATAAGTCATCTAAACCCCCATAGTATCTATCTTACTCCTATCCCTTCTTTTAATACTTATTAAGGTTAATTAGATAATATACCATAAGAAGTAGTACCAAAATATATATGCTTAATTAACCTTGATAAGCATAGTAATAAAGAGATTAAAGAGGAATTCTTCTGAAAATTTTAGAACGAGTCTGGTTTTCAATGTAAACTCAAGCCGCAAACGTTTTGTCGAAGATGTCATAGAGGGAATGTTAATGTCTGTTGTCTTCTGGTCGCGGGTTCTTGAACCACGGATGAAGCAGTAGCATTTGTCTCCAAACGGTGATGTCTTCAGCGTCAGGGAACTATGACCACGCTGATCCTGTCACTTTCCACCCACTAATTGGAATCAAGTGGATCTACCTCTCTAGATCACTTTCCAAATACTCGACAAGGTTTCACGTCATCTTAACCATGTCTGGGATGCTGTCTGTCGCATCACCGAGTGCTCAGGATAATGATCTTCAGTTCGGAAGATCTCAAGTGACCGAGCTGACGCCGCAGAGCCGATTATTCAATTGACCAGTCGGTTTAAACTGGTTGCGTCTTTCGCCTCATAAAAGCCCATCAGAACGCCAAAAGAAGGAAACATTGCCAATTCCAGGACGAACCTCAACAGAGGTTCACTCAATTGGATGACACCGTGATGATCCTCCGGTCTCGAGCTCGCTGCTCATAAAGTATACGATGTATTAAGTACTCCGTACTCTGCCTCCTCAGCGGTCAATGAGAATTGATCCCGAATGTATCCTTTGACCATCGAAGGCCTCAGATATATCATAAAGTTAAACCTTGGCTCGATGTCGAGCACTCAACAATAAGGTTTGGCCGAATGTATGTTCCTCCAACAACATGTTTTCATCACTTATTTCCGCAAACAGAAGGCTTTCTAGGAGAACTGAGTCTAGAGCATACTGCAAATCCATTTTGCCATGTGTGGCGCCATTCCACGTGTCTAGTGGGAAATGCAAGTGTTGATGTGACGTTATTTGGCAGCATAGATCTAACTTCATCGTGCTCCTCAAAAAATGAGGATGTTGTTTCTGTAGCTTTTCGACTCTGGGGTACAAATCGCAGCCTACAGCGTCCAGGAAGTCTCACTAACCGACGACGCGGATTTTTGCTCCTGGAATACTGCTGAGGAAGCATTTGCGGTGCAGACATGACCAAGCTTTGTATCCTAAACAAGCATGAAGCTAATAACGTAATCCACAATCGAGTGGCCATTCCAATCGAGCGGCCACTAAACCATAGACTTTTGGCCACGGCTGAAATAGAGTATTTCCAACCCCTAAAACATGATTGTATTGCTAAAGCTAGTTATTCTTACGCTGCGGACATTGCAATCACTTATGGCCTAGAATACAGCAGTCACTGCAGCATAGGGGTGCGGCCGGGTGCCTGCTAAGGGCATTATTCTGCATCTACTGCCTGCTCTGTAGGATAGTTAAGCATAGCTTCACCAGCCTGATTCCTATATTAAATGAAATCATATCCTTTCTGCATAGAGAATCCCTCTGCAGCTTCTATCTGCCTTCTAGATCACTTCCTATCTCAAAGCTGCTTCTCATGTGCAGTACATAGATCCTGATTTCCTTTGCAAGAAGCGTGGCATTATTTATTACTATCTCACCCCCCTTAATAAGCTGATCTAGCACAGCCTTAGTAGGGGTAGGATTCTCGCGTTGAGGCCCATGGAAGCATGTGTCAAAAAGATAAGGTTTCAATAGATAACATGATGTGCATTTACAATAAGTTAGAATAGTCCACATGCCAGCAGAATATTTTTTTGCCATCTCAGTATAAGACATGACCGTTCTAGACTTATGATACGCAGGTGACATGCTAGCAGTCGATGCATGTAGTAATAATCTCATCGGTTCAAGCTCTGAGAACGTCACAATGACCGTTGTCAACCCTGAAGAATTAATGAAACTCCTTACCTCTGCGTTGGTGGATGGGAGACATAAAAAGACATATTGTTACAGTCCAATCCCTTCCATGCAACAAAAGCGGGCACCATCAAATTACCTGATACCAAAATGTGCAAGCTTCAACCAATAATTGTGTTACACTTCCTCTCAACATGAAGCCATTCACTATCGTTCTCCTGACCTACATTCCCCTCGCCTATGCCGCCTGTGACTTCGATCCAGCGAGCCGATGCATCAATAGTGCCCTACCAGGAAGCTCTGCCTACGCGAGGACCCTGCAAATCTGTGATGACATTGGAAGCACTATGTGTTACTGCGGGAGGGAAGGGACATACTATTGCTTGGTTGACGCTGGAAATCAGCAGGGTCAATTCAATTCTGAGTGTCTCAGTCAAAGTGGCTGGCAACCGTACCCCTGCTGAAGTTAACCTTTGTCGAAATGCGCGAGATGTGCAGAAAATTGTTGCTTTGTTTTTTCTGTGGAGTTGTGGTTGACAAATGCTTTAAAAATCTATGAAGTCCTACAGCACCATTGTTCATCTAAAAAATCAAGAATGCTAAACTAGTATGTGTCTCGAATCTGTTTGAAAAGTAGGATATTTCTTCTAGCATCCAGTACTTACGCAGGAGACGTTGCAAGCGCTTCTCAGTGGCCAGCATCCTTTGTCTGGGAAGTTTGCTCTGGGCCAAAGGGGCCCAATAAATCTAATGCGGGGTTTGTAAGAAAATAGATATAGCATACCAGGTATGAAGCTGTGACTATTCTAGAGAGAAAAATTAGAAGTTGGACCGCAGCGCATCCGCAGCTCATAGACACACTTGGAGGACTTATTAACCATTGGCTGATTGGAGATGTGAGAATTCAATATGGTTTACTATATCTTGATTCATCGTATCATTGAGTGGCGTTCTGATTGTAAGATAAAATAATTCCCAGGTGAGCTGCCACCCGGGCGAGCCGAACACACCTCATCTGATTTCGACGCGTTTGAACATTTGAAGCTATCCAAATCAATAAAAATAATATATTTTTTGATTAGATCTAGCTAGTCAGTGTTTAGGGCATCTAACTCTAGTATTCCCTATAATAAAGTGATTAGAACACCTTAGTGGTGCGCATTTTGGGGGTTCTCAATGTAAAGGCATAGAACCAGCAGATAGCCCTCCAACCTTATCATCTTACTTATTTCTTACCTAGATAAGATCCCTAGCTTCCTGTATGCAGAGTCCTTTATTAGGAGTCATCTCGCATCTAGATTACTTTGATTTCTGCTTCTCTTTCTCACTAGCTGTGCATAGATTATAATTCTCCATTATTAGTAGGGCTGTACTATATATAGCTATAGCTATCTTGCAACCCTTAATAAGCTGCTGTATAGCTAATTTTAAAGGTGTTAACGGGCTCTAAATATTATTATTTTAGGAGCTTCTTAACTAAGGATGCTTACTGTCTCTAGGCTTGTGATTTGAGAATGAAACTTTGGATTTCAGCCGGTTAGAATAAACCTTTGGGGATGCTTTCACTGGCAACTGCTCTACTGCTAAATGAGCTGGTAGGGATTGTCATTCTGGAGCCTGGTGTAAAGTGCAATTTGTATCCGTTTGACGTTGTTTCAACAAGTAGTTTGGATAAAGTGCATGTGCCGTTGCTGATCCCGCTATTTCCACAACTGCATGTTAGAATTGTAGCGCACCTACTGAGAATCCTGTAGAAACAGACTTGTCAAGTGTGGAATGTTATCACATAGACTGCGGTATACATACTAAACATCCAACAAAGGCGTCATGTATGTCATTTCCTAGGCTGTCATGAATTCCTTAAGGGAATTGACATACAACGAAGCAAAAAATACATCAAAAACATACAACAGCCGAGATTCACTGGTGGTCACCCACCCAAATACTAACCAGCCGGCGTGTGGCTTGAACGCGGTCAATACCCAGGTAGGTGCCCTTGCTGGTGATGGGGGATAATGCTACTTAGAAGAGGTGGTAAATAATTAGCACAAGTACAGTTTAGAGGGGTAGTAATGTCTAGCAAAAACATTACCAGTCTGGAGGATATATTACCATACTAGAGTATTTATTATACTTAGGGCAGGCATAACCCACCTAGGATAAATCAGCTATTTTAGCTAGAGGAAAGAATAAAATACTAAGTATTCCACCATTACTATATAGCTACAATCTTTCCTCTTTTTAGAGAATACTCAAATAACCCTAGCATAGCCCTATATTTATGCTGCTAGTGCCTGATTCAATTTAAAGCCTATAATATCTCTTTAAGCCAGAACGCTCTATTAGCAAATGCAGCATTATAGAACAGGTATCATAGTATATATTAACTCTATCAGGACATGGAGAATTGGAGATAAACTGCATATTAAATAATATACAGCCACTATATAAAGGACATAATAGCTCTCTATATACACAAAATATAGGTCACCTAAGAACACATAGCTATATGCCAGGGATGCAGATTGCTTTAACTTCTCTACCTTTACAGTCGGCTTTACTTCCTATAAGCTATAATTTATCTGTCATAGAAGTAGAGAGTATAGGAATACTTAGAGAAGATAAAGAGTCTATAATATCAGATACAGAATAAGTATACATTTTATATAATACAAAGCATACTTATTAGCAGTTAATTTATTATTATTATTAATTAAAATATATAAGTATAGTCTTTATTACTCTTTTAGAAATAATTACTAAAGCACAAAGATAAAACCCTATAAATTTAAGTTAAACTAAAATATAACTAATAAGTAATTATAAAGATCTTAATTATACCTAACAAATCAATAACACTTCTTTGGAAATCATCTTTAGGAAGAACCTATCTAAACACTTAGTTAGTGTATATATAAGATTATCCTAAGAAGTTAGGCTATCTTTCTATACTATTCCACCCAAAGAAGTCCAAAAGGTATAAAATACTTTATCCTTAAGCATATTAACTACATCCTAGACAGACCACTGCCAGTTTACAAGCCTAGGTCTAAGCCTCACTAAGAAATTATAAATATTATAGGCGGAGAATGCGCTGCTACTTAAGTAGCTTAGATATGCAGAAGACCGCGCAAATGCAAGAGCATTACTAGACTTTAACCCCCAAATAGAGATGCTCAGATCAGTAATTTAGGATGCACAGACGGTCATACATGCACACCAGCGACTGGTCGAGAATATGTTGTAGTGTGTAAGACTCCCAGAAATGGAAGGCCAGCGCACGTTCCTCCTCGATGGGCTAGTTGACAGGAAGCCTGGGAGCAGTTGCCGTCGACGGTGGCCAAGGGCGGCTCCTCAGTGTCCAGCCAGGGGTCATCGCTCGATTGTAGATGAATCTCATTCCAACGGCTGTGTGACAAGACATGAGACGTATAGGTGAAACTCCTGAGAATAAAGTATGGGAACACTTCTCTATTTCTCATCCCTCTTATGAGCTATGCAGTCGTAGCGATCATCGCGTTGGTGATACAAACCACAGTCAAACATCTTAGATAACTGAAGTCGGAGCCTCAGGCCCCTACCTCGCCTGGCTTCTCTCCTCTGCAGAGAACCTCTCCTCTACCAGATAGGATCCTTACACGTCTCAGAGGTATATAAGGGGAATCTAACCTGTTGGATGATCCTTCTTCATTGTTATTATGGCATCGACAGAATACCACCCACTACTACAAAATGTTTTTCATATTACCGGCTTGGGCTTCCCAGACTCTATCTCAACGGGGTATAGTATGGTTTACCCTTGTATGTCTTTTTACCTGGCTATTGTACAAGTTTTCTCTAATTCTTTCCCCGAGACCCCTGCAGGATATTCCCTACAACGAAGAAGCCACACACTCGCTCTTTGGCGATCTTTCCAGCATGTTGTCTGAAGTCTCGAAGTCGAACGATATGTTCACCTGGCTACTGAGACAGACACAAAAGGGAAACTCGCCTCTCTACCAAGTGTTTATTCGTCCGTTCATCAAGCCCTCTATTCTCCTGACTGACTATTGGGAGGCGGCCGATATCGTCCTACACCGTTCTCGAGAATTTGACCGCACACCCTTCACCCATGACGTTTCTCGGGAGTCCTACCGGACTACCACATCCATATGCCGACTGGCCCTGGATGGAAAGCACATCGTCGGCTGTTGCAGGACCTGATGACGCCGAGATTCCTCAACAATACTGCTGCACCCACCAAATATGACAGAGCCTTGGAATTAGTTGATCTCTGGGATGCGAAGGCGCAGTTGGCTGCCGGTCGACCCTTTTTCGCGGCGGAAGACATCCATAATACTGCTCTAGATGCGGTCCTTTCTTTCTCTTTCGGTGGAGCCTTTCCACACAGCGCGACGAGGCCCCGACTTGAGTTTCTTGTCCACTCTGTGCGCAGAGGCTCTATACTGTCAGGACACTCCGCTTGACAGGCCAGCCGCATTTCCACAAACCAGACTTCCTGACTCCATCAAAGCCATCCTTGATATTATGGGCGCGTTCGAATACACGAAATCATCCATCTCTCCATGCCTCATGTGGTTTGTGGTCAGCAAAACACCTCATGTCCGTCAGGCACTTCAAATCAAGAACGCCTTCGTCCTGCGCGAGCTACAGAGAGCCACACACCGCTTGTTTCGGAAGGATTCTGACGTTGACGATACATGCGTACAGTCCGCGGTGGACCTTGGGAGAGTAGAAATCCCAATTTCTTTGGATCGACCATTCGAGACGAGGTGCGTAATTATCCACGCTGACCCGCCCTCCAAGTATACTGAGACGACTAGGTTTTTGGCTTTGTTTTGGCTGGCCATGATACTACGAGCACCACCATCGCGTGGGGTGTCAAGCTGTTGGCTGATCATCACGATGCACAAGCCAAGTTGAGGTTGGCACTTCGAAACGCTTTCCCGGAGGCAGCTGCCTCCAACCGGCTGCCATTATGCTCGGAAATCGCACGTACTTCAATTCCCTATTTGGATGCAACACTCGAAGAGATTCTGCGGTGTGCTCGACTGTCCCTGCCGTCGACCGTGTGGCGCTAAAGGACACCGTGCTCCTGGGTCACCCTATTCCGAAGGGTACCTCGATCTTCCTCATGAACAAGGGCGCAAGCTTTTTCTCACCGCCCCATGAGATTGAAGACGAAAAGCACAGTCCTTCTGCCCGGACGGCTAAAAACAAGGGCCATCATGCGTGGGATCCGCAGACCTTGGATGTATTCCTTCCAGAGCGATGGCTTGTCGCTTCAGATGAAGAAGCAGGTGCGCCCGCAAACGTACTGTTCGACCCTGCTGCTGGTCCGACCATGCCATTCGGAGGGGTTCCGCGAGGATGCTTCGGCCGACGACTAGCTTACCTAGAAATGAGGCTCATTTTCACGCTAATCGTGTGGAAATTTGAGTTGATGAAATGTCCGAAGGAGCTGTCAGGGTATGATGCTTTCGATGGTCTTGTGCACAAGCCCAAAGACTGCTACGTCCGGCTTAAGAAGACTGAATCATGATTAATATGCCGGCGAGGCTTGTACAGAGTTGACTCCAGGGCTACTGTTAACAATCCTATATTTTGGGTTCCATAAATCCCTAATTTTCTTAATAAGAATTGCGTAGTTGGTGAACGATTGGTCGTCACMGCTCCGTACTTCTGCCCGTCATTTCTGCCTTGCGGTGTTGGTGCTGTAACAGGTCCCTTAAGAAACTCCTTATTTTTAGGTTAGTTAATATATATTCTTCTAGAGGGCTCCCTGCTAATCTATTATCTTTAAAGAGGAATATAATAGGGATTATGGAGTTTATGTATAGTGCTTCTTCTTAGCTATACTACTAAGTAGACCTTAACTTACTACTTAGTTACTATCTTAGTAGAATTTAGTTAAGTTTTACAGCCTAAGGCATTGACCTAAATACAGCCTTATAAGGAAATACTATAATAGTTAGTTACTTAGTTTTCCCCTAGTAATATGTTATAGATTATATTAGAAGGTTATTAAAGAGAGAGTCTTACAGTAAGGCTCTTACTGCAGTAAGCAGGAGTCCTATAAAGATTGAGTATATATAAAAATTTCTTTTTAAATATAAGTCCTAGGAATTTTCCCCTTACCTTATATAACCTGAGCTAGAGCTACTTATTTTTATATGAATCTTAATTATTAACTAGTAAAAGATATATACTTATTGTTTAAAGGCTCCTGCTACTCTATATTACCTGTAAGTCTTCCTTCAGCATTCTTCCAAGCATCAACCTAGGTATAACAAAACCAGGTATGTTCTATCAAGCGATTTTTCTTTTGGCACTTGAAACCCGGACTCTGAAAACGAAATAAAGAGCCGTTGCCACGACTATGTTGAACACAACGTAGATCCAGACAATACCCCAATTGCGCCATCTCTCTGCCCAAACAATTTCATTTTGAGATACGTATTGGTCGGCAGTAGACAATGCGCAAAATTGGCAGTCCTTCGTCGATTCTGGGTTGAGTAGGGTACCGGGACTTCGGACAAGGTATGGCGCTAAGTACTCGCCGCAAGTCTGGCCTGCTGGTGGATCAAAGACCGACAGCTCAACCTTCGAGCATTGGATAGGACGGTCGTGAAGTATCGTTGCGACAATACCACCAACCCAGTAAGTCAAAGGTGAGATGCGATACATAAATATCCAAAACCCGGGAAGTGCGGTGGGAGAGAGCAAAACACCGTTAAATGAAAGCATCATCGAGAACAGCAGTACGATGATCGCTCCGGCAGACTGTGTATCAGGCATGGCAGCAACGACAAGATGAGCAAATGAAGAGGCGTATATGAAGAACTGAATGCAGAACAAGAGTACAAGCCCTTGTCGTTCAGACGATTGTATTCCAGCAAGTGAATAGTAAAAAGAGGCATAGATTACGATTCCAGTCAAAACCTGGTAGGGAATCTCGACAAGAATATTTGCAATCAGGAAGGCTTTCCAGGAATATGTCTTAGATGGGCGTTCGCGCACTTCGTAGAGGGCTCGCTGAAAGACAAAAAATGGGAGTATCTAGAAACGTTAACAGTTGTCACTGAGTCCATCAACATCAACACTCACCTGCTCGGACAGAGAAGACAAGATCGCGCAGACGCCAAAGACGGCGAATATCACATTTTGAGATCCTTGCAGGGTGTTATCTGACTGGAAAAATGAGAATCCGATAAAAAGACCGGAACCGGCGCCTAGGAAGATCTTCGACCAGATGTAGGATGGAGACCGCCAGTACTGCTGAAAAACTCGACGGCTGACAAGATAGATCTGTGCTGACAATGGTGTTGCATATTCGGCGTCACTTCCTTGGTCCAGGGGTGTTTCTCGGATAGGATGAGACATATCGTCTAGTTCCGCAAGGACGGTTGTGTTCTCCGTACTTTGGAGCCAGGTCCGGTGCCAGTCTTCATCACTTGTGCCAGATCTTGCCACGTCGGTCACCTCAAGAATATATCTATGATTTAATCAGAATGGCTTCAACGATCATGTTTGGAAAAATGGTCTCGTACTCAGCCGGGTTCTCATGAGGGCCACACTCCCTTGCTCCATTCTTCTCAAAATATTTCACGAGTGACCTTGAATGTTCGCCAATGTCGCCAAAGTATAGCGTTCGTCCACCAGGTCCGAGAAGAAGCAATCGGTGAAATTGCTCGAAAAGAGCAGCACTAGGCTGGTGAATAGTGCATAATATTGCCTGGCCTCTATCGGCCAACTTCCGGAGAAGCGAGCAGATCTCCCAGGAACTCTGTGAGTCGAGCCCACTAGTAGGCTCATCGAGGAATAGTAGCAAGTCCGGCTTTGCTGCTAGCTCTATGGCGATAGTGAGGCGTTTACGTTGCTCCAGGTTCAGACCTTCTCCCAGTCGACCAACAACGGCATCGGCGTAAGTGTCCATCTCAAGGGTCTTGATAACACTCTCTGCATATGCGCATTTCTCGGCCCGTGAGATTGATGCTGGCTGCCGAAGAATTGCACTGAAATAAATACTTTCACGCACAGTAGCAGTATCAAGGTGAAGATCTAGCACCATTAGAAATGCAAGAAACAATGATCCCAACCTAGAAATGCTTACCTTGTTGCTGGACGTATCCAACTTGTCTTGCAAAGTTTTTACCAAGCGATCGCCCATTAGCCATGAACTCACCTGACACTACTCCCGTTGATACTCTTTGAGCAATAACATCAAGTAGGGTCGTCTTTCCAGCCCCTGATGCACCCATGAGAGCCGTCAAGCTGCCAGGCTTGACCCACCCGCAGACATTGTCCAGAAGCCGGCGGGTTTCTCCCTCGATTTGAATATCATAGCACACATCTTTCCAAGTGACAAAGCCTTTTTGAGGTGAGATAAAGTTGACATTATCCTGGCCACCGGCTTGCGATGAAGCCCTCGCAGTCGTTGCTTCTTCGTCCGCACTGTGAGCCTTGGCCTGCCACAACCGTCCAGGAAGAAATACCAGACTCTTTGCACTCGAGCCTGACAATGAATTTACCTCTGCAACAACGAGGTAGGCAAACGTAGACACAACGAGAAAGCCGACCAAGATTCCAAAATTGCGCCAGAAGTGGTCAAATGAGAATCCATACTGCGCTTGGATATACTCATCCCCTGAAACCGAACGGCTGCCTGCCTTGGCACCTGGAACAGCACAAACGAATTGTCGACCAGATAGGCGATTGTATGCTGGCACAAATCCCGAACAGACAAAGACTCGTCCATGGAACTCGTTGGACATAACCATTTCGAAGGCGTAGTATGCTGGATTCAGCCAATGAAGCCATTTGAACCAGGGTTTCCTGACCAATGTTAGTTCTAGCTAGGGCCGCTGAAGTAATGGGGTTTCAGCTGAGCCTTACATGTATGATAATGGTATCATAAAACCAGAATAAAGAAGCATGATGATGAACATCACCCCACCTATGGCCATTGCCTGAGCAACGCTCCGAGTTGCTGCTGCGACGGCCCGAAAGAATGCACTCATGGTCAATGTCAGCAAATAAGAAACAAGGAAGAACAGGAAAAATGGCCCGGCTTCGCGTCTCAGGCCACCGAGAAAATAGATGATGATGTTGAAGACGACGGCAACTATGAACTTCACAGGAATATCGAGCACAGATGTCGCCAACGCTTCCGTGAATGGGTGATAAAAGGCATATGATTTATGCTTCTCCACGATTGGGCGCTGGGGAAACAACGTTTGGACTTCAGCCATCGCAACTAGCGCATTCAAGAGGACCGAAAACAGCAGCACAGAAGCCTTGGCGTAAAAACCTTGAGTTGCATCCATAGTCCCGTAGAAAATCGAGCCGAAAATGACGGCTTGGATAATCCGAGATAGAATGACAATAACTGTGGAGCTAGGATCCATGGCGATCCGAAGATATGCCCTCCACATGTTTATTTTTACCTGCTGGAGGACCGAAATGGTGTAGGGAGAACGCTGCCGCGTTAATCTCCCCTGTCGATGGTGCTTTATCGCTCTCAATTCGGATATGGCGGAGCCGTTGTTCAGAACCTGGCGATCGTACTCATCCATCTCTTGCCGCAAAGCGGCGAAAAGACTGGACTCATGCCAATAGCGCTCGAATTCGTCCGCAGTACGTGGAACCTTCAGTTCCATTCCTTCTCGCGGCTTTCGCTCACTCGCGTTAGTAACAGCGGTGAGAAAATCTGCCGTTGTTTGACGAGGAGGGCAAACCCAGCCCATTTCTTCAAAGTAACCCTTTGCGCAGCCCACGGGGCCGAAGAATATCTGCCTGCCGTCGTATAAGAGGGTAACTTTGTCGAAAACTTCGTAAATTGCCTGGCTAGCTTGGTAGATTGCAACTGCATGGGCCGCACCAGTAATTGTAGCAGAAGAGTGAAGAGCCTTGACAAATGACAAAGCTGTAGCAGAGTCCAACCCACGGGTGCTGTTGTCCCATGCCGCCACCCTGGCATCAGCGAGAGTCATCTCTGCAATGCTAACTCTCTTGCGTTCCCCTCCTGATACACCGCGAATAAAATCGTTACCAACTTTCGTATGGTAGGTATGTGAGAGGCCAAAAATAGCCATCACCACCCTGGGAAAGAACTTCACCCATTCGGTAGTAGTCATGCCATTAGGCGGGACTTTGGGGGCTCGATAACTGGCAGCTAGCTCCAATGTCTGACCCACGGTCAAGTGAGGAAAATGTTGGTCGAGCTCTTGGTTATAAAGAACCTCACCTTTGAATTCCTTCGTAATTTGATCCAAAGGCACGCCACAATAGGATATCTTTGAGTCTTTGCCCACAGTAAGCCCTTGATGTTCGCCGCAAATAGTTTTCAAAAGGGTCGAGCAGCCGCTACTGGGGCGGCCAAGAACCATGAGCAGTTCACCCCCTTTCAGAATTCCATTGAAGCCGCTCAAAATCTTCTTTTTCTCATTTCGTTCCGGATTAAAGATCTCACGTAGACGGAGTGATGCTATGATAGAGGTTATTACAGTCTCCTGTAATTTCACCCACGATCCAGATCCAAAGACGTCTAGATCACGAAACATCACGCTTGTGGCGGGCGATGGTATCCCTTGTTGACTTTTTTTCGACACAATTGATTTCAGCCATTCCTGCAGACTGAAGTTCGGACTGTTCGGGTCTAGGGGGTCATCAAGGTAGGTGAGCTTGACGGTTGTCGATGGGAGAGCTTGGCGCGCTGTGTTGGACCTTTGCGACAAAATGCGTGCAAGATCGAGGAGTTCACATTGCCCATTCTCATCGTCAGTAATGTTTGATTGCTTCGGGCGAGAAGATTCGGTTGTCACAATAGATGTTGAAGATTGTGTACTAAGATACAGTAGTTTAGTCTCGGTTTCTAGTAGTAGAAAAACAAAAAAAAAAAAAAAAAAAAAAACCGAGCACTAGGCACCTACCTCGAAACGCAGGCGTTCTCCCTGCAGGGAAGCTTGTCACTTGTTGTCATCATGGACAAGTATGAGTGTGAAAGCCTATGTTCGATATACAAAGTCGGTCATTGTAACGTAGATGTCCTTATATACAAATGATATTTAAACATTTGGATACGCAATAATTTAGACGTGAGACTGTTATCCACCCTTATCCAGATCAAACTAGACCCAGCGGAGTCGTGCCAGTTCTCGGACTGCCTCGAGTCCGCCCTCCGAGAATGAGTAGTTCCCATACTAGCGGCGTTAACATAGTTAGTCCAAGGGCCTTTGAATAATCTGGATCTGACCGCCTTCCGGCTTATGCAGTATTCGGGACCCCGAACGAAGAAAGCTTTCCTGCGAAGGACGTAATTGTGTGTGCTAGTGGTAGAGATCCAGCACATAACCGGAGCAGGTGGTGATTCGGCGCCGGAGGTTCCGAGCTCCAGGGTCCGAGCTGTAAAGTATAGCAATCGTTCGTTCTTTTGACTCTCCAGCTCCAACATAACCCACATCCGAAATGTCTGCCAGGATAGCCAAAGATCGGTCCACGATGGCAGGGACTTCAACCAAGCTAGCAGTACGTACCTACCATGCCACAAAGAGACCCTCACCCCTATGCGGATTGAGCTAGTCCGTTAACTGACTCGTCGGGATCAGTGCGATGTGTGCTATTCCAGAAAGGTTAGCCATCTACTCGCTCCCACGTGTCTGGCAGTCTTGAGTGGGATCATTTTGATCACCTTCACAGATTAAGTGCAACCAGCAAAGTCCTTGCGCGAATTGTGTAACCGCCAGAGTATATTGTTGTTACTATCGCAACAAACGAACCCCATGCCCAAAATCACGAACGTGAGTGGTGCTATTCCGCGATAAGGTCTCAACTTAAGATTCAACTGCTTATTCTTCTTAGCAATGAGAAGATCCAATCTATCATGGAGCGTCTGTCCGGGTTAGAGGAGTGCCTGCAGCACAACAAGGCCAGCCTCGAAAGCCCATCTACGCTTCTCAACGATGCTGGAACTGAATCCGACCCTCGGACAACGACGGCGCCCATAGAGGCTCACGGGAAATCGTTGCCTGCGCCCATCGATACGGAGAAGCCAAAGCGAACTATGGATATTGCTCCTCCTAATGTCTCGGCCTTGCGCAATCAATCGATCATTCTAGACACCGCGAGGACGAAGCTCGATCCTGTATTCATGGAGAAATTATGAATACAAGAGACCTTTCACTGGCACAGCATATGGTATTGCAGTCCGCATTGTCACTCATCGAACAACTATCCCGAAAGACCTCTCGCTCCGCTAGGAAATGTCTCGATACGTGTACTTTGCAACCGAGTCATGCCTCAGATGTGGAACTTTCGCGAGGTGACCTGGTGCACATCCTAAAGGGAGGTAAGATTAGCAAGTATATTGACATGTAGGACGACGTATTGACAGCATAGGGGCGGACAAACATGCTAGAACAATGATTACCCTAGGTTTTCCGGGTTTGCTAAGATGGTCCACGATCAAACGAATGGCAATGGCTGCCCTGACCGAGACGGCATATGAAGACCAAATACCTATCCATAAAGTTATGTTACACTTCCAACTCGCGATGATCTACCATGCCGACCTGGCCGAGGAGCGTGACGTCCCCTTGATGAAAAACTTATCGAGGAACTCAAGGTACGGTATCCGAAGTCTGCACTGAGCGCCCTCAACCTGATCGGCTTTTCGACGCCTCCATCGCTATCATTACTCRGGCGCTGGTTACTGGTGTATGGTCCACTGGTTATCGTATTAAGACCCAGGTTGTCCCCATGTTAATCATCACTAGGTCATTGTGAATGGTATTTTCGGCGATGTACAAGCTCGAGTGACTCCCGTGAAGCAGAATATTCAGTAAACGCTTCAAGTTCTTACCCAAGCCACCACGCTGTCGGGACAAAGACCGGAAATCCAATGCAGACGGACAACTCTGGTTGGGACATCAACGAGCTCAGCGAACAGGTAGAACAGGTCGGCGGTAACGATAGGTTGATACCAGTACACACTGACATAATTGGCCGGGAACCTCCAAGTAAGGGGGTGTGGGTAGACAAACCTGATCTCGACTTACTATCTTGGAACGACGACCTTCTGTGGCAGCTGTTCTCAACGCAGCCATCGGTTGACTGGTATGAAGTGGGAAATGGTGGGATGTAGTTAGATCATTGTTGAATTTGAGTAAAATTTTGACTTGCTCTTGTAACGTTAGCACACTAATGGAGATGCTGAAACTAGCTGGTTCTCAAGTCTCAGGAGATTCCCCTATGGACTCCGAAATTGAAGGGGTATAACATCTTCTCTAAATTATACAAATAACATTGAGCAAGCCTCTAAGATAATTCTATAGTATCTGAACCTAGCTCATAGTCCGTACTATCGAAGACTGAGCAGCATCAATTTGGTTCACTAGCTGTAACTGTAAGTAGTGGTAGCATTGCTTTCACAATTTCTTGGAGTCCGAGTTCTTACACAGCAAGGTGAAGGTGGCCGCGCGACATTGAGTGATTCTCACCCGCTCGCACCCGGTTACTCACCCCATCTATTGCGCACTCACCCTACCCACCCCTAGTCGCGCGACTCCACGGCCCTGGGTCCAGCAAGGCCTTCAATCCGTCAACTGGCGGCCGGTATGGTATGGCCGAGTAACCCCAAAGGCCACAGGTCTGCTGACTACAGTCTATACGAGACACAAATCTTGCCTGGTGTGCTCATGCCTGCTTGGCTGCCGTTCGCTCCACTGGACACGGCATAGGCTCTTCGGAACCCAACGAAATTTTGCTTCCGAGCCACGGTTACGTATGTGGCGTGACTTCGAGGTGCCTGTTTTGTCGGAAAAAGGGTTAAGTTGTTCTTGACAGATATAAACCGCGGCACTATCCAAGGGAAAGGTCCTCGATATAGTTACAGTTCTTGCAGCAGCTGATGTGCTTATTTATGGTCCCTTCTTAATGTCTAGAATCAAAAACGTTCACTGAAATAGATAGCTTTGTAGATTAGATGGCCAATCTGATAGTCCCCAGACCTGTGAGTCCTGCAAAAGGCCGCTGTCATCCTCGATTGAGATATCGATATCCAAGCTGGCGCCGAAAGAGCACGGATCAAACTCAAAGGGTGTCTTTTCCACAGCCGTCGTGCTTTCTTTTTGTGGATCTATAAAAGTTGGGGACTCCTCGGCTTGCTGGTGCGTCAAGGAGGTACCTACCAACGTAAAACTAGGTTGGGGGGGAGCGGATGAAGAGTGCTGTGAGCCGGAGGCTTCCATAGCACGACATAGTTCTTGGATTCTCCTCCACAGAGTATTGGCTCCCTTGGATACGTCCGCATACTTTTCAGTCAGCTTTCTCGCCGACTGGAAGTAACGGATAATTTGGTCATCATAATCGGGCGGTAGGTATTGATGGATAGCCTGCCGGTGCTCTTCGACGTGAGCGGCTACCAGGAACAGGAGGGCACAAATGGATGACAATATGTGTTGGTAGTATGGTCGGTGGTTGCGATAGATAGATGTAGTGCAATCCAAACTTGTGAGAGCACCCGTAACATCTGAGGCTAGTTCAAGGGCTGGGAGAAGATGTTGTTTGCTTCTCTGGATATGCGATGTTGGGAAGAAATACGGCCGCAGCAAGAGGCTTCGGATGGACGCGGCTCGGAAAACCACTAGTAGCTCCCACGCGGGTGGAACAGCGGACTGTTCTGAAAAACAAGACAGCATGTCGCGAAGGGTTCGGCCTCCGACAACATTTCTTTGCCACTGTTGGATTTGGAAAACTAAGAGCTCAACGGCATCATCATCTGCATAGCCGCCGCCCTCAGCTGCAAGAGTTATAGGCTCGTTGAATCTGTCGCTGATTAAGATAAGCTTGTGCATTGCATTCGTATAAGGAGCGTCAAGCTGACCACGGTGATCAAGTTAGCTACCGGCCGTTGATATTCAAGCAACGCACCTGAACAAAGATCTTGCACGAATTGAAGATTTCTCCGCCTGTCCTGAGGATTATAGGGGCTAAAATGCTCACCAAGGTAGATGTCGGATTAAATGTGGCATTGGGAAAGTTTGCTGGCAGGCCGGTCATCGCGCTCCATTGACGATCAAGTACAATGACGGTGGACATCATGATGCAAGCTGCCTTATGCCGGCTCTCTGACCGAAGAACTTGATTCAGTGTATCGCTATTATGAAACCCAAGTTCCAGTAAAATGCGCCCAGCTGTGCCGCACATTCTTAACGCAAGCTGTGGCAGATCGTAGGTGAAGTAATAGTAGCCCTGAAACAAACACTTAGTCTCAGAGAGTCGCACAGCGAAGAGGAGTTGAACAGTTTACCAGTAATAAAACGATGGTGGCTTGTTTGATGCTTGCTGTGCCGGATGTGACTGTAGCATTGGCAGCGTGCTGAAAGCTAGAATGCATAACAAACGCCATTTTTGCATGTACTGTGTCCACTTGGGCATGTGCTGCAATGGCTAGTATCAAAACCAGGATTATGAGATCATCATCATCCACCTCGTCATTTCTGCCAACAGATCGGCTCGAATCGTAAGAATACCAGAGGTCCAGCTGCGTTTTCATATGTTCAAAGTCGACAAATGGATGCAAGACTCCCACGACCTCGTGGTAAGTAGATAGGACGTCTCTGGCATCTTGCAACGTCAGCCAAGACCGGAACTGTAGCAACTGGTGTCTGTCACAGTGCCGTTCTGGTTGCCAATGGGTGGTGCACGAGACGGTACTTTTCCCTTTTAGACTCGGCAGCATCTGGCGGCGGTGCAAGGGTGCGAGGTGCCCTCGCTCTCGTAATTTTGTCCGCACGAGATTCATACTGTAGTCCGGGCTTGTTGGTCCGTAGAAAGCTGGGCTGGTTGTGTTTGGTTCAAGTCCGTCCCGATCTTTCGCCGGACCTGGTGTCTTTGGCATGGCTTTCAATTGGTCATCAGAACGCAGTTCTTCATCCAAATCTAGGCCCTTCCAAGCCGCAGAATCAGTGTTGCTGTTCGGTTTGTCAATCATTTCGATCATCGATCTGGCATTGTTCAGTTTGCTGCGTAGACTTGTAGCTTCTCCTGTGAGAGAAGCACGGGTACTGCGCGGACGAGAGAAGTCTGTTAGATTAAGGAGTGATTCAAACCAAGGCACGGACATACCATCGCCTAATGATACAGGGTCATCAGGGATAGCTAGCAGTGGGCATCTGTTGTGCGAGAGCGGATCATTGTGAAAGACTTGCCTTTGCGCCTGGTGTTGTGATACTTGCTGCGGTTGTTGTGCCGGATGTTGAAGAGGAATACTTTCATTCACGTAGATGCAAAGCTGGCCGCGAGTGTGGCAGTAGCCGCATGGTTGATGGCCGTCGCATTTGCATTTCCGTCGCCGACAAGACGTACATGCACGAAGTGCATACGGTCCCCGTGGCTTGCTCGAATCTGTGGCTAGCAAAGGCCTTGCTCTCTTGATGCCCCGTTGGCCCATGGCGTCCTCAGTGCTCATGGCACGGTGTTGGGAGGGAAGTAAGTTAAAGAGTGAAGGTCTCGTTTTGATCTATCCCATGCCTTCACCGCCCCAGCGGCGAGGTCGCTCTATCAGCCAAACCCTGTCAGATCTCGTGATCCTGCAAGTGGGGTCTAACGGACTGAGTTGGAGACCTTTGTGACAGCGAAATGTACGATCAGATGGGGCCACAATAGGCTGATTGAATTGATGATAATTGCGATCTTAATTAACGTCGTTATGACTGACGGATTGGCTCTGTTATTGTCAGCCCCTAAGGTCCCACGGTTACATGACCCTGATTGATGGCCTGAGCTGTCAGGCTCTCCATATTTTCTACATTCAGATAGTCATTCGAATCGATCTCTTTTCTCTAAGCGATGCGTCGCAACTATCTAAGTCCTAAATCTCCTAGGATTTACTTACTCTTGGGGTGATTCCTTCCGCTTCCATCTCATGTTAACTGCCCCTCTCGCGTGCCGTACCCTCTCTCAGTTGCGTGCTTCCTGGCTACTCAACAGGCTTCTTCGGGTCGTCTGATCTCTGATACCCCAGAGTCCGACAGTTATTGAATCACCTTGGCCGGCGAGGGATTTCCCTCATCTATAGTCTCCGAGACCCCAGCTTCCTTAATCATGCATGCCCGGCGGACACCGGATCCCTCTGTCTGACAAATCCGTTGTTAGCGCCATTTCAGCCCAACAGTAGGTTCAATATAACAGAAGTGTGTTGAATACGCGATTTCGCCGATTTGCCTAGTCCAGTAACGTTCAAATTTACGGTAGGGTCGATGTTTTGAAGGCAGGGCTGCTGATTTTATTGACGTTGACGTTGTGTTGTTGTGGGGGGCTCTGCGTTGATTTTGCCCGTATATATTGTTGAAGCCCGAAACGTCCAGGCTTCGATGCAAGGATATGCCGTAACCCAGCACACCCAGATTCACCCCTGGGCGTAAACCCGAATGGCTTGGCTATTTGCATTTCTCACCGCTGCCAAGAGGAACTTGGCGTTGTAGCAAGGGATGGTCAAGGTCAAGCCCGAGTGGATACGGGGATCACGTTAGGTAGGCGGCAACAATTTGCGGAAGAACGATGCTTATAAGGAGTACAGATGACAATAATCGATAATACGATGAAGACAAGATGCCCAAATCCTCAGTTGCCTAGTCTTAACCGGAGGACAACTTCCCAATTTGAATATCCTCCACATCAGGCAGTCTTCAACAGATCGCTATAGCCTAAGTCCTCCGCGACAATAGAAAACCGAGTTAAGCCTCTACTTTAGGAAGCGTAGGGTACATTGGGGACCACTGATGGGCTCCCCCCGCAAGGCGCGACCTGGGGAGCCAGATTGCCAGGAACAAACTGGTCCAATCCGCACTCCTCTGGGCTTTGATGGTGCTCGGAAAGATGGAGTCCAAAGAGACCTGGGACGCAGCGCGAGCAAGCGAATTGTGCCCAACCGCTGCAGGGTCGACTCCTTCAACCTTGGCGAAAGCGAGCTGTATGCCGATTTGCTTCTCGGCAGGATGATGCAGGAGCCAGAACGCGGCCGCGCCCTGCTCCTCAGCCCTCTTCTTGAGCTCAGGGTAGACCCGTCGCAACTCATCCTCAAGATTGGGCCCGTCGTATGTCCAGCGCTGGAATCTACCGACGGCGTGAGACTCAACTGGTGCGAAGTTGGTGGCTCCGATGACTTTCCAAATGAAGCGCTTTGATGTCTTGAACAAAGGCTGACTCCAAAACTTGACTTTGGGTTCGTTCACTTCAAAGACGTTGGCAGTCCAATCCCAGTAGTCGGCCGCATTCTCATGCGTGTCAAAAAGGTACGCCCCGCCGCTGCGCAATTCGCCATTCACCGCGTCGTATCGATGAGGAAGATACTTTAGGTACATTCCGGGTCGAGTGTCCATGGTCTTGCGATGAATCTCCTGATAGTTGACCACATCCTGTAGAGATGGAAGCCCATCGATTTCGATTTCCGACGTAAAAGCCGCCTGGGCCGAGATGTCTCCGACACGGTATCCCTTAACGTTGGCCATTGCTTGTATGGGCTACTGTCAAAAAAGTCAGGGAGATCGAATTAGGGCCTGTCGTATTTATTATACTTACTGTTGAAATAGATGAGACTGAGCAGAGCAGACTTTGTGCGGGCAATTGGCTTGCTGAGTTGAAATCTTGGTGAGGATTGAAGGAACGAAGATGAGGTTAAGCTTTCTGTTTAAGTATCCTCATCGCGTCACATATGAACTAACAATGCTTTGAAATTCCATGAGCATCCTGGGGTCATGGCCGGGAATCCCAAAACCCTCACCGTAGACTGAAGCTTGTCCCCATTCTGTGTGGTAGTATTAGGTGTGCTTGGTCATATTTTTGGTCAGCATGGTGCAACCGTCGGAACTTCCTCTTTTCTAGACCCATCTTCCGCTTCTTTTCCAGACCCACCTTCCGACCAACTACTCCCTGCGGAGTACGACCACACGCAATTGCGCCGTCCTGACAAACCGCAGGTAGCCAACGGAGTACTCCACGTAGCTACAGTATGTGTGTGTGTGTGTGTGTGTGTGTGTGTGTGTGTGTGTGTTCTTTCATTTACGCTGATCTCTCGCAAAAGTTGGATTAGAAACCACAGTCCACTAGGCTAGGTACGGATTCGTATTTTGGCCTAGTTTGGTAAACCAACTCGCTAAGCGATACGCAGCCTACAACAACTATATATCAATGTATGTACATATGTCTTGTGTTACTTCTTAAACGAACTTAGAGCCTCGTTGGGGCCTTCCGTGGCCTCGTAGCCGTTATTTTGGATTGCTGCCCTCATGGCACGCGACTTCGGAACCGTTGTGATGCTTCTGCGAAATCCAAGATAGCCTCCACTGTCTTGGCTCGCGGAGTAGTATCGCCTCCTCTGGGTCCTCCTACTCCCAGTAGGGTTGATATGTTGTTGAATGCGTGCCCAACCTTCTCTCGAAGTTCCCTGCGGAGGTGTCTTAGAGCGGGGCAGTCTAGGAGGACGTGGATCACACTTTCCCGCGCGCCGCAGACACACCGGTCATTATCGCGATGGCGGAACAACTTGGCGTACGTAGCTACAGTGTGTGTGTGTGTGTGTGTAATTAATTTACTGCACATAGAGTCCCTTAAGTGGAGCATACCTCTTCAGCCCATTCTAGTGCGTAGAGGAAAGAGCCTGTGAGGGAAAGAAATGACATTGGGTGAATTAGAGGCATAGTGGTGCATAGAAGATAGGACGCGAAAAAGTGGTTAAGTAGCTCGCTCGCTTATATAGCCCACTCGCTTACCGACCACGTTAATTATGTATAGCATCCTGAAAGATGAGGCTACTAATAGGCGTTATACTATTATAGAAAGAAAGGAGAAGGATAAAGAGAGAGATAAAGAGAGAGATAAAGAGAGAGATAAAGAGAGAGTTGTGGAAAGAGTTGTGGAAAGAGTTGTGGAAAGAGTTGTGGAAAGAGATGTGGAAAGAGATGTGGAAAGAGATGTGGAAAGAGATGTGGAAAGAGATGTGGAAAGAGATGTGGAAAGAGATGTGGAAAGAGATGTGGAAGAGGTACAGAGGGAAAGGACAAGAGATTATTCAGGAGCATTCGAAAGCAGACTGAATTACCTATTCGGGACAGTGATACCTAGTTTATAAGGTATAGAGGCCAGGTGGTCTTGAAAGCGGTATAAAAACCACTCGCACGAGGGTGGCCACTATCAGCTACCGCACTCCATCAAAGTCTAGATAAGCACTTGAAATATTCTATAACAGGCATTGAGACAAGGAATGAAATTCTTAGGACAACCGCAACCGTTTGAAAACAGGGCAACTCATGGGTATGCCTAGAGCATGTCCGGAGGACCTTATCAATCATCAATCAAATATGAATTATGTACTCGATAAAGTTGCTTCCTAGCCCGATTTGTGGTCCTCTCCAACAACGTGTTCCTCGTGCTCCGCAGATGATGCTTTCTCCAAGTCTACTTGTCTCTCAGCGGCCTCGTACTCGGCAGTTGGGGCTTTGACAAAACCAATCTTATACCAAGGCAAAGAGAACAAAGCTCCCGCGCTCTCCATGCTGCGTCCTTTGCATTCCGGGAAAGCAAAGAAGACCCAGACCGTGGCACAACCAGTGAAAGCAGTGAACAGGGCGAAGGGGCCACACGCGTGCATGTCCACAGTCATGCTGGGGAATCCACGAGTGATGGCAAAGTTCAGCAGATTCTGATAGATGAAGGCAATTGTCACTACTGTTCCTCGTGTCGAGGTCGGGCAGATCTCAGAAGCCGTAAGTGAGAAGACAGGTGCCCATCCGAATCCATAGCCAATTGCGAAGATGCAGATGGCAACGATTGCAACCCATGCTGCGGGCGACGGACTGGCAGATCCAGAAATATCGGCGACTCCTAGGTAAACTGCGAGGTAGAATAGACACACGCTATTCATTGATGAGCCGATAATCAACAGTGGCCGCCGACCAAAGCGATCGGTCAGATAGAAGGCATAAAACAGCACACTAGCAACCTTGATCATACCATAAACGGCAGAAAACAAGAGGACTTGACTGGATTTGAGACCGATTGACTTCAGAATGGTCGGCGCATAGTAGGTAATCGAGTTCCCACCACTCATAATGAAGAATGTTTGGACGATCATGACAAATAAGAGCATCTTGCGGGTTGGGGGATCAGTCATGCATGTACTCAACAGTGACTTGGTGGATTGCCAGGCAGATTGACTCTCGGCAGTTGCATCCACCCGACCTCTGAGTTCGTCATACTCACGGCTAAAATAAATCTCGTTTTCATCGAGGCCGCGAATTTCCAGAAGGCTCTGTCGGGCAGCCTCCACTCTTCCTCTCATCATCAAGTAGCGAGGGCTTTCGGGGAAGAAGGGAAAGCCGATGAAGAGGTCAATCGCAGGAATCAACTGAAGAACCAGCGTAGCTCGCCACTGCCAGCTATTCTGCGGCGAGACATGTTCATACGAGGCAAAGTTGATCCAGTAGCTTCCCGCAACACCGCTCATGATGTTGATGTTGTAAAATGTGGTCATCATACCGCGCATTTCGGTTGGTGCGACTTCTGAGATGTAGATAGGGCCGACGGTCATTCCAAGCCCAGAGCCGATTCCAGACATAACTCTTCCGACCAGCAGCTCGGCCAGAGAACCAAAGTTGACACCCATCAAGATGGCACCGATTGTGTAGAAGATGGCGGCGGACATGATGACAGATTTTCGACCACGACGCTCACCCAACGGTCCAGAGACCACGACACCAAGGATTTGACCCTATCAGTCCTCATCAGTTAGCAAAGAAAAGGTTTGATAGTAGCAAATCGCTGCCAAAGGCCGCAATTCAGATCTCGAAGTATATATCCTTACCAGTAACATGGACGAGACAACCCATCCCGAGTAGTTGGAGATTTGTTTTGAAGAGAGGTGTGTCCACCCGAAGTCCTTAATAAAAGGCTTAAGAGTCATGGTCCCCGAGATGTTCGCTGTATTGAATCCATGAAGACCACCACAGTAGGAGGCCCAAATCACGGCTAGCCAGACATAAGCCCTGCGAGCTGGGGCCGGAACCTGTTTGATGGCCGCGTTGGACCAGCCACCGCCAGCAGCTCCCATGTTCAGAGAAGCAGACGAATCTGTCCGACGGGTAAAAGCTTGAAGATGTCAAGATTTGCGGGGGATAGGCAATGCGGAGTAAATTTGCATATCCAGAAGACAGGGTTCTGTCGACTTATATGCATCCTTGAGCCCCAGGAAAAGGGCGCCAAGTGATATTAACATAGCACGATGCGGGTGAGCTCCATTGGGGAAGGGTTAATGCGGGGAATAGAGCATCTAGGAGCAGCCCGAGTCGTTCGAGAGTGGCCAATGGATCCACGATTGCTAGTCTGGCTGGTGAATGCCGGCCACAACGTTGGATAAGCCGGGGGTGGGGAATCGAGTCTGCCGGGACGAGGAGCAGTCCGGGGACGGCGGAGTGATCCGTGATAGCAATTTAACCTCCCCGTTTAAGTTCCGAACCTGTGGCAACACCGAACCAATCACTAGGTAGGTATCCATTAGCGTTACCACATTTACTTTGGACGGTCGGTGTGTATATCCATAGGTGCATGACATGGTATAGGAATTGAATCCGCGCAATTGGCTTATTTGAGCGACTTTGATTGAAAGGCTTCGGCCAGCGTCCGGTACTTACCATATCTCAGTTTCAAGGAAAAGTTGTGAATTCTCTTTCTGGGTCAAAGGGAGACCCGTGTTAAGAAATGTTTGACATTGACTAGATTCTTTCATAGTTTTGAGGATGGTGTAGACCAGTTTGAAAAGGTTGGGGCTTCTCGCACGACTCGCGATGCCCCAAATATGCTTCAACTTTGTTTTCCGAAAGCTTTTTCTAAACTTCTTTTGAACCAATATTCTTGATGGCTCAGATTACTCTTAGACTATCGTTCAAACTCGTGACTGGTAAGATAATCTTTAAAATTTGCCGGGGTTTCAAACCTGTAGAACCCAACTGCAAGAGTCTAGTATGTATTCTGCAAAGAGCTCAATGTACCTTTTGTTGGAATCAGCTGAAAGGGATATAGCGTGTTGTGCGAAAAGCCTTTTCTGTCAATGTACAGCACGAAGGCATATTTCTCTCATTCATTTTAATCGGATTTCGATAATTCCATGCTATGCCCCAAGTCTACTGAGATAACAAGTACACCAAGCCTACTTAAATACATGACATTGCCTTAAATAGATCTACAGACATCTACAGACTGGCTGTCTTGGCTTTAATGTGATTCAAAGCGCTGCCGGCCCGAAGCCATGCAAGCTGACCCTGGTGGAAGCTATGGTTCAGCTGAGCCTCCCAAGTCGAACCATCTTTGGTTGTCACGCTCATTGTAACGGGCTTGCCAGGCTGAAGCTCGCCCTCTTCGACTCCAAGCAAGGAAATGCGATCGCCCTCTGCGATGCGATCATAGTCCGCCGGCTCGTCGAAAGTCAACGGGAGCATACCCTGCTTCTTCAAGTTTGTCTCATGGATCCGAGCGAAGGATCGGGCAATAATTGCCGTTCCGCCCAGGAAACGCGGCTCAAGTGCGGCGTGCTCACGAGAGCTACCTTCACCGTAGTTGTTGTCTCCAATAATGCACCAACGGACACCCTGCTTCTGGAGCTCCCGGGCGACTTCTGGAACCACGTCCACCTTTCCGGTCGGAGGGCTCTTGGTATGGCCAAGCATTTGAGGATCATTCGGAAGGAAGGCATTTGTGGCAGTGGTAAGCATGTTGTGACTGATATTCTCGAGGTGACCACGATATTTGTACCATGGTCCTGCGGGCGAGATGTGATCCGTTGTGCATTTTCCCGCTACCTTGAATAGAATTTCCATTTCGTTGGCACAGCCTGCTTGCCATTGTTGGAAAGGAGTCAACAGTTGCAGACGATCTGACTTTGGATCAACGACAACGGAGAGGGATGAGCCGTCTGCTGGTGGCTCCTGGAATGTATCGACACCGGATTCGAAATTCAGGGGAAGTTCTTGGCTGACCGGCGGCTCCAGCTTGAATGTTGATTCAGGTCCAGAAATTTCATCGATGACGAGGTTGAAATCAAGACGACCGGAATAGGCAAAAGCCGTGACGATTTCCGGGGAGGCCACAAAGGAGTGAGTTGCAGGATTGCTGTCATGGCGACCGATGAAGTTGCGATTATAACTTGAAATCACAGAATTCTTTTCTTTGCCTCGCACGTTTACATCTTTGCGGTCCCAGGAGCCAACACAGGGTCCACAGGAGCTGCTAAGAATGACGGCGCCGGCATCCCTCAACTCGTCCAGAATGCCATCGGCCTCGGTGGTGGCTCGGATCTGCTCACTTCCTGGCGTCAAAAGGAAGGGAATCTTAAACCTAGGAACCCCAGCAGCCTTGGCTTGACGCACAAGCTGTCGGCACTTGTCGAGATCCTCGTATGAGCTGTTCGTGCAGCTGCCGACCATGGCATGGCTCAAGTCAATGGGCCAGTCCTTTTCAGCGACAGCAGTTTTAAGCTGAGAGATGGGGTGAGCCAGATCCGGTGTAAAAGGTCCATTAACATGCGGCTCCAGTGATGAAAGATCGATATCAATAACTCGATCATAGTACTGATGGGACCCTTCATCTGCCGTGAGGAGAAGGTCGCGGACCTGATTGGCCGCCTTTGCCACATAGTCGCGCTTCGTAGCGGCCAGGTAGCGATCCATCGCAGGTGAATGAGGGAAGATGCAAGATGTTGATCCAACTTCTGCTGACATGTTGCAAATGGTCGCCATCGCTGTAGCTCCTAATGTTTGGGTGCCAGGGCCAAAGAACTCAATAACCGAGCCCTTACCACCCGAGACGGTCAAAATACCAGTCAGCTTGCAAATGATGTCTTTCGTCGATGCCCAGCCCTGCATTTGGCCAGTCAAATTGACACCAATGACCTTCGGAGCGACCAGCTCCCATGGCATCCCAGACATCGCATCGACAGCATCAGCACCTCCAACTCCAATACCGATCATTGCCAGTCCACCAGCATTTGGAGTGTGTGAATCGGTTCCAACAATCAGTCCACCGGGCCTAGAAACACCAAAAGGTCAGGATCAAACTCTAACTCAGTAGACTGACAGCGACTCTAGCAGCTTACATTCCGTAGTTCTCAAAAATCACGGTGTGAATGATGCCAGAACCAGGCTTCCAAAAGCCAATCCCGTATTTCCTTGACGCGCTACTGAGAAAATCATATACCTCGGCGTGCTCTGAGATAGCCCGCTGTAGGTCCTCCTTTGCGCCCTTTTCGGAAATAATCAGATGGTCACAGTGTACCGTCGTCGGGGTCATCACGCGCGGAAGACCAGCGCTGATGAATTGTAGCAGAGCCATTGTCGCTGTGGCATCATGACAAGCAATGCGATCCGGCCGCAACTCAAGGATAGTCTTTCCACGATCAATCTTTTCCAAGTCCCAATCGCGCTCGCCATCAACGATTAAATGACTATAGAGTAGCTTTTCCGTCAAGGTCAATGGGCGCTGCGAACGTCGCTTCAAGGCGTCGAGAACTTCGATTTGCTTATTATAATCGACACCGAGGATCTTCGAGGGATATGTGCCAGAAGTAGCAAGATTCCTTGTTTGCGCAATTGAATATCTCTGAAATGGCCGCGGTGTCTGCGCAATGCGCCGGAGACCTTGCGACATCATTTTGCGGTGGTGGTTCACACGATTGGAGAGCGCGCCAGTTCGAACCATGCGTGACGAAAATTGCAAATTGAGAAGAATACCGGCTCCATCTCCAGTTTAGTTAAAAGGAATCCCCATTATTTTTCTTCAATATATTTGAAGATCCCCGATTCCTGTTGCTCGCCGAGATCGCCACTTTGCAAGTCTTGTCTGCGATGTTGGATAGCTCCGTGTGGGTCTGGAGCGCTCCGGGCGAATGAGGCTTGTTCGACATCGCCTTGTCCCAGCCAACCCGAACAAGAGTGATGGGCACTCTCCGCATAATGGCATTTATTTTTCAGTCATTTGATCAAAAAGTAGCTATGCAGCCGAGGCATTAGAAGCTTGTGTTACTCAGTTCCTTCGGCATCTTCTCATTGTGTTCCCACTTACCACTACTTTGCTTCTATACACCCCAAATGGCAGGTAAAGCAAAGGCAGTCCAGGCACTGGGCAATTTCGCATCTTGCGATGTAAGTAACCTCTCAACCTGCATCTCAAAACCTGAATGCTGCATAAAATCAATGTACTGGAACCAACTGACTAACTGGAGCATGTCCAGATCGGGGATGCCCTAGTCAAACTCGGAATCAAACATGGCGGATACCTCTCAGGCCTATCGATGTACAGCCCTCACCGAAAGAGCGGACACTCCAAGATCTTCGGCCCTGCATATACAGTCCGCATGGTACCAGCAGCCGACAAGACCTCCCCGACCCCTGAACGCCATTTCGCCGATGCAATCCCCAAGGACAGCGTCGTTTTCGTCTCCCAGCCGAAGGGGCTGATCAGTGCATGCTGGGGAGGATTGATGAGCACTCGCGCTCAGAAGCTAGGTGCCGCCGGTGTGGTCATTGATGGTCGTTTCAGAGATATTGAGGAGCATTGTGCCTTGAACATGGGACTTTTCGCTCGAGGAATTAGCATTTTGGGGTCAAACAGTTTTACTCGGTCTGCTGAGCTCAATGTCCCAGTTGAGTATGAAAATGTTGAGGTCGGTGAGAAGGTGGCTATCAACCCGGGTGACTATATCCTTGGTGATTGTGATGGTGTTGTCGCAATTCCGCCTAGTGTTGTTGAAGAATGCTTGCGTGCCTGCCAGGAGCGGTATGAGATTGACGAGAAGACGAGGGAATGTTTGGAAAACGGGGATGAGATGGGACCTACTATCAAGAAACTCAGAAAGTAGAGGTCACCGTGAAGGCGGCACCTTGTAAAATTACATCCTGGATCAAATAGAAAACATGAGTCGGCGATAACCATGGAGGCTCAGCTCCTGAGGTTTCTTCTCTTTCGGATGGCACAATCGAAAGCTTGATTCCAAGTATAATACAAATTTTTCCACATCTGATCCTTTGAGGAAGGGAACCTTCTCCAAAGTGTCGACAGATGTTGTGTAGAGCGGCTACACAGGTCCAGAGCCTTGGTTGTCAAACACCCCTGTAGAACTCGAGAAAGGATCCCATCCCCAGTCTTCATGCAAGTACTCCGCCATAAAGCTTTCCATGGCAGCTTCGATTGTCGGCATATCGAACTCTTGTAAGGAATTTGCCGACGTAGAAATGTCCATATTTCCGAATGATGGTTGTGCCTCGTTCACTACGAAGGTTATTGACAAATCCTATTGGTTCCACAGGGCTTGTAGGACTTACATGTCGCAAATAATTGTGTTTGATCATTGAAAACAGATTGACCAGGCCGCATTTGTTCCTGGTTACCACGGGAAGTCTCTGGCCCGGATGGATATTCTTCTATGCCAGAGACGCTACTATAGGAAGGGGGAAGCAGCGAGCTTTCTGTTCGAGAGCTGGTAGGTCGTTGTTGCTTCTGAGGTGGTGGAGGTAAATCTTGAATCTGGAGCTGTATGTCGCTGAAATATTTGATGATCAAGTCGATCATCATCTCGAAACTCTCTTTGCCACTGCGCACGGAAGGCCACCACTGGCTACCGATACTAAGATGGTTGGAGCAGGTTCGCAAGTCGCGGAGCAATTTTGCAAAGGGCAGTGTACGTTGTAGATCTCGCGAAGCCCAAGCACAGTACACAATAGTTGCGCCGGAGGAGAAGATCCCGTGGATGTTGCGCCAATTATAATAGAGCATGTCCTGATTGCTGACTGCATCATATATTTGTAAGCGCTTGCTGCAACTCTGATAGCATAGTCTCAATGCTTCCTGGCTGGGCGATGGGAACATTTGAGACGGCTGGAAAAGAAGAGAAATGGCGGAATGGTACAATTGTTCATGTCTCATCTTCTGGATTTGAAAGTCGAGCTTCTCATCATCAGTCACATCATCGGCTGGGACAATTCTTTGAACACTGAGAAGCCAGTGGTCAAGCTCGGACTTGATCCTGGTTTGAATCTCTGAGAGATTTGTCGGCCAGACAAAGCTTTGGTTCCGCGTTGGTAGATGGTATAGCAACAGCTTGATCTGTGATATGTGCTGGTCTAGTCGGAACCTTGATATTGACAGCGCGAGAACCTGATGCATCGGCAGCTTGATAATTAAATCACTGCCTGCCAAGGACATAACTTCTGTAACATCCGATTCATCTGGTGGTCGAATGTCGAAGGTTTCATCACGAATTCCCAGTGGGCGACCTTGGATGGTGGCAACAGACCTAGCGTTTGAATCAGCAAATTACCCTTGAAGGTTGACTTCTGAAAAGGTGATCTTACCGATCCAGGGAGTAAACAGTGTAAAAAATGAATCTCAGCAGAGCTCTCGCACCAGCTGGCAAGTCAGATACGCTTGGCTCCCGGTGAAGTCCCAGGTCTATACAGTGTGACATTGCAATGTGGGTTAATGTCCACAGATTCACAGCGGCGGGCTCGGTAAGACTCTGCAAAGCTAGCAATAAGATGGCTTGCAGCGATGTGACTGAGATATTGGAAAATGTTTCCGAGGCCGTTAACATCGCCATACGATGGAAGCGAGTGGGAGAGTAATCGTAGTTTTTCTTCCTTGTCAGTATCGTTGCCGACAAAGAAAATGCCATGAAGACATGGAATACGGCAGTGGCAATAGAAATCGGGGTGCTGATATAGCCTGCAACCATATCCATCCGACCATTGTAGCTAAATGGACCAACGGAATCAATCCAACCATTCCGATCCACTGAATCATTATGCCCTGCCTGAGCACACATGTACAATGCATGATATGCGTTGATCAAGGATGCAGGGTGGAGGAATGGCTGATCGACGTGGACATTTTGGAAGTAAACTTCTAATAAAAGGCATGCTTCTTCAGGGGATGGGAGATCCTATAAAAATTAGCGTGCTGCCACCAGTTAGATTGAATAGCTATTTGGTATCAAAATCATTACCTGTCGCAATTGATCATAGAGAGACCGGTAGATCTCGGCTGATATCCTCTGCGGAGTAAGTCGACGTGCTTGGCTTGCGCCTTGTTCCGGTCGTATGTCATTATCTAGACCCATGAGCTTGGCGAAGAGTAGTCCAGAGGATGACCCCAGATAGTGCTTCTGACGCGAGTCTGATTGCAATGAAAGCATCCCGAGATCGATCGCCACAGAGCGTGCTTTGGCAGAAAGTGGGGAGTCGGCGTCCGACTCCATCACCGAGTGAGAGCGTTTATTCGCCGCTGCATCTTCCAGACTTTCGTCGTTACTGGGAGGTTCTGAGATACGTCTTCGTGGGACGGAAGCGATATTCATGGTGTTCAGGCGGTCCTGCGGCACGTTCAAGCTCTCCATAAAGTTTGCATTGACCTTTGGCCCCTGCGACAGGTCAAACTCGGGACATAGGGTGGCCAAATTCTGTTCAAGCCATTTGATGCGAGCGCAGCACCTCACCGCAAAGCTTACAGATTACTACCGTCAGGAACCGCATCTTGAGGATGATGAAACTCGAGAGAAAAATCAAAAACGGGTGAAGCCGACTCACTCTCGCGGGATGGACAAATCATTATTGCCCGTATGGACATCTATGCATGGGACCTTTGCCCGAGCGCAATTACTACAAGCAGGAATTCCACCATCACACTAATCGCACTGTTAGCATATTTTTGGCAGCGCGAAGGCTAGAGAGAATCACCTTGACACGTTTCTGGCGGCATCGGCGGCATGCCGACCGGACCTTCCTGAGTGGCGGGGCACTGCCGTCTTCGGGTCCCATGACGCCGGAAAGAAGAATGAAAGGTTTTGGCCTCCGAGATACGATGAACGGTCCTCAAAGATGCATGGTCGTGCTGGTGATGTTCAAGATGGGGGAGATGAGGACGGGAAGGTTTGCCTGTGGGGAAGGGCTTGGCTCGCAGACCGATTCTGGGGTACCGTACAGCCGATCGCATAGCCACGAGTAGGCACAGCCCTTTAGGAACTGCAGAATATGCCTATCATTACTATTATGCTAGAAATGGTCGTCTAGACGCCTTTTTGGCGTAGTGGTAAAATGGCTGACAGGAACTTACAATTGCCACTAGGTAATTCTTTGGATGGAACATTTCTGATCTCATACTCCGTCGCTCCGATTGCGGCAACCTTAAAAAGGTTTCGCGGGGTTTTGAGTTGTTTGTCAAGATGTTTTGAATCAAGAGATGCCCGTGTCTTCCCTCCACAGACATCGAACATCGAGAAATATACCTCGCCTTGACGCGTCAAATTGGTTTAGTTTAGGCGTGTTGGAACTGGATCCTCAGATCCCACATTAGACTAGAAAGATCACGTTCACCTCTCTACTAAGTGTGCCAATCTATATGCAGTTGTCTTGTATTATCTCTTTTTTTTCTATTTAATGAATGACCCCATCAAAGATCGTTTAAGGAATCTTACAAATTTGCTTTCTCCTTCCCTACAGGCCTGCTAATTGGTACGGTGTTAGTCCACTCTACAACAGCCTCATATATAGAAAAGCTGAGAGCGCCCGAGACCTAGAAGCCAAGAGTTAGCCTCGTCATCGACAATTTCAAAGCTACGAAGAGTCACGAACACTCAACCGGACCAACCGCGGTGTAGTTCCTCGCCATAAAGCAGAAATGCCCTCCTGTGTAATCACGGAACGGAAACAATTGAGGGATCCTCGATAACGCTGATTTCCATCGATAGCCTGGAGTCGCGTCTTGACCGAGTCGAACGGCATCGTTGCGTACACTGTGACAATACCCGCCATAGCACCCGCAACGACAGTGCTGACGGATTTTGGCAAGTCTGTTGCCTCCATCTGACCCAGGAAGATATTGTAGCTTGTAAAGCGCACCATAGCATTTGCAGACTGCTTCAGTGTCACCGGAACCACGCCGCGGTATAACCCAGGCAGGCCTTCCTTGCGGAAAATGGAGATGATGCCATGCCCAGTCGATCTATACAGCTTGTGTCCAGCTCGGTCGTCGATCATTTTTGTCTTTATAGTTTCACCCGGAGTGACCACGACAACTGCCTCTGCCACTCCAGCCATCAAAGCCGCACCCATATTTCCTAGCGGTATCACTTTGCCCTTTGTATCGGTCGGCATGAGTTGTCGGGCCATGTCGAATGTGAAGAAGCGAATTCCCGATTTGGAGGCGTTGGAGGCGCAGAAGACTCCCGCACCGGTGTAGAGAGTGCGGAGTCCATGATGTGGAATGACTGATCTCAGGATTTGTGTAAGCGATTGTTTCTCCGCGCCGCCAGCTTTGAAAAGTTGCTGGCGAGTCTTCAAATACTCGGTAGGATACTAGATATTGTTCAAGGTGTTAGTACAGGCTTCTTTTCTGCTAGGCTCATGCTTTCCATACAGTGATCAGACTCTCAAGGCCGCCAGCAGCGCCTCCAGCCACTATAGATTGCCATGGCGATACCTGTTTCCGAGTGGACATGGCTCGGTTAGATTAAACAAGTGGAGATAAAAGTCACCATGTAACCATATTGGCCCCGTCTAGCCGGCATCACGGACATATATGAAATGAGTAATGATGTTGACCAAATGGGCGCTTCCCGATGGCGGGTTGGACAACCTTCGTAGATGCGCACGGGAACAATCCGATAACACGACCACAAGATCCGGACATCCGCAGTCGGAGGCATGCGATATCTTGGATTGTGGTCAAGAACTCAATTTGCGATTGTTGTAGGAGTTGTTCATTTCGGTGGGATTCCTCCCAGTCTCGGAATGGTCCAGACCCACCCGGAGCGCTCCAGAGACCCAGAACATCGCTACACCTCCGTATCCCCACTTCGGGGTCATCCCCGGACTAGGTCTCACTGTTCCTCGAAGGAGACTACGGGGCTCTTCTGGTTTCTTGTCGGTTGAAACCGCTGGTGGGCGTTACCAGTCTGGGGCATGTCTCCAATATTCGGAGATGGCCTTTGCCGGCTGACTTCTCTATATCTCTGTCTCCTGTCACTGAATATGTCGAACACCGAATTTTGGGCCAAACATACAATTTGTGGATATCTCTTTCCCAACCAACCTTACTCGCCGCCTATAAGTGAACTTTTACAAGAATAATGTCGTCGCAACTCTTTCCAGATGGCGGATGGGACGTCCACCACCACATTTTCGAACGTGAGATCCAAATAACCCCCTGGAGAATCTGCTACTAACATAATATAGCTGAACGGTTCCCCTATGATCCAAACCGACATCTCACACCACCCCCGGCATCGATCAAAGAATATAACGAATTCAAAAGAAAGACGGGCATAACGCATTCAGTCCTGACCCACGGTCTCTCCTATGGCGCAGACAGCAGCTGCCTCACTACATTCACCACGGACCTCGGGCGCGCAATAACAAAAGGGATCGCAGTCATCGATCCTAAAACCGTCACACCAGCCGAGCTAGCAGAAATGCACGCCAACGGAATTCGTGGCATCAGAGTGAATATGTACCGATATGGTGCGATGCATGACGTCGAGCTTCAGAAGATCGCTTTAAAGGTCCATGCAGGTGCGCTGGACGGTCATTGCACCGGGTGGAGCATGGTGTTTACGCATACCCATCCGGAGTTCTGGGGTGCATTGAAGCCACTTATTGCGCGGGAGATTGTACCAAGAGGGATTCGGCTCGTAACGGATCATTTTGCCCTGTTGAAGGGGGCAAGCATGTTGTCCGCTGAACTTGAGGGTGATCTTACGCGGCAACAAGGGTTTGAAGATATCCTGGATTTAGTACGAGCGGGTCAAATTTTCGTGAAAATCAGTKCGCCATACAGGGTCAGTACCCAAGCTCCGTATTTCGAGGATCTCAAACCGCTCGTCAGAGCGTTGTTTGATGCGAATCCCCAGCAGCTTTTGTGGGGGAGTGATTGGTACCTATTTCATGATCCTTTGGGTACAGTTGCGAAGATGCTAATACTAGGTCACAGGCCACATACCCCCTTGATGAGGGTGCGTACGAGGGAGGAGGCATTAACAGAGACTCCGTATCTAAAGGTTGATGATGTGGCTTGGTTGAAAAGCCTCCGCTCGTGGTTGTCAGATCATGAGTGGAAGACGCTGATGGTGGAGAACCCCCAGAGGCTGTATGATTGGTAGATTGACATTTAGTTGCGTTATCTTGAACTTCTACGAGACGAGCCAGGGATGTATATTTATATTGATCACCTCCACAAATTGTGCTCCATTCCGTCTTCCTGGAAACTTAACATCATGCATTAGGGGTGCGGGAGAGTCTGCTATATTTACTAGTGCTAGTGTATTTTAGATAAAGATAGTCTTAGTGGGAAAAAAAGAATACTAAAAGGGCTATTGAATATGGGCTAGAGCTGGCTGCCTTTCACTAGTAGAAGCTAATGTGCTTTGCGGCTGCTTGGGGCTAGGGCCATAGTAGAACTCTATTTAATTAAGGTTCACTTACATATCTCTGAAAGCTCCCTAGCTTATAGTAGGTGTAAGTTTCAATGGTTACAGCAGTTGTGGAAGAGAATCAAAGGGGGGTAGATCAGATGATATATTCAATGGTTGTCCTGAGCAAAAGTTGAAGTGTTGATAGCATTTATAAGATGAGGTGGTCCCAAAGGATCTGTAATGCTGTGTAGCTGCAGACAAACTCCATCAACTACTCACCATGTTTAGGCAATGTTTTAAGTGGACTACTGAAATATCTCAGCCAAAAGGACTAAAAAAGTGTCTGCTAACTTCAGCCACCCAGAACCCGCTGGGTTATGGGCTGGGTTTGGGCCCTACAAATCTAGGACCCGAACCCGGTGGGTTGGGTTAGTAGAATAGGTGAACCCAGCCCAACCCGTGAAAATAACAACCCTATCCATACCCATACCCAACCCACGGGCTCAGACCATTGACCCAAAACCTGCCAAAAAATGGGTTTGGGTTGGGCCCAACCCGTCAACCCGCGGGTTATGGCGAGTCCTAGCCATAACAGACACAAGAGCTATTATTAGATACTCCTTATTTCCAGTACTAAGTACCTAAATAGCTTAGGATAATGCATCTTGAATTGCACCCTCAGGKGGAGTAGGGATGGTCACTCTACTTACCTAAATATAGCCTTTCATGCCTAGGTCCTGCATTGTACTCCACTGCTGCATTAATATGGTGGAGGGAGATGAGTTATATAATATATTATGAATAATAGTGATAACGAGTGCTATGTAGAGATCCTATTTAGCAGATGTCAGACTCAGTTTCAGGATATAGAAAAGGGCAGTTTTAAGGACTAGAGGGACCTTAAAAATCAGGAAGTGAGCAGCGTCCAGTGGGGAAGGCATGAGAGAACAAGGCTTAATACAATCAGTCACAATAGAATTCTTAGGGTAACCTCTTAGTGTTGATAGAAGCTGGGAAAGCGCCTCCCGAGGGGTCATCCATGATTTATTCAGGGCACCTGACGCTGAAGTTGGGGGTTGCGCGCCAAGCGCAAAAGGCCCGCTCAATACGAGACGACTAGATTTTACAACATCATTCCCGGCGTTAGCGATGTGATGGATTTTAATACAACGTTGGCGGGTCGCTCAATAACACAGCTTCAGGGCGCTGGTGCTATACCCAAATATTAAAATGTTCGAAAATATCCAGCTGTATCCGAAGTTAGGGTTTGTGGAGACAGGCCGGAGGACGGAGAATAGATACGAACGGGTTTACTTTCGGAAGGATCTCACATGAGATAAGGATGAGGATCTGTTCTCTTTAGTGCCAGCTTAGAGAGATCACATGCATGGTGGAATTGTTGCCGGATTGGATCGTGCTGCATGTCGATGGCGTCCAGGTGTTCGGGGTACTACAAAAATGCAGTAACTTCTTACTTGGTTTAGAGCCTCAGCCTTACACAAACGAGACTACGTAGCATTATACAGGACGCTCGGGGTCCCATCCATGACTTCCCAAGCTGACTAGATTGCTGTCGGAGTCGAGAAAGACGGATAAGAACGGAAGAGCGATATTCTGTGATGCATATAGCTTGAGATACTTCTCAAGTGTTTGGTATTATTGAATTAGTATATGCTGTCAAAGCCTATTGAGTCTGTATCTGATTTCTTCCTGATGGTATCACCGGTGGCGTATATGATACAGCTTAGGGTCTATTCAGGGACAAGCCCGACTGTAAAGTGATCAAAAGTGGCGATACTGGGACTTTGGTGGTCATAGATTCACCATGTGATGTAAACCTGGGTGGATTGAGTCTGCTGGCCCAGATTATACTCTTATTTCGTCTTTCCATACACACACAACCCAACTGTTCAACTATGAGATCTGGCCAGACTATCTAGACCCGTGCCATTGGCGATCCGAGTTCTAATCTTCTGTCCCAGATGCACCATAAGCAAAAGTGATGTGAGAGCCTTTCTTAGCATGATTTGTTGTTTGTTAACTCATACTGTGATTGAGAAAAGACTCGACACCATACGATGAATTGAACTCTCGTTTCCGCGATGGATCGKTACGAAAGAGACCAATCTGGGAGTTCCCGGGGCTTGTCTTTACGTTCGGGAGGATTGGAAGACCATACGGAAGGGAATCAGCAATCTAGCGATCAATCCTCAAGCGACGGTGCCCAGATCCTCCGTCTTGTCGTCCGGGTCAATTCTGCCAGCCTTTGAATTGATGTATTTATTCCTAGACATGCGTACGGTTAGATTCATGCAGATAAGGGTTGGCCAGGCTAGACTTGCCTCTCATCGGCCCATAGCAGCGCAACGTACGCAATGATAAAAGGCGGTGCGACATAGAGGGCCTGCTGTCTGCAGCGACGGGCAACATTGAAAATGGCTGCGTGGAAGCAGCCGGCCAGAGGCCTAAGACGGTTAGGGGACAGCAAGTATGTTGCCAGGCGCTGTGGGCTGGCGCGAACTATGGGTAGGTACACAATATCAGATATGCCGCATCATTTTGCTGAACAAGCTACCCATTTGGGATGTCGTTGCGCACGTACCAAAAGCTCCCGGAACACCTAACCAGCTTGTACATTGTCAGCTAGCCGTTGAGAACCGCATCCACTAGGCCCTTGCGGAGCTTAAGATAGGCTGGAATGATATTTGGTCGAATCGAGAAGTGGATAGGGGGCAAAGAGAAGAGGCTCTACTGACTATCCGTTCTTAGGGTCGTTCCAATTACCACCCATCGTGAAAGTTCAGACAGTTCGAAACTCTGGCGGCAATAGCTGGCGGAAATGGAAGGCTTGATATGCAGAGCAGAGGAACCAGAAGTCGGAACTCTTTTGGATCTGAACGGGTCCGCCTTTCTTATGTATCTTAACCTGCACTTAACGATGGATCTCCGTCGGATTCTTGGCGATTCCGGGCTCCGGCCAGCTGACGCGGAGCTGTGAATCTTCCTCCGGTGCTTTTCCTGCTACCTGGAGCCCATGACTGAGGGCTTCCTAGACAGATTCAACTGTCATTACTCGAGAAAGAAAGGCATGTTGTTTCCTGGTAACTAGCCCATGTATTGTCCAATGCTGAACCTACTCTGTGTGATGGCAAGATATGCCCGCCAGTAAGAGTCAGTTCAAGTACTGATTCAATTCAGCTAAGACATCAGTGCGAATCTGAGCCCCAATCTACAATGGAATCACAGGCATTGTACCAATCTATCGAAGGTTCTGAATTAAAGAGCTGCCATATCAGCTCGTTGTCCCACAGCGTGGGGTCCGTTGGAGCGTCAACACCCAGACTCCAACCCTCGCCATTTAAGGATATAAGTGAACCCGTTCCTGAAGCTGTGCCAATGCTGGACCTGGCATGGTCCGGTTTCTGCCCGCTTCTCGGTGGATTATGATCGTCACTTCCGGTGCCGGTAGGAGTCATTGTCCCTTGCCTTCGTTCCAGTCCCGAACACTCCTCATGTCCAGGAACATTTGCGGACGTGATAGCATCCCGTGGCCGTACGACTAGTGGTCGACAGATGTTAACAAGTGTGCGACACAGGGTATGCAGTTTCGCAATGTGCTTGTTCGGGGCAGGCAGGCCAGAAAACCCAGTAGAAATGTTCTCCATGAGATTGAAGTCTGAGTTGTTAGCAGTGCAGACAACGTGGCAGAACAAAACAAAAAATGGGCACAAAGGATAGGTAGCGACCATCCTAACATGAGTTAGCGACGGGCATTAGATATCCTTCTTCGCGAGACAAACCATGACAAGTAAAATTGGTAGCCTCCAAGGGCATTCCGGTCCCCAGAGACCAAGCTCTGTATCTTCTGAAAAGATAAGAGCGCTTTTCTGGCGCAGGAGAGGCATGTGTTCCGTGAGGTTGCATCGGACAACATGTTGGGATTTAAACGAAGGATAGCCGTTTCAATGGCATGAGCGGTGAAGTCTAGATTCAACACATGTAAGATCACGTCCAGATTGGACTCATGGGAAATTGAATCGGAAAGCTCCATTTTGTTAGCATCCACGCATAAAGTGTCATTTGTCAAGACATCAAAGACATACTTCGCGTATAGAATTGTGAATTCTATTCATTTGATTTCGCAGGATGCCAATCTCACTAATTAACCACCCTTCATCGCTTCCATGATTATGTGAAAAGTGAAGCTCCATGGCGGATTCCTGCACTTGAGCCAATTCCGTGAAAAGCTTGAAGACAACCGCCATCGGTTCTCTAGGGCTGTGACCCACAAGATCGAGGACGGATGCCCGTAACTTCGGCAGCACTGGAGGCCTTCGGAGGAGCATGCTCATCGCCTTGTCGAAGTGGTAGCACCAGACAATGCACAATCGAGCTTCTTCATCCTCGTCTGTCTTCGCGACTGTATCGGTGACAAGATGATATCCAGTAGCGACTACAGTGCGACAGGCCGAGACAGTTAGCGTGAGGCAGCCTTGCACATCCCCTAGAATTGCCATAATAATAGCCTGTTGAAGGGTCTATATAAGAACGAGAGCCCGTAAGATAGCTGTTCGTGCCACTTACTCCAGTAACAAGTGCCTGCAACAGGAGCAGGGACGGAGGTGCTAGAAACCCGACGCGGTTCAGTGCAGCCAGAGACGCATGTAAGTGCTTGGTTTTCAGGTCTTCAACGGACCTCAGCAGAGAAACCTCACGTACTTCTGACGGTGTATAGGCGTGATATAGCACAGCTGCTCGGAAATGCAAGATAACTTTGTGGAGGTTAGCGTTTGGCTCGTCAACTGTGGCCCCCAACTGAGCCAAGGCGATCCGTTTTATAGCGCTCCTTCTGGGGAAATCAGGGAACCGAAGGCCCGTGTCCGCACTCTGTTGTTCATTCCCATCTGTAGGACTCAGCGCAGAATAACAAAACAACACGCGCTGCCTGTCTTACCTCTCATGAGAATATGTGTGATATCCGCCTGCGAGAGTTCGGCAGTGGGAGCATCACCCTGATCCCAGCGAGTAAAGTCATTTCCAGCCAGGTCCGCGCCATGAGAGAGTGTTTCGACTAACGTCAGGGCTGACCGAAGGACCCCGCGTTGACTGGTGGACAAACGGTGATTGCGGTACAGCTCCGTGCGGATGAAGGCCCGAGCCTCATTCTCGCGAGTCGACGTGGCGTCAGAAAGCGGCGTACAGTAGGCAGAGTCCTCGATAGCAACCTCTAACGTACGTTTCCGTTTCAGGGACTGTCGAGGAACCGTTGGGGATGTAACAACATCTGTCACTTCCTCTGCTTCGGGAGGGACCGAGGCCGCAGGTTGAACAGGATCTTGATTACTCGGTGACTGCTGAGCGAACTTGCTGTGCCACAGCACTTCCTCCAAAGCTGACAATCGTTGATCAATTGCCTGGATCTTCTCATTGCTATCTCAAGTCAGTAGAGAGCATGATGTTTGTCTGAGGCTAGAGCGGTCTCTTACGTATTGACTTTCTGACGGACTGTGCGTTTTTGCCGAGACCTATTGCATTGCAATTTCGATGTCGCACAATTGTAGCACGGCTGCCGTTTATCACATTTTATCTATTGAGAAGAGAACATCTGAGATCGTGAAATACCTGGAGCTACAAGGAAACCCACCTTTTTGCTGTAACAGAGATCGCACTACACCGGGATTAGCTCCACGAGGTACGGCGTCATGCATGTATGCAACTCACCGCCAGGAATTCATGGGGTTCCTGAAGTTCTGTCATATCGCCTGTTTCTTACCACCATGAAGGATCTTAGCATGGGCCAAAGGCTTTGAGGTGCCAGAGATAGTCTCGGGGTCCGAACTCATGTCCCTCCGGGTCGGTCACGTGGGCACCGGAGCCCGGAAATGCCAAGCTCCGTATACTATCGTTGAGCAGCAGTCATTGTTGAAGCTCGCTCAAGGCTAGACTGGTAGTGGATTGGATATGGTTTGATCCACCACCTACCTAACCCACCCAATATCCGTGCGGATTGGATTATGGATAATGGATATATCCATAAGAGAACACTAGTAGTCATGTGACCTCACCACGATTCGCGCACCCCTTATTATATTCGGCCATTGCGGTCCTAGCTAGAACTCTCGGCGATTTCTTACTGTCCAAACCTAGGTTATAGGTTGACCGGCTTCTAGCCCGCGACAATATATATTAAGAACATTATCTTTCATACGTCTCAGGAGCGTCTGAGATGTCTTACACTCCCATTTTAAGGTAAAGCTAGTAAAGTTATAATATATTATCTTCTAGGATGGCACACGCCTTTTCTATATAATAATAAACTCTTCTGCAAAGAGCTTAAGAATTTAGGGGGAGAGATCAGGTTCATCCTTTAAGAAATTCATCATCACGCTTTCATTACAGGAAAGTCCCCATCTGTGACTAGTATCAGCATTCAGCAGAATGTTTTTTTAATATTAATAATCCTAAAATAGTAGTAATGACTTACACTGCCTAATTAAATACAGCTTTATTATACTTTATATCAGTAGCTAGTGCCAGTCTTGGATGGTAAATAACATTCTCCTTCTATTCCTGCTAAAGTAAATAGTTAAGAGTAAATCTATATAATTTAGTAAGCCTCTGCTGCTCTCTAACTACTTTCTCTAGATGTTCTTTATCCATTTCTAAAAGTATAGTTATATGATATTACATATAGGGAGGAGCTCTGGGGCCAGTAGATAATTTAGTAAAGATTAAATAAGGTAGGAGCTAAAAAACTTCATCTTAAATAACAGGGCTCTTGGCCTATTTAACAGCAGCTAGATTAATAGCCTAGTGTATGTTTTGCTTGGTGAAGGTGTCCTCCCTTACTACTCATAAACCCTCATTACCACCTCCCTTCACCACTTGTAAGCCATCTTCTAGAGGGGTGATGAGGAGCAATAAAGTCCTCACCTACATTACCAGTACCCACACTAAAATCATAAGGTCGCATTTTCAGGGGAGGAAGGCATTTTAAGAATTTACCATGTTCAATAGGTGGCTTAAGTACAGCTGAGCGGACGGGAAGCCCTGTTTTCCACACATAGGATTCCTCTACTTGAGGTCTATATAGGCACTTATTGAACACATTAAGAGCACTTTTGCCCTTAGTTGTATTTAATGCCAGTCTACACAGGTTGGTGCTGTGGCTTAGGGATGGGGTCATGCTAAGGTCATAACGGCTGTATTCCTATAGTATGTTATTACCACCGATGTTATGAAACTCATACTGCTCTTCTCATATACACTTCTTGCTGTATAGAGATCTATATGTTGAAACTGACTTGCCAAGTGTGGAATGTTATCACATAGACTGCGGTATACATACTAAACATCCAGCAAAGCTGTCATGTATGTCATTTCCTAGGCTGTCATGAATTCCTTAAGGGAATCGACATACAACGAAGCAGAAAATGCTCGTCCGAGATTATAGCCCTTTATGTGGTGGGATCAGGGTGTGAATGAGATGAATCAAGACAGCGATGATGCCTGTGACGCTTAATATAGGTAGGCTTTACATACCTGCTGATCATACTCATATAAATATTAATTTCTATCGAGGAGGCTTCGTTATTTGTGTTCCGAGTGGCCTCCTTTGGACCGGCTTTCTTCCGAGCTGCCGTGACACTTAGCGGGATTACGTAGGAACTCATCCCATCAGATTTTCTCAAAGTTTCTCCGTTGCGGACAGTCAGAGGGTCAGAAATTAAAACTACGACGCATTCCTGGCGATTTGGACGCTTGTAGTCACGTCAGTACTTGAAGTGTCGGTCCGTACTGCAAAGCGGGGACAATGATAGCTCTAAGGTAGATCCAAGAGAATGCAACGAAAAGAAGCAGGGCATTAGGTTGCTGGCATAGTTTCCCCAAATAGGAGTCCAACGGGAACCAGGTATTCTCAGAAGACTGACATTGAGATCTGAACGTATATACCTAAGTCGGGTCGCCTATCAGTTCAGCCATCCTCCGCGAAGAAGACCTTTTCAGGTAACCAGTTGTCATTGCATGATTTAAATCGCGTACTGCAACCATTCAACATGTCTATCTCATAACGACTCAAGTCCCAGCCATCCAGTTCGATGTTGTCTCGGATTCTCGACGCGCTTACACTCTTGGGTACCACGCTTGTACCCCGCTGGATGGCCCATTTAATTCTTTAGTGCCAAAAGAAGATCAGCATATACAGAGTGGACATGGCACGAAATGAGGAAATCATGAGCGGAGGAAAGAGGGGGCCAGAGGGGCAGCGCTTACAAAATCTGTTGTGGTGATTTATCTTTCAGCCGCGATACCTCAAGTACCGCCTGGTCCTGTATTAGCGGGGAATCAGTGGAACCCAGGCATGCATATGCCGTGCAGTGAATATCATGGTTATTGCAGTACGTGAGGAGTAGGTGAGAGGGCCAGTAGGGGTGGAGCTGTAGCACGTCAGCAGTGGCTGAGTCAAGCTACTACGGATCTGCCCGTTACCTCAATTTGATTGACTGCAGGAACGACCTTGCAGGATGGATGATTCAACAGTCGCTGGAGGTGGGTGATGCCGAAGTTCGAAACCCCAATGTTTCGCACGATGTGTGGTTGTAGTTGTTGCATTGCTTCCCTGTATGAATCAGAGTTGTGGCCGTGAGTTACTTCTAAGTACTATACTGTGCCGTACCACGTGTTGACAAAGTTCCAATTCTTCAGCTGGGTGGTCTGATCGTTGGGGCAGGCGGATACAGGCCAATGCTTGTGAGGTCAGCCAATGAATCCTCGCATATGATAGCTCGAGGCGCGTTTACCATGAGATAAAGGTCGATATAGTCCATGTCCAGCGCGTCTAGAGACAGTTGCAGAGCACTCTCAACACGGGTATGCCATCTGTTGTCGAGTTTAGTTGTGATCCAAATCTGCTTACGTGGCACACCAGAATCCTTAATGGCTCGGCCAATCTCATGCTCATTCTCGGAAGACTGTGCTGCATCAATGTGGCGATATCCGACATCTAATGCCGTACGAACAGCCTTGTATACTTGCCCTGGCGTCTCGGCTCTGCGAGTACCCAGGCCAACGGCGGGGATTGGGGCTCCAGTATTGAGCCGAAATACTTTCTCCCGGTAGCCGGGATAAGCGAAGGAGGTCGAGGAGGAAGAGGTAGAGAAGTTGGCGGCAAACCCTCGGCTGCTTCCGGATATTTTGGACAAGGGCCGGCTGTTAGTGGCAGCACCCAAACCTCCGGCTGAAGAGGACAGCAGCAGCGGGTGCCGCACCTGCCGGCTCGCAAGCGACGCGTTGATAGCGTCCACAACGGAAACTGTGTGCAGCGCGTTTCCTAAAGAGGATGAAAATTCAGGTCGACGACCCGATATCCAGTCACCGAATTCTTGGGCCATGGTTTGGATCACTTGTTTTTGCCGTGGCTGATGTTTGACCTTTAACGTCTCAAAACCATTGTTGTCGTGATGGGTGATTTGATACCCATCAAGATGAAGCGTACCATTGGTCCCTGTCACTGTGATAGATTGGATAGGTCTATGGGCGACGCGGGACAGGCGTACATGGCCGATGCAATTTTTTGCTCCCCAGTCCATTAGAATGTCAGAGACATCATCCCCGCCATATCTTTGGCCACGTCGAACAGAGGAGACCTGGTGTGCCATAACGGAGGTTGGCGGTCCGAAAAGCCACACAAGCATGTCGAGCATATGACAGCCCAGGTCTTCCTATAGACAATAGGCAGGTCAGTTCGCTGTATTGCACGCCTGACGGGTGCAGGGCTTAGCCTACCGTGACTCCGACACTGGATGCTGCACGCCATGTTTCCTCGAGGTTCGTAATATTGAGGGTGAGGCTCGCCTCAACCGCCGCAACTTCTCCAACAAGCGGGAGAAGGCTCTTAAAATGTAGAAAATGTGGTTCAAATCGCTTTTGGAAGGTGATTCCAATCCTCACTGGCAGCCTGGTCATCCACTCGTACTCTGCAATGGATTCTGCAACAGGTTTCTCCTTTAGGACCGAAATGCCCTTTGCTGCAAGGGTGGTGATGCATTGAGTGTGGGCGCTATGGGGCACAGACACAATTGCAAAATCCGGTATGTGGCTCTGTAGCAGCTGTGGTAGTGAAAGGTAGGTGGGGATTCCCTTGTGTGTCGCGGAGAAAGCGTCCAGCGCCACGCGATTCGTGTCACAGACGGCGGTTATTGAAACAGACGGATCTTCAGATAGGCTGAGAAAATGGCTTCTGTAGCCCCGGTATCCGAGACCCACCAGTGCAATGCTGTAGTGTCGCAAGATTACAAAGTTATGTGGAACGTGACTATAAGGGGTGGGATACCGGGTCGCAAAAATACGTCCAGCCGAGCGCCGCGCCTGGCTGTGAAATGACCGAGATGTCGGCATTATGCGCTCTTCCCTGCTAAGTGAGAGGCTGAGTGAGTCTCGAGATTTCTACACTGCAATGCAGACTCGCCCTTTAACGCGAAGGTGGACAGTGAGATAAATCGCTCTTTGAGGGACGGCAGCAGCGGCAGAGCCTCACGGCACATTCAGCTCATGACTTCGCAAAAGCAAAAACAGATCAGGCGGATTCGACGGCTGTGCGTCGACTACAGGTGTCAAACAAGACAGGGGTCCCTTGCCCAATGTGAGCCAATAATAAAGGTACCAAGCCCGGTCGCCTTGTCTTTTTTATACGTTGGATTGACTCAGCATTCGGATGCATTGTTAATGTCGGCCTCCAGTTAATGCTTTGCGATGCGCCAATGACAGAGGGATATTACCGTTCTGTACGCAGAATGGTGACCATACCTCTGTTTTAAGACTCGTGCATAGCACAAAGAGCCGGCGGCGGATATTGCGGATATTGCATAGCATCGCCCAGCCAGAGGTAGGTGGCCTTTGGCCTCAATTGAGCACTGGCCTAGGAGTGCAGAGGAAATTCGAATCCCTTGACGCCCCCAATCAGCTTCGCACTAAAAATGGTAAACCTATACAATGAAAAGTCTAGCTCGCCATCCTTCGCCAGTATGTCTGCCAAGGGCGTCGATTCTATAGGGTAATTAGCGAAACAAAAGCCTATCTTGAGACAGGGCAGGATATCATTTCCCGGGTTGGGGCGGCCACGCTCCGAACATTCACCTTAATATAATCCTCGGGAGGTTTCTCGGTAGTGGCTATTAGCTATATAATTATTTTTTTTAAACACTGGTACTTGGAAAGTTCTTAGAATAGGCTAGAATAGGCTATTATATCTATTGCGGATTCCTCTCTTTCGATCTCGTATGACAAACTAACAAGACGTGCTTGCTGTTTCCTTTTACGTGTTCTTGATAAGCAGCTTCAACTGGGTGACTGAAATGCGGTGTTTTATACCGCTGGGCGCCTTCTTGGGAAGGTTCAATTACAGTACTTTGCGAAATTTCCAACCCTGACAAGATACCTAGGCAGCCCGTACCCTACCTCGAGTGTAGCAACCCTTGCCCCCCCCCCCCCCCCCCCCCCCCGGCCCGGGGGGGGTCAGTAAACAAATCGTACACGAAACTGCAACCCATCGCAGGGGTCACGTATTCAAGGCGATAAAACTGACCATAGATTCAAATTTCACAGGATGAAGTCTCCTGACTTGCCCTCACCCACCCAACCATGAAGCATTCCTTTCTGTCTTCTTCCTTCATCTGGACCCCTTTTCAACATCCCCCTTACCCCGTGGCTGACCCCGAAAGGACCAACGCCCAGCTCTTCTCGTTTCCAAGTCACGTCGAATACAGTCCTTGAGAGCCCGGATATCCGGCGGCCGCTCGCTAATGAGCCGCTTCTTCTCGTTGAAGACAACCCACCACGAATCATCAACGCCGCGCGTATGAGGAAACAAATGCCAGTCCCAAAGGCTCTTCTGCTCCTCGCTGCTGAGATTCAGCCAAGCATATAAATCCTGCCGCGCTGTCGATCGCTTCTTGCAACCCGGCCCGCCATTTTGCACCTCTAGCGCATCCCACCTGCGCAGGACGCCTCTTTTGTCCGTGACAAACTCCACGTCTTCTGGCCACTCAAAGACTGTCGCGCTCAGCTGAGGCCCGGCCTGGTAGACGTACGGCCCGGCATCCCGCCCCCGGAGCCAACACCACGCTTTATGTACCCGGGAGTCGTCGCAGCCGAAGCCGTAGCAGATCAACACGGTTGGAATCACTGTAAACGCAATCACGTAGAGCTGGGTTGCGAGCCGGGCCATGCCTAGTGTGACGACGTGGACAGTGAATGCCACCCACCCGATCCATTGTGCCATGCGATACATGCCGGGGGAGCGGACGGGGGTTTCGGTGACAAAGACCCCGCGAAGAAGATGCTCGGGAATGAACATAGCGATGGCCCGCGAGTCAGGCATGACGACCAGGATTTTCACTACCTCCGGGCGCCACCGTGGAGGGGCGGAAGAGGAGGAGTCCGGTAGGGGCCGCGGCGCCTTCGGGTCTTTCTTCCGTTGCTCTTCCCATTTGTCGAGGGCACTTGCATAAGTTGATGGAAGTGGCTTTGCGGCGGCAACAGATCTGTTAATTGCGTTGCGGTTCTCGTGTATCATGTAAGAGCGGACGAGAATGAGTAGGATGATGGCAATCCCGTTCGCAAAGCCGTACCAATCCCCGGACAGAATCGTCATCGCAAGGAAAAACATTGTGAGAGTAGCTGAGATCGAAGCCGGAACAAGCACGTAGGACCACTGGTCAAGTCGTGGTGGCGATGACTTGTTCACTTCCCAGTAGACCAGGCTGCGGGAGACATGGAACTCTTGCGCTTGCATCCACCTGGTAAACCATGCTGCCAGATTCCCTGTTACAATCCCGCTAGAGACGTTGTATAACGTGAATGTTGGCTGCTTGGCACGGAATCTGTCGCCTGCAAACACAAATCCAGCAAGCAGGGGCATATACTCAAGCCAATAGCTAGGGGCAAGCCGACCGACAGATATATCCACCTCATTCGCACCTAACAGAGTCAGCAGCCCGAGAGCATCGATCTCAAAGGGGGCCCATTCCGAAAGACTCTTCCAAGGATAGAACATGGCTATTTCTGAGGCTGTTCTAGTGTCGTCGTCAGAATGGCCAACATGTGTGCGGTGAGAGCGGGGATGGTTAGTGAGAAGAGGGACGACGTTAGGGTCAGCCGTGTGAGGCTCTGGCCAATTACGCCTGCATTGAACCCAACATGGGCGGTTTTCGAATCTGCCAAGTCACGGGCTTGAATCAGAATTGCTCTCATATGCATGTTTGCTATGCATCCTCTACCGTTTTTACGTGTTCTGCCGAATTTACCGCTCGTGTTGTACCGAGCTTGCGGGCAAGGCTGCGGACAAGGCTGCGGACAAGGCTGCGTCAAGGCTGCGTCAAGGCTGCGTCAAGGCAGAATGTGCTGTTCACCCTCGTATAACCTTGAGTTTAGCTCTAAATTAAGGGGCTGCCATGTGCGCCTTTCACAACGTCAGCAATTATGCGACCTCATCATATAGCTGGCAGAAGCGCAGAACAAAGGAGGTACATAATCGCTCCATCTGCCTCTAAGCCAGGTCGTGGGCCTCAAAGATTGGTTGTACCAACCACAGCGCTCTCTTGCGATAGTTGACGAGCCATATCTCTTACTATTCCTGAAGGGCTTTTCTTAACTGTTCTGAGCCTTAAATGGTCAGCCTTTTTTTTGGCGGTTCAACCGCGGTTCTTGACATCTGCGGTTTTATTGAAGTCAAGATGATATATTTTCCTGTTCGACGACCCTGACTCTTCCCTAATACGGTTAAACTAAGAGAAGCCAAATGGAATGAAGCCGGACGACAGGTATCTGTGCAAAGCAAATAGATCGCAGTGCATTATACTTTCCATTGATGCCTCGGCCAATATAATAAAAATATCCCCAAGAAGTCTCAAATACCGTCATTAAGAATTCACAAAAGGCTGACTATCCTCAGCTAGCCCCGCAGACCTGCACCTGCGCCCCATAAGCCCTGGCTCTACGCACCGCGGGTTGGATTCAGACCTGCGCGATGGCCACTACCAAATCCACAAAAGGCAAAAAGTCACCCGGTTAATAAGTGCCCCGAGAACAAGCAGAGCTTAGTGACAAGGCCGGTTGCATGCGCCTCTGACCGAAGAGATACACTACACGTATAAATATCTTCAGTCCCCAAAACAGAACGCAAAGGTTAAACTTGCCCCACGCCTCATTTAACCTTGGTAGCTTTCACATTCTTCTGGCTTGCCCTCCTGCAGGTCGAGCATCTCCCGCATCGCGTGTGTTCTATGGTACCGAGACACTGGGGCTTCTTCTTCTGTTTCTTGCAGGCGCTGCTCCCAGGGTTCTTGCATTTGGTTGTTTTTGAGTTACCCTTGATGACAGGGGCGCCACAGCCGAATTTCCACTGCGTATATAGTTCGTGACACATGGCGCGGTGATTGAGTCTTCAGATAATGTCTGCCTTGGTGAGGGTGCGCTCGGCAAAGAAGGAATTGGGATTGAAGATCTGGGAGAATGCGGATTGAAACTGTAAGAGCGGACATTGCACCGGACTGGGATCACATTTTAAGTACGGCAATCAGGTAGAGTTGCGCTGACGTGAGCCCCAGAGATGAGGACGGAGGTGGGTGGGTGGCCACACGGGGTCGAGGGACTGTTGGTTCAGTTCTACCCCCAGTGGCGGAACGATCAGTTTGATATGCCAAATTCCCACTTCAAGAGTGCTTTGGGCCACTGCACACTGCAAGGGTTAATTGGATCCACGTTGTGTGCCTACGTCTAGCTGAGGTTTGGATGCAAGGCTGTGGATGTTCAGTCCTTGGCGTAGCTACAAGTGACAGGACTGGCTGCTCTCATACTGTCCAGGGATATATGTGATGAGGACAGAGCAGGCCAGAAAGCGGGGAATACTTACCTGTCGTAAACCAGTCTTCACCCTATCGCAGGAACACAATGCAGCTATAGCTGGCTGTAGAAGTAGGGGATGTTAGTCTGCTCTTTCTGTCCACACGGCCGGGCAAGGACAAGGTACTCTATCGAGGACCTCTGTTCAGAAGACCGCTAAATKGCAGAGATGATAGGGATAGTGTCTGGCGCAATCACTCTGGCCGATGCAACGGCCAAAGCCGGAAAGAGCATCATCGCCGTCAAACAATTTTGGAATGACGGGAGGTGCACGCAGTTCCCAATTAGGGCATCGACTCCCTCCTCAATCGCCCAGCAATGCGCGAATCTGCTTTGGGCAATAAGCGCAGAGCCCACTGGCGACAAGAAAGTGGTCTATAACAATAATGCCATAGGATTGAGCACTCAGTAAAAGCAAGTGCAAGAAACAGTCTTAATACCCTACCAAGGGAGCTATCGCGGAATTAGATAGTCCCAAGCAAAGGCAATAGGCTCACTTCCTGTGGTGCCTGTAATATCGCACCGTATCCCAGTGAGCCAGTTGGTGGGTTGGGGTCAAAGGCTGCGTAAGCCACAGTGCCGAGGGTTCATTGGCCAAGTCGCGGGTTTTACGAGTATCTGGAAATGCTCTGAAGAAAGATAGTAAGGGTCGATTGTTGGCTCTGTTTATTCTTTCCCGGGCTTGAGAACGGCAACTCTCACAACAGGCAGCATGGACGTGCAGATCAATTTTGTCCTTGATGATGGTGCTTCAAGGCTCAAGGATACGAGCTTGTGACTGGTGTAATTGAAGTAGTCTGAGAACGATGAGAGGAATATGCATTTTGGATTAGAGGCTCTAGTAACTGTATCATGAAGCCTAACCTAAATAAATCAACTCCCATTTGAGATTGCCCAACTTTGCCCAGGTTGATGCTAAGACGTTGCTAATAATACAGCGCCGGTAGCACACTCCAGAGTCGCATTCTTCGACCAACATTAGCTTTAGAGTGAATAGTGATCCCTGATTGAGCTTTGTGTGGATAGCACCAACCACGATGAACTTGCCCTGTTTAACGTCAAGCCGTGGTTCCCTCCAGTGGTGCTGTCCGCTGACCTTTGCCTGTCCGTCACTAAGTGTAGTGTTTTCCTTGAAAGGCTCGCTTTTGGATCTTTGCCTGTCCTGCGAGATCTCCAGGATGGCCGTGCTAGTCCAAAAGCAAAGAAGCGATGGAGCGATGTCACAGAAACGGATGCTACCCTGAATGTCAAGGGTGGTAATTTCGGTCCTTGCTGTATCCATCCAAGTATGATCTGATGGGTTGTTTTTAGGAGGAAAACTAATTGCTCTGCCGTGGGCAACGACACTATCGTTGTGGAACTCAGACAGAACGTCGTCCAGGTTGTCGTGGAGGGGCGTTGGGACACCATCACTGCCTAGTCGATAAAATCTAAGCGGGAGGAGCGTAGTTGACCCATGGAAGTTCTGGACATCCGTAACGATTGATCCAAACCACCCAGTCCACGACCAACTCGGAAAGGGACAGGAAACAGTCTGAGTGCCTGCCGCTATGACCTGGCAAGCGGTGTTGCGTCTGAGAGCTTCGTTCCCAACCCACGCTAAGGAAATCTCGAATCGACTTTTCGGCATGCCCCAGAAGAACTCTTGTCCCTTTGAGTGCTCTAGGACCCGAAGAATACCTGTAAATGCATCCATCCAGTCACTTTCTGATGAGACCTGTCGCTGGCGGAATCGCTCCAAGGCCAATGAGTACAGTTTGGACCAGTGGGTAGATGCATTCCCCAGTAAGGACCCCATCGTGATCTCATCGGTGCCGTCCCGACCAAGGCAGTGTCTGTATATGTTGGGCTGTTGTTTCCAGATCGGCTGTTCCCAGATTGCATCTTCGCATAGAGATGCCCGAAGGCACTGCCAGTAAGCTTGCTCCGGGGTGAATATCAGACATCGTCGCGACAGGAGGCACTCCTGGTACGTCCAACCTCGAGTATTCCACTTGGTGTTTTTCAGATACGATTCTGCGCTATGATATGGCTGATCGAGCGACACCGCAACCGTCGAATTGTTGATCGTAAACACATCCTGGGCCGTACGCTGAGGGCCTTGCCCTAGACCCGGAATGCCAGTGGACACTTTATCTGCACCGGCGTTGATGATCGTCACAATTGCCTGTCCGTATATAATGTCCATAGCCGGAATATAACGACGCTTATCCTCTTCGTTGTCCTGGATGATACAGAGCGAATCCACCCAAAGATACTGCTCACCAAGGTCCCTGGTAACCGCCATAGCATCGACTATTGTCGCAGGCATTTTGTGAGACTTTAGTGCCCCTGGCAGGTGGTACAAGGTATAGTTCGCCGTCACCAATTCGTGCTTTTGAGCCTCGCCCCAGACGTAGCTCAGCGCCACCCACTTCACATGCTCGGAAGTAGACAAAGCGACGATGCAATCTCTGAGAACATCAACCAACCGAATAAAGGGCATCGAGCGCAGACGCTCCGGGGTGCATCCGCTCCTTTCGCACGAATTCCCATGCTCCTCGATGCAGTAATCTTTCCAGAATTTGAATAGTCGCGTGTCAGCCTTGACAGGACGCAGTCGTGCAGAGTAAGGCTCGGCTTCCACCGTGTCCCACGAGTCAAGCATATCGGAAACGTGCACCGGCCCTCGAGTCCCACTGGCCTTGTGGATAAAGCCTCTGCGGTATTCCAGACCAGGACCATACCGCTCGCGAACAAGGACCTCGATCCGGTACAGAGAAGGTAGGTTATCGACTTGACTGCGCTGCAACTCCTCGCGCCCCAGTATTGGAACCCCACTCCTTGTTATCTCAACAACAACCCTACCAGATACGGCATCATCATGATGCTTGTCTTCTGCCATAGCAACCAGCCATCCACAGACCCAACAAGTGGCCGCAGACTTTATAGCTTCCGCAAGCGGGTACATTAAATTAGTTGGCCTATCAAGCATATCCAGGTACTTCTGGATTCCGAGCCAGCTCCAGTCTATGCGGCGGCATTTTGCACAGAGGGCGTCCGGTCCTCCTGCCTGCTGTTGGTTAGCTCCGGCTCTAGGGCGAGAGATCATTTTAATCTCCATATACATACCTCCTCGACAGCCTGTAGTCGCCTATTCATTTAGGTGGCAATCTATCTTTAACCGAGCACCGAAGATCTGTATGAAATACGTATAGAATCTCTGTGAGAGACTGGACGCCAGCCACAAATACCGACACACCACTATTGTAGAAAAAGCCAGTGTAGGCGAGCGCAAAAAGCAAAGTAAAAAGCAAGACCCCTGAAAAGACAATAGTGTGCCTACGTAGAAGGTGCGATCATGTGCACTTGCACCACCACGCCTGCAGGATGCCGTATCGGATCGATTGGAACGAATCCAATGCCAAACCCCCCTCACGGTCAAGTCCGATACTGTCGCAGTCAGTACCATTCAATAACAAAGTGGCCTATCAGAATCTCTCAGTCGGAAGGGATATAGATACAGGATTGAGTGTGGATAATACGAGACTCCCTGCGATGCGGGTAAAAGTGATACAAAGGCGGGGATTCGGTTATGCGATGGGTCCTTACCTGGCAACAGGCTCATTTTAGGTCTGTTTACTGTCACTCGTAGATTCATACTAAAAAAGAAAATTCGAAGACTGGAACGGAGGGTCTGGATCAACTTTCATAGGTTGCTTTGACACAAGGCACCCTTCGTTGCTTACCTTTCATGGCGCGAAAGGCTGAAGAAAGTAATACAATGTACCTGTCAGATCGAGCTTTCAACTCAGGTCACCTATTCGCAACGCCAGACGAGGAATATGTTTAAAATGTGAGGCTGATGCACACGGCAGAGCCCGAATACGCTGAAACCCGCATCACCATCAGCCCTCAACCCCTGTCCATTCGATTCCCGCCCATATCATACCAAGATGATCGGCCGCAAGTCATCGTTCCACAATAGTAATTCAGACATGATCCCGTCCACATAGCACTCACCCAGAACCTCGTGCAGCTAATTAGCAGTGAACAAGATCTTGAGAGCTATGAGCAATTTATAGTAAAGAAACTCTACTGCTTTTCTCATATACACTTCTTGCTGTATAGAGATCTATATGAGAGCAACTCCATCAAGCTGGAAATGCTATGCTGACGATAAAACAAGCGGATTCGAGACCCTAAGCTCAATATTCTATACAACCAGATCATTAGCCCATCGAACACCCACAAAAAAGCAAAGAAGGAGAAACTCACCTCACGATACATCCCCGCCATAAGCATCCTCAGAAACGACTTCATAACCACCGTCCCTTCGCAAAAATACTCCAACAACCCCCTCGCTAGATCGCCGCCAAACCCCTCCAAGACACTCTCCAACTCCTCCATCACAACCCCACACCCTCCATGCGTCTCCAACCTCAGTGCATACAGAAGACTAGGCACATGGCACTGGAGCAGCGTGTGGCTGGCCAGTTTCCACACAGAGATCAAATCATCGGTTAAGGTGAGACTACCAGGGATCTCCCAGTCGAGGGTGAAGCCCTGCTCTCGAAGCGTGGGTTTGTGGAAATGCACCCCGCCGAAGTCGCGGATGGCGAAGCCTTTTATCTTACCCGTTGCAGTGCAGAGACGGACGACGGTGTTTTGGGCGTGCGCTTCGAGGGCGATGCCGTGATGGACGAGTGGGTGGAGCATAGCTCTGAATAGAGCGCGCACGTAGCTTTTTCCCCGCGAGTGATTGGTTAAAATGTTGCCCCAGTATAGTAGACATACGAACATACGCAGTAATAGGAAAAGGGTACTTACGTCCGAAACCACTCCTTCCTCGCCTCGACGGTGTCAAGGCTAAATAACCTCTCCGGATACGTCTTGCCATCCTGGGGATGCCGCTCCATCAACGCCGCTGCAACCACCAACGTTTCATTGTCCATCCGGGCTCTGGGCTCGAGATCCTCCCGGAGCACACAGCTTAGATGCTTCGCGGCATGGAAATCCTCCTGACGCCCCGTAACGGCTGCTACCTCTTTGAACACCCACAGATCCGCCGGGAGGGTCTTCTCGAGCAGATCCGATATCGCGCGTCCCTGCCCCGTTGTCCAGGGTGTTACCGTCCGAACCGCAGAGGTGATTTGACACGCGAGTGCGAGCTTCAGGTGGTAGTTGAACTCTAGTTCCGGGCGCAGGGTTACAGTCCGCATTGAAGCCTGAGCGTCGGCGATGGAGGATCGTTCTGCGATGACAGTCGCGTTCTCGAAATGGTGAAGGATGGCGGGGATTTGGCGGGTCAGGCACGGAACGATCAGGGTATTTTCGTCTGCTGGCTTGGGGATTCCTAGCTTCTGGAGGAGCGGTTCGAGAGTCGTCTCGAATGGACCCGTCACGCGCATGTCCTTGCGGGGGATTGATACGAACGAGAGGGATGGGGCGATCATCTCTGGGATGTGTTCTGGGAGGACGGGTTTCAGGGGCGGGATAGCCCAGCATGATCGGTGGAACTGTAGTTGGTTTTTAGTCTTCTGGCTTAGAACTGAGGTATCAGACAGCAGGGTAGGGTACCGGATGGGTTTGATGGCCGTATACTACTGAACGCTCCCACGCGATCATTGGGGAATGTAAAGAGAGGAAAGGCCAAGATTTGCTCATTTCCAACCATTTCTCTGGGACTATTCAGCTCTGCCTGCTTGTCTATGCTTGGGTGAATTCACTTACCCTGCATCTCAGCTGAGTTCCGCAACTGATCTGCCATTGTCTGCAGAATGCTCTCTTCCGCGGTATGTGTAAACCAAGGAAGAATAAAACGGAATATGGCGCCCGGTTCCAGTTCCTGTGTTTCCGAGTCTCCCTTGCCGAGAAGAACGGGTGGTTGCAAGCATTCTGGTCGTAAAGGTGGAAGGACCCGATTTCCTTCGGTATTGATCACTGTGTCATGGCGACGGTGGGCTCTAATCCACAAGTCCTTGTCCCCATTGGCACTGTGGAAGATTAACTGCTGGTGAATCAGGGTCGCAACTGCGAACCCCTCGTTCACAAGCTGGGCTAGGAGACGTTTGGTTGTCTCGAAGCGACTCCGATCTTGGGTCGTGGGGACAGTCATGGCGGGTGGCAGAGAAGGTGCGTATTGGACGATCAATTGAGCATATCTGTGGGTTGCTCATAGCCTAAATACTGTTGTTGTGACGATCCCACAGATCTATCCTGGACCCCTCAATGGAGCACAATGTCCATGTGAGAGCCAGCTGTTGGTTGGTGCGTTGCCTGCAGGAGATCTGCATGTATGTGCTGGCAAAGATAAAGTTTAATGCATTGTCCACTTACAAAGCCCCAAACTTCCACCGCTCATTGTGAGACTGATTGTAAGTGAGTTGCAGGATAAATTTCAAGCGGGGTCTGGACTCATTTTACTTTTCACAACTACGTCCTCTTGTACAATGGCTCCTGCGCTGCCCACTCCCCATACATTCGCCAAATTCAACTATCTCAAGTGGCAGGATATCTACCGCACCACAAGACCCTTCAGTAATGCGTTGGCGCTCAGTTCCTCGGACAAAGGGCAAGGGCACAACCTGGTATTCGAGCGCGGTGAAGCGCAGAGAGTCACCGATGCAAGGGGAATCGAGTCCTCATTTGATTTGGATCGGAATGGCTTCATCTATAGAACGCACAAACCGCCCCTAACAACGGAGGAATTCACCGACGCGGAGAAGGTTGAGAAGGTGTATCTTGCGGATTGTGAAAGGGTGCTCCGAGACGAGGTGGACAATGTTACGGAAGTTGTGATGTTTGACTGGCGTGTACGTATCATTGTTAATATATAGGTCGCATGGAAGGATGCTGATTCCAGGGATAGGTTCGACGCAGTGACTCTACCGGACCAGTCAAGCTAGAAGGCGCAAAGGCAGGAGGTCTTCAGTTGCCCGCGGCAGACTTTGTTCATAATGGTACAGTTCTCTTCCCTTCCTCTTCTTCTGCTAACAAGCCACACAGACCAAACGGAGGCTTCAGCCATCAGACGGACTCGTGCATCTTTTCCCCCAGAATATGCTGAGCGTCTACTCGCCGGTCGAGTTCAGATGTTAAAGTCAGTCTTCAGTCTCCCCCTCTAGAATAGCAAGGTATGACTCTAAAGCAATCAGTCTATGGCGCCCGATAAACGGCCCGGTCGAGAACCACCCACTAGCCGTCTGCGATGGAAGCAGTTACGATCCATCCAAGCTCTTGGAAGCAGACATTATTCGGGAGAAGTATACCGGGCATATGATGTATGCTTTGTATGATCCGGGGATGGCATGGTACTATATGAGTCGGCAACGGGACGACGAGATTGTTATATTCAAGAGCTATGATTCTAAGGACAGGGTGGCGAAATGTATTTGGCCTTCATAGCGCTGGGGGACTTTTACTGACGTATCTGATTCTCTAGATGTCCCACATTCAGCCTTCGCCCTTCCGGACACGGAGCCCGGGGATTATGTGAGGATGAGTATCGAGGTTAGGGCTATGGTGTTTTCGGACACGGAGCCTTGAGGTAGTCGTGCTCTTTTGAATATGACAACTCAATCTGCGAATGTTGGGGATGCTGTATTAGTTGCTGAGGCACCCGCGGAATAGTATGCCTAGTCAGTTCCTGGTATATGTGCTTCCTGAGGATCTGAGCACCATATACCCCTATCTTGATCATAATAATTACAAAGCCGCGACAGCCAAAGCAGCAGCAGCCACAGCTCCAACCACATTCAACTCGAGCATTCCCGCACCGTTACCAGTCCCAGTAGCACCAGCAGAACTACTCGTCGTCGAGGCCACACTAGACGAGTTTCCCGCCTTGACACTCGTCTTCATCGTCGCCGTAGCACTGGGAGTCATACTCGGCGCAGAGGTAATCACCAAACTACCAGCCGCCGTCGCCTCACTCGACATTGTCGTCATCGCATCCGCCGTAGTCGACGCACTCGCCGTCGCAGCGAGCGTACTCGTAGATGCAGCCGCACCGGGTCCGTACCCAGGGAGATAGCTCGGCTCGTAGGTTGCGGTGCCAGTGTACTGCAAAGGACAGGCAGGATTGTCATGCTTGGGCGGGGCACGGCCGCCGCCGCAATCGGGGATGTCGCAGATTTCGCCTGTGCCTGGGACGTACCAGATCATGCTGGCTTCGTTCCATTGGTTGTGGGTTTGGGAGGAGATGCAGCCCTTCAGGTCGGTGCGGGCGTAGGCGGTGGAGGCGAGGGTTGTCGCCAGAAGGAGTGGAAGGAATTTCATTTTGCTGGATGGGTTAGTAGTTTGACCGGAGATTGATGCGAAGGGGTAGTACATTAACGAGTGACTGTTCAAATGAGTGACTGAATTATTGAAACGACAGAAGTGGCCTCGTGTAGAAATTGAGGTGGTGTTACCACTTGATAGAGCAGGGGAATGACTAGCATTATATGGAGGACAGGCAGTCTAGACCAGGGCCTATTGAAAACTGAGTTTAGGCCTAACGAGCTTCAGACTAAGCGATGGACGACTGGAGATGAGGCTGAAACTACGGGATAGACATGCATTTGATCCAATTGTCAGCCAGGAGGCAGTTTAAGTCCGAACTTGCCTTGATACAGCGTCAATCATGGATCATACAGCATCTTCCGTCGCAGGACGTTATCTTGATTCCGTAATCCCATGAAAAAAAGAAGCATGCATTCAGGGACAGTCGGCAATTCGGCCTCGGCATCTCCGACCCTGATCCACTTTTGGTCCCCTTCTGAAATTGCCATGCTGCTAATTTAGGTTGGCCATTCAGCCTCAGGCTTGGAATGGAATTCAGGGACCTGTTGGCCCATACCGCTCTCACATCCAAGAATATAAAATATCGTGATGGTGTATCTTGCTTGCGCGTAGATTTGATCTGTTGTTTGCTCTGATGAGCGACCATCTTAGTTGCAGCATGGACGGGGAAAAAAAAGCTTTACCCTAAATTTGTGGTGAGGAAAGGGGTGAAAAAGGGTGTTTATGGTTAGTGTACCACCTTGTGTTTCGGGAGGCGGACGCCAGCCGGAGAAAAAAAATGAAGAGGAAAAAGAAATCTCCCCGACAGGGAGTCGAACCCTGGTCTCCCGCGCTTGTTCTCATATGAGTGACAAGCGGAAATCATGACCGTTAGACCATCGAGGATTTCTTGCTGCAAAGTTTAACAATTTGAATATATAGGGAAGTCTAAATATTAATCGCGATTCCCTCTTCACGCCTGGGCGACCATAAACATGGACCACTCGTTTGTTTCAAGGAACATATTGTTTGTTCCGACTCTCGTATTCATCATGGACATTTTGTTTCCCATGACTAAGTCTCTTTGACTCACTGCGCTGCTCACATGCCACATCTGATTTGATCTTATGATTATATATCTTGCTGTACGGGTAAACTTCGGACTTGACACTTTTAGCTACATCGTATCTTCATTCCATTATTGGTGGATATCATCGTGGCATTGCAGCAATGCTCCTTTAGCTACGCCTACCTCTAGTACATGTCTCCGGAATTTAGGGCCGACTTCCCAGCCATGAAAGGATAGCTTCGTGTGCTCGTGTTCTGGCACCCACTAGACAGAGCCCTATTGGTGCATATGTCCTACTGCTCACTGTTGTCTGAACCGACGAGCACACCAACAAAGGAGGTGTAAGTCACCAGACAATCTTATATCAAATCTATACAATGACGATGACAAAGGTATATAAATCTTCATAATCCAGCGCAAACCAACATGCCCTAGGACCCCGAAATCCCCGAAATTGACCTGCCATCTCACAATCACAATGATCCCCAAAACCGAGAAAGACAACCAGATCATCGAGAAGGCCAGAGGCCTCCAAGGTGTCTGCTGGGGCGAGGAATATGAGAAAATGATCTCGGGAATACTGTAAGAGCATCACGCAAATCACCGAACTACTGCTAAAACTCCGTACAGATATAGTCCCCTCGCATCAGAGCTCATAGAGGGTCGCACCAAAGCGCGCTTTCTTATGTCGCAGTTTAATGCTCCTCTTCAACCCGATGTGCCGTTCTCTGAGATCGTCGCAGAGAGGGAGGAGACATTACGAAAGTTGTTTGGCCGGGCAGGAAGAGGGATCTATATCGAGCCTCCTCTCTTTGTGGACTATGGCTGTAACATCAGTGTTGGGGATGGTTTCTATGCAAATTTCAAGTAAGTCATGCTGCTAACAAATGATACTGACAAGCGGCTGATAGAACAGCCTGACGGTCCTGGACTGCGGACTGGTCACCATCGGAAACAACGTGGACATTGGCCCGAATGTAAATATCATCACGGGAGAGCATGAGACCAAGCTTGAAGCACGTCGCACACATCGAGGCATGGAATTCACAAGGGAAGTAGTTATCGGTGACGATTGCTGGATTGGAGCGAATGTGACTATTTTGGCTGGAGTGACCATTGGATCAGGGTGCTCCATCGGTGCTGGCTCGGTTGTCAAGAGAGATATCCCGCCGTACAGTATTGCCGTGGGAAGTCCTGCTCGAGTTATTAGATCGGCAGTCTGAAAGTTGAGGCTTTGAGCCTTCTACAGACTTATATTTTGCTGAAATGAGGCTTCTGAAGTCGGCGTACGGCTGTATTGAGCTGAACATATCATTCCCAAAACCATGTCCCATCAGAAAATGCCAATGAACCGTCTCAGTTGGCGTCAATTGCACTTTGGATGTCTTAAATGTCTTGCATTTCTATATTTATATTACAACACTTATATCTAAACTTTCACTAAAGCCGAAAGGTATCCGAGTACCTTGTCAACCAGAAACTTCCGAGGCTCAGCCTGATCATCATTACTCAACGCATGAGACGCATCAGGTATTATAGCACTGTTGTCGTCCCATATCTCGGCTTCCCCATTATGATCCGTGGCCTTCCTCCATCTCGACAGTAACGCATTCTTGTCAACCCAGCTAGGAACGGACTGGTCCGCCCCAGAAAACAACACCATCAGTTTCCCCCTCAGCAGTCCCTGCTCTCTAATCATCCCGAACGTCTTCCCCAATTGCTCATCGCTCAGATCCGAACTGAACAGGTCATCCTCACTCGGCGCCAGCGGACTCTCCGGACTAGTCAGACTCAGAAACCGCCGCGCACTCAGCGGCGTGTGAGCAGGGTACACTAGCGAGGTCATCGCCAACGGCAGCAGAACATCGGTGCAAGCGTCCGTGTCACGAGCAGCCTCCCTCGCCAGCGCGGTTAGCTTCTCAAACACAGGCCGGATCTCCGCCGGTGTCTTATCGCCCAGCCCCTCGGCAAGGACCCATTGGATCGCTTCCCGGTCAGACACAGGCGCCTGCATGATTGCCCCGTCGAGCGGCATTCGCTCGATATGCTCGAGGGAGGGGTCGAAGGTGGGAGTACCCTTGTGCGGATTCGGTCGGGACAGGTAGTGCAGCACGCACTGGCTGCCTGTTGAATGGCCCATGAGGACAATCTTGCCTCCGCCGCCGCTGCCGCCGAATCGCTCCGTCTTGTACTCCTTGATGTAATTCAGACACTGCGCGATCTCGTTGGTGTCGCGGTCGAGGTGTCCCAGCCCCCAGGATTGATAGGAGGAGGTAAGGGTCAGGGTGAAGAGGGACCATTCGGTTGGTTGGAGAGCGTGGGCCAGATCGGCCATGTAGGATGTCGTTGCTAGGCCATCTCCGAGACCGCCGACGAAGAGGACACTGTGTGGTTTGCGGACGGTGTTTGTGGTGTATTCGAATGCGACGAGGGTTTCTGTCTGGATTGCAGGTTTGTTAGTTCGTCTGCTGTGCTGTACGAGGGGAGGAACATACGTAGTGGTGTAAGATGCCTGGCAGGCCGCCCTTAGGCCAGAATTTGGAGTACATATCGAATGTATACTGAGCAGCAATTGGACGTCAGGTAGCGATTGAAGCGGGATTGACAGAAAAATCTGCCCTCTCGTAGTTGCCTGCAAAGTTGTATTCAGCAATGCATATGCTGCCCAGAGCTTTTGTCCAATCTGATAAATGTCCGAGATCGGCAGTGCGGGTCCTGCATTTGTCTCAGTGTCTCATCCATGTTGCAGTTTCGTGGACTGAGCTGAAAGGCCATTATCAATCTAACATACAATACAGTGGGTCTTTTCACGTAGGTATCATACTGATACATGTGTAAGATACACGTAGCCTAATACCTCCTACATTGGTCATGAAAGACATCCTGAGTGGAGTTAGGAGAGAAGTAGTTACGTACTCCAGGCTCGCTAACAGGCGACAGGAGGACTAGATCTGATTAGATTTCTTGGCACAAGACTTGGCGGATCTGATTAGATGTTATTCGGCTACAAGCCCTGGTTCGGGCTAGACTGAGTAAAAACACCGGTTTCGCACAGTGAAAACTTCTCAGTGCTCGCCCAATTCGAGGGACATTGCTTTGTCAAGGCTTGAGAGGCAGTTGTTTTATCGAAACTCTTTGCGAGTAGATCTACAAAAGAAATGCAGAGTCAGGCGTCATGGTTTCATGGACTCCACTTAGGTCTTGAACGCGACTAGGCGCGGCAGAGTGACTGATCCCATCACTAAGGCCAAGAACATCACAAAGCACAGGTACATGCATCAGTCAGGAGCTTCTTAATCTTAGCCTAGGCTTGTGACTTAACCTGGTTCAATAAACAAGTATCCCTGTATTTTACCCGTCTACACAAACTGTATTATCCTGTGAGCTCACCGGTAAGATTACCAAACCGTAATGAGACTGGACGTTATACGCCAAGTCTTATCTGATCCATTGTGGATTACTCTACGTATCCAACATCGAGGCCGCCCTATCAGGCTGCCGGTAGAGAAAAACGGTGCACTGTGCGTTATTTTCTGGAGTGTATCTCCATCGGACAATTCTCGTGCATGGCCCACTGGCTTCGGATCAGACAACTTTGCAATACAACCGAACCAAGGAATTTGCAAGCGGGGCAGTCTATGTGTCATGAAAAAGCGGATATTACATTACCTGTGTGCCCTCCTAAAATGCCAAGTAAGCGAGATACCTGTTAGAAAGGTGGGAAGAAATTTCTGTCGGAAGGTCTAGGACGGTTGATCCTTGCTACTCCGTACACAGAGAGACTTGGTCCAGAGACCGAAGAGAACGGGGCGAGCTCGGTTAGCTTGTAGGGCTGATGGTCATAAAGAGGAGCTCCACAGGAATGGCTGTGGACTCGGCTAAAATATCTGATTAGATTGATAATACGGTCTAGACTGTCACAAGTCATTGGTGGTGTTTGAGTCTTATCACGTTCTAGTTTCTACACTGAAATATCTTCGACACTACACAGTTGTCTTGTTCTACAGTACACGAAAGAATTTAACTATCCTAGCGACTACAGCTTCGCGTCCCACGCCATCCGATCCGAACTTTCCAGCGGTCTTTCCCTCCCATCCCAGAAAAGTGGACACAGCTGGAACCATTTCTCCCGACTGCAATACACATGGACCGATCGCTTGTGGCCCAGATCCACGTATTTCTGGACCGTCAGGCCATGCGCATTCTCATACGAGAGAACAGTGGTATTCGTCGCCTTGGGCTCCCCAACAACACACAACGTTCGCGGCTCGTCCAGGAAAATATAGTGGATCACGCTCGACCACCACGCGTTGACTCTGTATGCACCGCGGACGCTGGACTCTCCGACGAGCGAATGCCGGCCGCGATCATAGTCGCCGGCGTCGTAGTGTGCTCCGTAGTGATCCTCCTTGGCCCAATATACCTCGAAATACGAGAATGGGAACTCGTCGAACCGTCCAAAGAGACACAAGACGTGCTTGTCTTCGTGGAGCTGCCGCAGGTATTTACGGTGGTGCTCCAGGTCGCCAGTCTCGTTCCACCCTTTGGCCACACGCGGGTCGTTCTGCCATTTGTGGAAGAGCTGCAGGTGCTCTTCGTTTTGCCAGTCTACCACCATGAGCGAGAAATGTTGGTCCAGGTGCGGAATGTAGCGGCTGTAGACTAGGGAGCCTGGGGTAGGTTTCTGGGGGCGGATCGGGTGCCGTGTGTAGATTCGCTCGCTGGGGAACTTCATGGAGAAGTCGTAGTTTTGCGCGAGAGGGGGATAACAGCTTCCTGATCTCCGGAGTAGGCCGTGAGTCCCTTGGTCGACAGCCCAGATGGGACGTGGTCCAACGGGTGAGCCGGCCCCTTGCCAGAATGCGGAGCGGAGTAGGATGAGTGTGTCGCTTTCGGAGGGCTTGTTTTCAGTACCGAAGGGAACTCGAGGAGAAGGGAAGGGAACGACCAGCCCAGTGCGCAGGCATTCCTCGCGGATGATGTCCTTGCAAGGCCCATTCAGATCCAAGCGGACAATCTCGTGGTGGGGATATGTCAGGAAGAGGGCGTGGATGACATTCCAGATCTGTCCCAGGGTAGGTGGCTCCTGGCCGGTCCAGTGGAATGAGGTTCCGGGAGCTCTGCGACTGCGCGCCCAGGGACTGTTGTCGTTATCTGGGATTTCGTGGGCGGTCTCGTCAAAGGCAATGTCTGTAAAGGTCAACGAGGCCGAGTGCAGAGGCTCTGGGAGCAACTGTCCGGCCTGATCGTCGTGTAGTCGCAGTTGAAGCACTCTGGGTGTGGATTCGGAAATAACCTCGATCGCATAGCTGGTAAGATATGGGTGAGGAAGTTTGACCCAGGGATATGTCCGCTTGTTGGCAGACGTCGGTTCGGCAGCGCTCATGTTGATCTGGAAGGGAATCTCAATGGTGCTTTGCGTTGTCATCGCGCAGTGAGGCTGTGTGAGTAAGATAACTGTTCTCCCAACAGGAAAGCGTAGAACAGGTACATATAGATGAGACATGACCGAGGAACAATCCAAAGACCGCGGTAGAGAGTGGAGACAGCGTCTAGAAGTTACCGACTATACGGCATAGTATTATGAATCCAGCCCCAACTATGACTTGGATTAGCTTGATTCATGTGAGAGGAACAAATCAGCGCTATTCTACATTGAGAACCGTTAAAGTAGTTCTTAAATTGCCATAAATCCGGTCTCAGACTGCCGGCCTCACAGTGTGTGCTCCGGCTGATCTAAGACCTGGATTCTACCGACATCAGCAATGTCAATAGAAGCACACCCTACAGTTCAAGGATGCCTCGTCTCATTCCCAACACCTCACATTCTTCTCCTCACACTCAACCGTCCAGAGAAACGAAATTGCATATCCCTCGCGACGAGCGCCGAGATACAAGGACTATGGACATGGTTCGATACACAGCCTGCCCTACATGTGGCCATTATTACCGGCACGGGCGAGTCCTTTTGTGCGGGCGCTGACCTCAAGGGTACACTCCTCTCTCATCTGTATTCAAATGAAACCAGGCTCACATACCAGCACGTAGAATGGAACCACCTCAACGCGCGCGGAATCACCAACGAAATGACAGCCCCCGGGTTAGCCGGCCTCCCTCGCCGACGAGGCGGCAAACCAATCATTGCCGCCGTCAACGGATATTGTCTAGGAGGCGGCTTCGAGATGGTGGTCAATTGCGATCTCGTGGTGGCCAGCGAAAACGCCACCTTTGGTCTCCCCGAAGTGCAGCGAGGAATCGCTGCTGTTGCAGGCTCCCTACCTCGGCTGGTCCGGGTGCTGGGGAAACAGCGAGCCGCCGAGATTGCTCTGAGTGGTCTGACCTTTTCTGCATCCCAGCTTGAGCGTTGGGGGCTGGTGAATCGCGTGGTGGAGCATGGTCGGCTACTGGCGACGGCAGTGGAGATTGCAACCGCCATCTCTAGGAATAGTCCGGACAGTGTGCGTGTTACGATGGAGGGGCTGCATTACGGGTGGGAAATGGCCAGTGTGGAAGAGGCTAGCAGTGCGTTGGTCGACCGGTGGTACTCCAGGCTCATGGCAGGTGAAAATTTCCACGAGGGAGTACGGGCATTTGTGGAGAAGAGAAAGCCACGGTGGACGCCGTCTAAGTTATAAAACTGCTGACAGGATGAATGGATACAACTAAGTGCGCCATTTTACAGGGCCCATCTGGATCAAAGGAGCTCGAGCAGGGAATATTGACCAAATAGACCTAGAGTACTAAATGTATTGGTTACGGTACCTGGCTATAATAACATACGTAACCTGTATCATGTATTCAGTAATACTGTATGTATGCTTACCCACTCTACCCGTAATAAACACTGGTCAGATAATAGCTAGGCTGATTCACGATGGCTATTGGATGGTTGAGAAATGTTTAGTGTGATCAGATAACGGTTACTCAGTCACGAAAGGCACCATGATGCCCAAGCCGAATATCCAGCTCCACAAGTCTAGAAAAGATCCAAATCATAGATAGGCTTCGTTGTATTTTTGTACAGTGGATTAGGATGATATTGCCTGGTTTATATGGGTCCAGTCCACCTGATTGCACAATGGAATAATACATGCTCCCCCTGCCCCCCTGGACATAGCCACGGCGGTCTCGGTTGGTAGACTGTGCCTTACACAGTGTCTTGGGCCGTTCATCGGTGAAATAATGCAAACAGCCTGGTCTTCCGAATTATATATTCTACGTCACATCATTTAGTCATCCACACGAGCATTGCATCACCCGTTCCCAGGAAGATACTGGATCAGGATCCTAAGACTAGAGCAGCGGGACAATGGGTTCAATACAACAAGATGATCACAATCAGAAACACTACGGCAATGAGTCAGGTGACTCAATGGCAACCCGGTTAAACTACAACGGGGTCCAGTTGTTTGAGGTCGCGGGCCTTGCATCCGATGAGGCCTCGAGTTTGACCGGCATGAGGGACGAAATTGTACTTTTATCGTGGCTCATTGTGCTCCTGCGGACACGAGACGGTGTCCAGATCCGCTATGACTGGGCATATACGCGTCCAGAAGAGGAGCCGATACCCAGATGTCTGGCCATGAATGAAGTAGTGGCCGGGTTACAAAGTAGTGTCAAGGAGACTACAGCAGCTGTCTCTCGCTATATTGTTACATATGGACAGAATCAGTCGGTGCCAGCAACTCTCCTTCTGAGCACTAGCTCCCTTTCCCAGACCTCAGAGGAAGCAAAAGATGAAGTGAGTAGATGTATGAATATTGAATACCAGAAGCTAGCTGACTCGGTAAACAAAGGGGTTACTTCATCTGGAAGTCTCTTTCGAGAACGGCTTGCTCCAGATTCGTCCGACATGGCACTCTGAGAATATGTTGCCATTTACAGTGATGCGATACGTCAGGACTCTCGTCGACATGGTGAAGCTGTGCATCTCTAATCCTGATGCGTCCATCCAAGACTGCCTTCGGCCGACCACATATGACCTCGACGAGATATGGCGCTGGAATCACGACCTGCCACCAACGTACAATTTCTGCATGCAGGAGATGATCTCCAAGCAGGCTCAGAAGTTCCCTGATAAAGAAGCAATCGCATCCTGGGACGGCAGCCTGACATACCGCCAGATTGATCAGTATTCCACATTCGTCGCGCGCTCGCTCAAGGATATGGGAGTCCAGCTGCCTGACGTCCTACCTGTCTGCTTTGAGAAATCCAGATGGACCGTCGTCGCAGTTCTCGCGGTCATGAAAGCCGGTGCGACGTTTGTACTAATGGACCCGACCCTGCCGCTTGCACGACTGCAGAACATGGCTCAACAGGTCGGCGCGCAGATGATGATCTCATCTCGGGACCAGCACGACTTGGCGACGAAGATCATACCCAATGCGAAGGTGTTCGTCGTGGAGGAGAACACATTCAGCAGTCTGCCCGCTATACAAAACATCGTACCACTACAAACCGTTCCCTCGTCCGCCCTGATGTACATCATCTTTACGTCCGGCAGTACAGGTACTCCGAAAGGGGTCAAAGTCTCGCACGCAACCTACACTAGTAGTGCCATTCCCAGAGCCGAGGCCGTCGGCTACATGGAGGATTCGCGCGTTCTTGACTTTGCCTCCTACGCCTTCGACGTCAGCATCGACAGTATGCTTCTGACACTGGGCAACGGCGGCTGTCTGTGCATTCCATCCGACGAAGACCGCCTGAACGACATCAACGGCGTAATCCGCCGGATGAAAGTCGACTATGCGGGTCTGACGCCTTCAGTAGCCCGCATTCTAGACGCGGATGTGATATCCTCGCTCAGTGGCCTTGGCCTTGGAGGAGAGACTGTCTCAGTGAGAGATGTCACGCTTTGGGGTCAGGACACCAGGATTATTATCGGCTATGGTCCCTGCGAATGCACGATCGGGTGTACAGTAAACAGTAGCGCGGCAACGGGCAGAGACTATATCTCCATTGGCCCCGGTAATGGGGCAGTCATCTGGATAGTCGACCCTAATGACTATGAATCTCTTGTACCCGTCGGCGCGGTAGGAGAGCTGCTGGTCGAAGGTCCCATAGTGGGACAGGGTTATCTGAAAGACCCGGAGAAAACCGCAGCAGCGTTTATTGAGGATCCCTCGTGGCTGATTGCGGGTCACAATGGCTACCCCGGTCGTCGGGGCCGTCTGTACAAGACCGGTGATCTGGGTAGGTATGACCCGGATGGGTCAGGGGGTATTATCTTTGTGGGACGGAAGGATACCCAAGTCAAGTTGCGTGGACAACGAGTCGAGCTCGGAGAGATCGAAAGCCAATTGAGAGCTAGACTGCCTTCGGAGACGACCGTCATTGCCGAGGTGATTGTACCTCAGGGAACGAGGGGACAGCCGATGTTGGTGGCATTTGTTGCGCCACAGACGACCAAAGGGCATGACAATACCGAACTCGACGCGGCAGCGCTTCCTGATGAGCTGCAAAGGGCGCTGTCAGAAGCCGATGCGGAGCTAGCAAATGTTTTGCCTCGATACATGGTGCCCACTGCGTATATCCCTGTCAACCACATTCCTACATTGATATCCGGCAAAACAGACCGCAAGAGACTGAGGCAGTTCGGCGCCGCCGTCGACCTGCGTCAGCTGGACCAGGGAGGGACAAACACCACAACCCGAGAGCTGAGTGATCTAGAGCGACGCTTGCGACAGGCCTGGAGCCAGACATTGAAGCTCCAAGCCGATTCTATCCGTCTCCAAGACAACTTCTTCAGTCTGGGTGGAGACTCCCTCACAGCCATGAAACTGGTCTCTGTGTGTCGGTCTCACGGTCTTGACCTCAGTGTCACTAGCATGTTTAGCAACCCGACCCTCTTAGCCATGGCCAGCGTTGTTCGCATTTGCGATGTCGACGTGCAAGCGGAAATCCCGGCATTCTCAATGATCACGTCAGATGTCGACAGCGCCTGCGTGGAAGCAGCAGAGGCATGCGGAGTTAGCCCAGCAGATATCGAGGACATCTACCCTTGTACGCCCACACAGGAGTCTCTTTTTACTTTCTCGCTTAAATCAGTCAAGCCATACGTGGCACAGAGAGTCTTGTGTATCCCGTCGCATATTGATCTCGACGCCTGGCGAAAGGCATGGCAGGAAGTGGTCACCTCACTCCCCATTCTACGGACACGAGTGGCCCAATTGCAAGAGCCTGGCCTTCAGCAGGTTGTACTCAAGGGCGACGTTTCCTGGTTGCAAGCCTCTAGTCTGTTGGAATACCTAGAGGAGGACCGAAAGGAAAGGATGAATCTCGGAGAGAGTTTGGCTCGTTACGCCATCGTTGATGACTCAACAGACGGCAAACGATACATGGTTTGGACTATCCACCACGTCGTTTACGATGGATGGTCCGAGCCGATCATCCTCAAGCAGGTCAGCGACGCCCTGAAAGGGCAGCCTGTCGAGATAAAGACGCAGATGCGAGACTTTGTCAAATATGTGCGCGACTCGGACGACGCCGCAATGCAGGAATTCTGGCGACTGGAGCTGAAAGGGGCTGTCGGTCCTCAATTCCCGCGTCTACCTTTGAGAGACTTCATGCCTACCCCGGACGCCCTAATCGAGCATCAAGTCTCCATCGATACCGGTGCCGGATCACCGTTCACCATGGCCACATTAATCCGCGGCGCCTGGGCGCTCGTAGCTTCCCAGTACACTGGCAGTGACGATATCGTGTTCGGCGAGACCCTCACAGGTCGCGATATCCCACTACCTGGAGTCGAAGGCATCGTTGGACCATTAATTGCAACGGTCCCCATCCGGGTGCGCGTCCACCGGGCGAGCACCGTGGAAACCTACCTTCAAGCCGTGCAGCAGAGTGTCTTGGCCCGCACCCCTTACCAGCACATGGGCATGCAAAACATCCGCAAGGTCAGCCAAGACGCGCAACACGCCTGTGAAACTGGCACGGGTTTGGTCATTCAGCCTGAACCAGAGTACGTCGGCAGCGAGCTCGGCGTTCAGAGCGGGGACGTCGTCCTGGAAGCGCTGCATTTCAACCCGTATCCACTGATGCTGGCTTGCGGGATTCGCAAGGGTGGCTTCCGGGTTTGCGCGAGCTTTGATAGCAGCTTGATTGAGATCAAGCAGATGGAACGGATGCTCGCGCAGCTTGAGACCGCTTGCTTACAGTTGAGTAAAGGTCTTTCCCGCAGGGTTGACGAGATCTCCTGTCTCCCCGTGGCGGAGCTGAACCAGATCTGGGAATGGAATCGGATCCCACCTTTGGGCGTGGACGAAACATGTTCCAGGCTCCGTGCTGATGCAAGCATCAAGTCTGGTTTAGTATATCCTCCCGCGGTTGTTCCTTGGGTCTGCAACTCGCGAAACCCTTCACTCCTCTCGCCCATCGGCAGTGTCGGTGAGCTCTGGCTTGAAGGAGCCCTTCTTTCCGGTGACACGATTGATTCTCCTACCTGGCTTGTGGCCGGGAGCTCTATCTGCCCCGGCCGAAGAGGCAAACTGCAAGCAACCGGCGACATGGTTCAGTTGCGAGAAGACGGCAGTTTAGTGTTCGTTGGGCGCAAGGAGAATGTTGTTCCTGTTCACGGGCATGCAGTGGATATTACAGAGATTGAAAGGCACATCGCAGGACGTCTTGCACCAACAATTCGTGCCGCTGCTGCTGTATCGCAATCATCGTCTGACCAGGAGCTGGTTTTGTTCATTGAGCAACCAGCTGGCGAGGAAGTCTGGGTTGAGCTGCTGTCGGAGAAGCATGAGATAGCGTCCGACTCATCAGGACAAGCCTTTCAGACCACAATTTGCGCGATGATTCCTCGCAGTCTTGCTGTAGCGTTGAAGAAGCTCGACAAGTACATGCGAGATTCGCTGCCGTCGTATATGGTTCCGTCCGCCTACATCGTGGTAGGCAAGCTGCCTACTGTGATGAGCCATGTCGACCACCGCGTGCTCAATCAAATCGCCTCTCAGATCCCTCCACAAATCATTAATCACGTCCGTGATGGTTTGAGAGAAGCATGGACCAAGACTACGATGCAAAGCCATCTCTCAGCTTCAGAAAGTATTCTGCGGTCTGCATGGGCCAAAGTGCTTCGTATCGATCAGGAGCAGATCGACGTAGACGACAACTTCTTCCGGCTCGGTGGGGATTCAGTTCTTGCAATGAAGCTCGTGTCGGCTCTCCGCGCGCAAGGCCACAGTTTGTCCGTGGCTGATATCTTCCGGCACATGCGTCTCGGTGACGCTGCGAGAGTGTTGAAGGTGGATCAACGCTCAAAAGAGAAGGTCAACATGTACCAGCCGTTTTCGACGCTCCGTCTTGCGGACGTTCGGCAGTTCCTGTCTGAGACTGTTCGACCTCAGCTTGATGACCCAAGCTGGCCCATTCGAGATGTGTTGCCGGTGACCGACTCCCAGGCTCTGGATATCCGAGCAACCATCCAGCCGCCAAGGACGTCTATCCAGTATACAATGCTGTACTTTGACGGCAGCGTTGACAGCGAGCGGTTGTTACGTGCGTGCAGCGACCTGATTAAGACGCACGAGATTCTCCGCACCGTCTTCATCGCACATGAATCCAGCTTCTTGCAGGTCGTCCTGAATGAGTTGGAAATTCCCGTGCGCACGCACAAGGCTGACAAGGAGCTTGATCAATACGTCGCCGACCTCTGCAGGGAGGACATCGAATCCAACTTCCAGCTAGGATCTCCGTTCCTCAGACTTTCCCACGTCGAAGGAAACAATGGCGAAGCCTGCCTTATCATCGGCCTATCCCACGCCCAATACGACGGTGTCTCCCTGCCCAAACTCCTTCAAGACCTGGACTCCCTGTACACCGGCATCCAGCTGGCCATCTTCTCCCCGTTCTCCTCGTACATATCCCAAATCAGTGAAGAGGCCATGCAAAGCAAAGCAACGACCTACTGGCGCAATCTCCTCTCCAACTCCTCCCTTTCGATCCTTGACGGACACTCGTCCATCACAACTGATAAAGCAATCTTCCACACCCTATCCACCAACATCCACCCCCTCAAGGAAATCACCACCGCAAACCTCCTCACAGCAGCATGGGCGCTGCTCCTCGCTCGCCGACTCAGAACATCAGATGTCACCTTCGGCGGCGTCACCTCCGGCCGCACCCTCGACATCCCCAACGCCGAGAACATTATGGGACCCTGCTACCAGCTCACCCCCATCCGGGTCCCCTTCCAGCCCGACTGGACCGCAACGGACTTGCTCCACTTCGTCCAGACGCAGTCTGCCGAGTCAGGGGCGCATGACTTCCTGGGCTTTGAGAAGATCGCTAAGCTGGCGGGGTGGGCTCCCGGACTGAAAGGGTTTCATTCGATTGTGCATCACCAGGACTGGGAGGATTTTGATAGAATGCCGTTTGGTGGGGGCTCTTGTCGGGTGGAAATTGCGAATCCGCATGGGGATGCAGCGTATCCGGTCAAGGCTGTTTCGTTTGTGAAGGGGGGAGAGATCCATGTTGGTGTGGTTGGGAGTGAGAGGGATGTGGTGTTTGTGGATGAGGTTTTGGGGGAGTTGGTTGCTGCAGTTGAGGAGTTGGCTGAACAGAGTGAAAAGATCTTGCTTGATACGATGTTGTTTTAGGATTTGTTCTTCTGCAGGGTTGAGGTTAGATAGATTGTTCAGTTTGATTGAGTCTATGGATAAATGTCTTTCATTTCAGACACTTGTCAAACGACAGTATATTAAGATGAATCACGTCTATAAATCGCTAAAATTAAATATATATCAAATGACTACGCCACAGTCTGATGCATGACATTCGCCCTATAACTCTCCGACCTCTGCAGCAATTCCTCATGCGTCCCCCGATCCACACATTTACCCCCCTCGACCAAGAAAATCACATCTGCCTTGCGAATCGTATGCAACCGATGCGCAATCGCAATGACCGTGATCCCTTTCGTGGCCTTCTCCAGCCCATCCTGCAGCAACTTCTCCGACTCCGCATCCAACGCACTCGTCGACTCATCTAGAATCAACAACTTGGGTTTCCGAACCAGCGCCCTGGCAATCGATAGCCGCTGCTTCTGGCCTCCAGAGAACTGGCTCCCGTTCGGTCCGCAGAGCGTCTGGTATCCGTCCGGCAAGGACTGAATCACGTCGTGGATATTGGCAAGCTTGCACGCCTCGACGATTTCGTCCATGGTTGCTTCGCGGTCTGGTCGCGCCCCAAGGCCGATGTTGAACTCAATGGTGCCCTCGAAGAGGACGCTCTCCTGTGGGACCAGTGCCATGGAGTCACGGAAGGAGACGTCGCGGTGCTTGGTGATGTCTACGCCGTCGACGATGATGGCGCCGGACTCCGGGGTGTAGAGCCGTTCAATGAGGGAAATGATGGTTGATTTGCCCGCGCCGCTGGGTCCCACCAGGGCGCAGAACTGGCCAGGTCGGATATCGATACTCAGGCCGTTGAGGACTTTGATATCTGGTCGGGCGGGGTAGGCGAAGTGCACGTCGCGCAGCTGCACGCTTGAGGCTTGGTGGTTTGATAAGATGGTCTTGGGCTCAGCCGTTGCCTCGGGGTCATTCGAGCCATTCGTGGTAGGGCTCCGGACGCGTCCTTGCATTTTATCCGAGCCGATCTCAATGAGACTTAGGATTCGGGCCATTGCGGCGCGGGCGCTGGAGAGCTCCGGTGCGAGGGCAAACATTTGACTCCACAGGAGGGCACTGACGAGCAGGGAGAAGACGACGATCAGGAACTGCGTTTGGGTGTAGTTACCTGCGATGATCTGCTTGGCACCCCACCAGTATGCCAGGGCGTTTACCAGGTTGCCGAGGAAGTAGGTCATTGCCTGCCATAGGCTTGCATGCACGGTGACCATGAATGTCTCTTTGCGGGGACCCTTTAGTGATTGCCGGTAGGTCCGTAGAGTCTCGTCTTCTAGGGACAGAGATGCGATGGTCTTGATGGATGTGATGGCTTCGACGCCGATATCGACAGACTTTGTGTATGCATTCTCGTGGCGCTCCTCGAATTTCCCGAGCACATGGAGCTCCATCAGCCCAGCTCCAAGCAGAAGCGGTACCAGCGCCAGGCAGACTAATGCGATCCTCMACGCGATGATGTGAGTCAGGATAATGGCCGCGATGAGGTTGACGGTGATCGAGAACAAGGTGCCAATAACCGAACCGCTTAAGCCAGCCAACGCATTGCCATCTCTGGTAATATAGGACAGAAGCAAAGCTGGTGTGCGGCCCTCGGACTGATGCCATTGCAGGTCCTGCTCGAATAGTGACCGGAACGACAAGACCCGAACCGCGTAGACAATCTTCTCAGAGACCCAGCCAAAGCCAGACCAACTGACCACGTTGGCGAAGAATTCAATAATAGCGAGGACGAAGAACATCAACCCGAAGAAATTTCCTTTTGACCGAATGCTATCAGCGCTGTGGCAAGGATTCAGACTGCCAACGGTGTTTCCGAAGATCACCGCTTCTCCAGAAAAGGCTCCACCAACGATACTCGAGCCAAGAAGTGCAAGAAAAATGAACAGCAGGTGAGGTCGCAATGCTGGCGCGTAGCCTCTGGCAAGCGCCCAGAGGGACTTTTTGGGAGTCTGGGGCTCTGCCTCCTCGGAGTCAACGGGAGCTTCGGCTGTAGAGACTGGAGCTTTCTCAGCATCGCCAAGGTCGCCCAGGAAAAGAATGGCTTTCTCATCGGCCTCGCTTGAAGATGCCTGATCAGACTTGCTGACGCTCTCGATGTTGACTGGCGTTTCATCCTTGCCTGCGAGAGTCTGCAGTTTGACAAGCTCAGCGTAGGTGCCATTCTTGGCCATGAGAGTCGCATGATTGCCTTGTTCCACGATATGACCCTTATGCATGACAATGATGTTGTCCGCACCGGTGATCGTTGATAAGCGATGTGCAATTGTGATGATAGTCCTGCCGCAGGCAATATTAGAGATTGCCCGCTGGATGCGCTGTTCGCTCCGTGAATCCAGAGAAGCCGTAGCTTCATCTAGTATGAGCACTGCAGGATCCTTGACTAGAGCCCTGGACAGTGCAACTCGCTGTTTCTGGCCACCACTGATCAGCCGGCCGCTAGAGCCTACGGTTGTACCGTAGCCGTGTTGCAGCGCATTGATGAATCCGTCTGCATCTGCAAGTGATGCGGCCTTTTTCACCAAGTCAACTATTTCAACGACAGTCGAACCACGCGCCTCTGCTGCTGCCATTAAATCCTTGCCGTCCCTGACTTCGCTTGCGAGATCCGCCAGATCAGTACTCAACAGGGTCGTCTTTAGGTGTGCATGGCTCGGATTGCTAGAGTTGATCAGCCCGTGAGCAATGTTCTCTAAAAGCGATCGGTCAAGGAGAGAAGGCTCCTGCTGAACCAGGCTCAGAAAGCTTCTCAAGTCACGAGCATTGATATCACGCAGGTCGTGGCCATCGAAAAGAATCTGGCCTTTTGTGGGGTCGTAGAGTCTTGTCACCAAACCCGCAATGGTCGACTTGCCACTACCCGATAGACCGACAATAGCGGTATGCTTGTTGGCCGGGATGGTAAGACTTATGTTGTCGAGAACGGTGATCTCGGGGCGCGAGGGATAGGTGAAGGAAACATTCTTGAATTCAAAACTGCCCTCAGCCTGGGTAAGTCGAAGTCCAGAATCGCTCGTACTGTCAATCATCGGCTCGCGGTCAATATCCTCACGCAACTTCTGGAATGAGGCGACAGCGGCGACGAACAAGTGCAAGAACGGCGCAACTTGACTGAGGAGGAGGGTGGCTGTCGCTTGTTAGCGAGGTTCCTTATTAATAATGGAATTGAACTCACCTTCAACAAGAATGAAAATCACAGTAAAAGTAGCACCCACCGTGGCACCGTGAGTATTATCACTCACGGATTCGGCAATCCGTCTACTCCCTTGCCAGAACGCCAGACCATTGGCGGAGTATGCAATAAAATATAGCACTCCGGATTGTATGCCAACCGCTGTTGCCTTCTTCAATCCTTCAGTTTCCGCAGCCTTGAGTGCCTTGGAGAATTTGTCCTCCAGCCGCGCATTGGCACCAAAGGCCTGCACCACGACGGTGTTGGAAAGTGCCTCTGAAGCAATGGACGCGGCGCTCGCAGCGTAATCCGACATGCGCCCGGTGTATTTCTCGATATAATGACTTCCGACGAACGACATCAAAAAGTATGCTGGGATCAACGAAACGAGCATGCCGGCAAGCTTGGCATCTTTGATAAAGGCCACGATGTATGCGGTGATGAAAAAGGACAGACTTGATAAACATATCCCCACTTTCTCCGATGTGCCGGACCGAATAGCCTGTATGTCACCATTAAGCCGCGATGCAATCTCGCCGGGAGGTAGTTTATCAAAGTACGACGGTTCTTGTCGGAGAAGGTTCTGTAGATAGGTTTCCCTCAGGCGTTGCGCCAGTCGAGCGCCGTTCAGACTCCAGCATGAGAGGTGGATGTAGATTAGAACAAACTGAGCGATAGCCAGATACACTATAATCAGAATCTTGCCGTTTATGTCATGTTGATAGTCGGAGTTTGAGTCCGATGATTCTGACTCGCCGCATGTCACTGAGTTAAAGTCGTCGAGGAGCTGACCGAACAGAATTCCGATCAAGGGGAATGGAACTCCAGAGGCGGCTGCGCTGACAATGCCCAGCAGGAGTCGACCTACATCGACCTTGGAAGGATTGCCAGCCAGGAGCAGGCGGGGATAGCCCGATAGTTTCTGAACGAGCTTCATGAGGACCCGAGATTGCGTTCCTGCTGCTCTCGCTGTCGCGTGTTGAAGCTGTGCAATGGTGCTTCCCTCATTGAACTCGTAAGACTAGCCCGCCAAAGGACACTGACCAAAGAAGCATGATCTGGTGAAAATTTGTCTAAGTCCGAGACCGCAATTAGTGGTTCTACTCGGCTCTCTGATGCCCAAGAAAGACAACAGTAAGGTGGATACAGACTCGGCGTAATGTTACGTAAAACTTATCTGATCCGTAAAATCGAATCAGCTGTCTCGGAGATTTCCGGAATTGCCCCAGTCAGAGTCTCCACTGATTGATAAAAATTTATCATGCCACTGGATTACTAGCGCATACTTTACAGTACCCTACGATACAGTGAAATACATATCAATTTGTATAACCTGTATCATGATGGTACGTCTGCCATCCTACGAAATCCACTCCCACGCGTACCCTTGTACAGTTGTCCTCTGAACCAGTGCAAGTCTCTGGGTATTGGATGAAATCTGTACCGTCGTCTTGACTAGTAACTTCTGTCGACGTCGTCTGCCGCGTATCGGCACTGGAAGGAGCCCTCACACGCCATTTTTCGCTAACCCCTGCGCCAATAATCCCACCGGTGAGCATCGCCTAATTGCATCCTAGAAATGGTCGTCTTGCGTTGCCTAGCATTTTGCCAAGTCGGAAGGAAGTTAAGTTGAAAAGCATGGGAAGACGCTCGGCCCATGCTGATCTTGTGCCTTTCGTATCAATCTATAACTTCTTCTCCGTCTTCTTTCTCCTAAGTGTGGTGGACAGCACATTGTTCGACCTTTTCACAAAATGCTGTCGTCGTGGCAGAAGAAGTTCTTCCAGTCTCCGGAGAACCCTMCAGCTGAGGGTATTGCCCCTCCTAGGGATGATGGAGTGCCCAATCCACAGACTGTCACATATCCGGATACCAAGACCCCGGCTGAAATCGTCAATCATGATGCAAGGGAAATGCTGCCAAACAAGGAGGCTCAAGATGGTGTCACTCAAGCAGAAGCGATCACCCTGACATGGTCCAAGACGTCTCTGGGAGCTGCCTATTGCCTGTGAGCCAAACACAATCTATGTCTTGAGGATAACACTGACCTAGGTCAAACAACAGCATGTGGCTCTTGTACCTTGTCAATGGCCTCCAGTCATCCATTACCAGCAATCTCTCTGCCTACGTGACCAGCGGTTTCGAATCCCACTCTTTGATCCCCGTTATCTCCATCGTCTCCAGTGTCATGTCGTCGGCAACCTACATGCCGCTGGCAAAAGTACTGAATCTCTGGGATAGATCTATTGGTTTCCTAATAATGGTGGCGTTTGCCACCCTGGGATTGATCTTGTCAGCAACGTGTCACGATATTGGAACCTATTGTGCCGCACAGGTAGGTCCGCCTGTTCTTCTGACTAGGCACAGACTGACAGCTCCAAAGGTGTTCTACAGCATCGGCTTCGCCGGTATCATTTTCAGTGTCGATGTCATTACGGCCGATACATCGACACTGCGCGACCGAGGTCTCGCCTACGCCTTTACTTCGTCTCCCTATATCATCACTGCGTTTGGGGGCCCTGCTGCGGCCGAGGACTTTTACGATTCAAACTGGCGATGGGCATATGGATGTTTCTCTATCGTTTTGCCCGTCGTTGCCCTGCCCATGTTTTTCCTGCTGCGCTGGAATCGGCACAAGGCAAAGAAGAGCGGGCTTTTGAAGGCTAAGCCCAGCAGCGGCAGAACGTGGATGGAGAGCATTAGGCACTATGTCATCGAGTTTGACAGTAAGTATTTTTGGGACATTCTGGGATTGCATATTAACGTTCCTAGTACTCGGTGTCTTCTTCCTAGCTGCCGGCCTTGTGCTTTTCCTCCTGCCGTTCTCCATTGCCGGCTCCACCGAGGATGACTGGAAGTCTGCCTCTATCATCATCATGCTCGTGATAGGTCTCCTGTGCCTTCTTGTCTTCGCTCTAGTCGAACGCTTCGTCGCACCTGTCCCCTTCCTCCCCTGGGCTCTCCTGGCCTCAAGAACAGTTCTCGGTGCTTGCATGGTGGACGTCTGCTACCAGATCGCACACTACTGCTGGTTCAACTACTACACTTCATACCTGCAGGTCGTGTACGGCACCAGCATCACAACCGCAGGATACATMAGCAGCATCTTCGACGTCGTCTCGGGAGTCTGGCTGTTCGTTGTGGGTCTCCTGATCAAGAAAACAACCCGCTTCCGCTGGCTGCTCTTCATCGCCGTCCCACTCTACATCCTCGGCATCGGCCTGATGATCTACTTCCGCAGACCGAGCTGGTCCGTCGGATACATGATCATGTGCCAGATCTTCATCGCATTCGCAGGCGGCACCATGATCATCTGCCAGCAGGTCGCTGTGCTCGCGGCGTCGGACCACGACCACGCTGCTTCCTCGCTTGCCTTCCTGAACGTGTTTGGCACGATGGGAAGCGCTGTGGGAAGTAGCATCTCCGGTGCCATCTGGACGCACACGCTGCCTGGTGCGTTGCAGAGGCTGCTGCCCGAGGAGGTCAAGGCGGATTGGGAGACAATCTATGATTCTCTGGACGAGCAGCTCAGCTATGAGCGGGGTACGCCGGTCCGCCAGGCCATTGCCAATGCGTATGCCAGTACGCAGAGCAAGATGTTGATTGCGGGAACGGCTATCATGGCGCTTTCGCTCATTTGGATGATTGTTATCCGGGATATCAAGCTTACCAAGACGCAGACTAAGGGAGTTTTGTTTTAGTTGGAGGCTTGTTGTTGCCTGATACCGGGAATTTTGAGTGGGAGGACTGGACCGTGTCCATTACGATTGTTAATGATGTAGGATATTATGGGAATAGCCTTAACCCTGGAGATGGATACAAGTGGTTGTGAGATGAGGCTAATGGAAAGACACTGAAGAGTATGGAGGAATATAATTTAATGTTTTATCAGAGTTGCACAGCAACCTTTCCACTCTAAAGAGCCCTATGGGGTAATTAAACCCTCGATTAAAGCATCAACATATAGCAGGGAGCACTTCAACTTAGATGGAATATCTGCAACGAGCTCATTCCTCTAGAAAGTTGAGGATAGACTTGATATACATCCATGTATGATGCCATGGTCAACTATGAACGACTCTGACACTATGTGAGTTCCTAAGGACATCATTTTCTTCCTGACGATAGTTCATGATCGTGTGACGGAAAATTCTGTCGCATCCAGCTGAAATCCTTGTCGTTTCCCTTGGCATCTTGGTAGCGTTATCTGATCAAAAGTACACTTTCTAGTCTTGATTTTGGGTATTACACGACTCTCGTTATACTGAAAGCTCAGAAATCCACCATTCAGTGGGTAACAACCGGATTTCAAGGGAATACAAGCTGACTGGGATCCACCCATACCATACGCTGTATTTAGATGTGGGCCATGATACTAGCGCTGGATACTTGTTTTGATCTGATAAGGGTAATGACTTGGCGGTGGGACTAGCTCATGACTCCTAGATGATTTTACAGCTCGGTGAGCAAAATCTTCTCCTTCCCTGACCCCATCCGGATGATGAATCTGCCGTGCTCAACTTATCAATCAGTTCTTGCATCAACCCCACTCCGTCCGACTTCGCTTCCTTAGCGACTCATTTGTGGTCCTAGTCCTCGTGACAGCTTGGGAATCGCTCTAGGATTTGATTGTGGTGGACTTATGCCTGCTTAGCCAGAGCCTAGGATTGCTGCGGCGACAGGAGAAGCCACGAAACTCCCTCACCACCCTGTTCTTTTCTCCGTTAACACATCGCTTGGCTATTCTGTTTACTTCTTCACGTCCTTTGGGGACTCTCGGTTTTTACAAGTGGTTTCGAGGATCGTGAAGAGGGGGTCCATGTATGATTTTCTTGTTGAGGCTGATACTCTCCTATAAGCCGCAATCAATAGGACGATCCTAAAGCCAAGTATAATAAAAGCTGAAAAGTCATTGGGAGAGGACAGTCGAGTCTGAAGCAGCCTGCTACTACGAGAAGAGAAAGAAATTGTTTGTAAACTCTTTGCTGCTGTCTTCTGTCCTCCTAGTTTCCCGACATGTTCCTCAAATGGAAGGCTCCCAATCTACGCGCCCATCCTCCAGGATCGTCACCTGTCCTGTCCAATGCTCTCTTTTCTGTGCGAATAAATTCCAAGCCTGATCAGCAATGTTCCTTGGATTCAGTGCTGGTGCTGATGAAGAGACAACCCCGCCCACCACCACCAAGCCAACATGCACACCCTGCGGGGCGAATGCTTTGTCCAACGACTTGACCAGATTAGCCTGAGCGGCTTTAACCATGGATAGCGAGAAGAGCTCCGGAATAGGATCGACAGGGAGCAAGCTATTCGTGACGAGGAAGGTCGGTCGGCAATCAGTCCCGGTCCTTGCTTTCGCACATAAAAGCGGCATCGCCCATTTTGCTACCGCATAAAGAGCGAGATTAGACACCTGCCAAGGGTCAGTATTGCCCTTCCCTATGCAAGAAAGTTGAAAGTACTCTGAAATCCTCCTCAAGACCCGAAACCGGAAACTCAAAGAAGGGGCTGGGCGCTACCCGCGCCGCGTTGAAATACACGCATTCCAATTCCCCGAATTGGTCGACCTGGGCGAGTGCCTCTTCCAGACGGCGCAGATCGGTAATGTCGACCTGCCAGGTCCGCACGGTGACAACGCGCTTGACCCTCTCTGCGGAATCGAGTATGGTCTCTCGGTCTTTCTCCAACTGGACGGGGTTTCGCGCGAGGAGAGCAACGTTATTGAAATACCGCTGGGCAAAGAGGGATGCAACAGCGACACCGATACCAGGGCCGGAGCCGATGAGGAGAAGGGTTCTTCTATCCGACATTGTCAGGATGTGAGATAGCCGACTGATGATGTGGAGGTATTGATGTAGGAATGAGATGTGCTTGAAAAAGTCCAGTATTTATTATTCCGCCGCGGTGGTGAGTGGTGACTCGCACAATCAATGCTAGCGGCCGCTGGTGGCATATGTGGCCAATTTGGAGAATGTTTGCATGTATTTCATTGTCTCTGTAGGTCCGTGGCAGCGATCAGGAATGTAAGCAAACAAGTGTCTGGACCAATTAAATTCCAGAGGTCTGCTACTGAATCGCAGCTTAATTTTTGAATATTAGATGCTTGCATTCTCACTGGATGTAGGAGCACAGCTTTATTAATATCCAGTGTCAGCACTAGCGGCCGCGCGGGCGACCCCGCTAGTCTCTATGATTGATAGGCGGACCGAGATGAACGCAACGTGGGGCAGGATGCACAAGGGAGTTCAAGTCTTGCATTTTTGTCATTTAACCCTGCTGTCATCATGGTCTTCCAAGGCTCTTCCATAGCTGGACAATGAGGATGTAAAGACAGGTGCTTAAGGTAAAGTAGCGTTCCCATGCCAGTATATTTATAAAATATCAGTCTCATCACATTATTGATTCACTTCACATCCCTCTTCCGTACAAGGTCACATATCAATCCCTCCTGCTGCACAAACCATACATTCTTCGTCTTCCACTCCTTCTCTGGGCTATGCAGACGGATTTCAAACTCCCGCAACAGCTGCGGAATAATCTTATGCATCTCGATAAGCGAGATATTCTTGCCAATGCAAGTCCGGGACCCGGCACCAAACGCAAAGAAGCTCTGTTCCATCTTCTTCAACAGCTGCGGATCGCTGTCGATCCACCGCTCAGGAATGAACTTGCCAGGATCGGGGAAGACCCTGGCATCCCTGTGGAGAACCCATGCGTTGATACCAACCACGGTTCCACCAGGAATATGCCTGTCACAGATGGTGACGCCTCCCTTGGGCACTTCACGCTCGAGTATCAGCCCGACGGATGGATGTAGTCGCATTGCCTCCTTGAGAACGGCCTGAAGGTAGGGCAGGTGGTTCATGGATTCTCTGTTGGAAATCGGCTTGCTTAGTTTTCCCTCTCGGTCGGCATTATCGATCTCGGCGTTCAGCTTCGCCATAGCCGACGGGTTGCGAAGAAGGAGATAGAAGACGGCCCGCAGAGCGATGGCAGTGGTGTCTGAACCGGCGAAAACATTCGTCGAAAGATGGACGATGACATCCCGGGTGGAAAGCTTCTCGGGATCAGACGCATGGATTGCCATCCACCTGGACAGCATGTCCTTCCCTACTTCGGGCTTCTCCCCCGAATCGAGCTCGCCGTCTCGCTGAAGCGATGCTCGCGAATTGATAGCCTTGAGCGTAAAATTCAAGACCTGGTTCCACGTCTCCATGCTGGGCATGAACAGCGGGAAAAGAGGATTTCCCAGTAGCAGCGGATGAGCCTCGGGGATCTGGCCACACACACTAGCATACACCAGCATCCCCTGAATCGCTTCAATCATGCCGTCGACATCCTTCCCCTCCTGCAGAAAGCCGAGCTTCTTGGAGAACGTGAATTCCCCGACCACGTCAAAGGCATAGTATTGCAGCCACATTCCCAAGTCGACGGGCTTTTTGCTATTCGCAAATCTCGCCAGCTGCTTGATAAAGATATCTGTGCAGGAGTCCACTGCAGATTCAAGCTCGAGAAGCGAGGTCATGCTGTAGGCGTTTGCCACCGGCCGCTTCTGCTCACGATGGAACATCTCGTCGCGGGTGGAGAAGAGGTTCATCTGGGGCTTTTTGTTCCATGATATGCACTGAATAGGATAGAATCCGGTCTGCTAGCGTCAGCCAGTTTATCGCCCCAATTTTCGGACTACCTTCTAACCTTTGTGAACCCCTTGTTGAGACCGTAGATAATCGGAATAGCACTGGGGTCTCCAACAGATATGTGCTTCGGACCAATGCGTACCAGCGGTCCATGCTTGCGATGTAAGTCAATGGCTGTATTGTGGTGGTCGCCCTTCCACACACTGTGTAACTTCCACAGACGAGTCCATTTGGCGATTGCAGGTCCCGGAATTCCTGCAAGCCCCCTACAGAAGCGATTGGTGATTAGACGGAGGACCACCACAGCAATTACGAGGTATGCGGCGTATGCCTTGAACGACGATGGCGCTAAAACTTCCATGCTGACTGTGACAGATGAATGCAGCTGGATAACTGCGGTCATCTTTGCAAAGCGATCCTTGGCATCTTATATGCTTGGAGATAGTAGCGCAAACATCGGCTCATGTTCCTCACATCCGATGCGGAGATCCGATCGGAAGTGCCTCGGGTGCGACTTGCTTAGCAGGTAAATAGACTTACTGAGCACTGAGCATCGATAAATGCGTATGACGATTGCATGTCTTTCCGAGAGAGGCGAGACCCCAGGGGAAACGCGGAGGCGGGGAGATCTACGGCCCTGCGCGGGGAACAAGAGCATCGATCCAAGGACGGCCCATTAGAGGCGGATTGAAGACCCAGAAACAAGGCAACAATTAAACTCTAACTTTATTTATCGGGGAGGAACCCCTATCTATTGTCAAATAACCAGTGACATTGATATCTATCCGACCGACAAGGCAGTCATCGCTTCCGAATCTTGCAGATCGTGTGGATGATCTGGAGTAGAAGATTCCTTTTTAGGCCTAAGAATGTGATGTCCCATCTCAGCGAGGAGTATTATGTGGGAGGTACTATTGTCGGGGTTTCCCCACTGCACCACAGTTACTGGCCGCTTCTTCAATCCGAATATGCGGGAACAGACCTGGTTGGGGATGGTCATAGCGCAAAGTTGACGAGCGAGGATAATCGGCGAGGCCCTATCCAAAGCGTATGCTCCAGCCTCAGGGTACGTGCAATTACAACCACTCGAAGATTGGATTGCACTTCCTGATTTGTTTTAGCGAGGAATATGAGCGATGCTGGGTGCTGTAAAAAACTTCCATTGTACAGGAACCATCGTATTGCGAAAAAGGGAAGATTTGAAGCTCATAATATAGCTAATAATGTAATCGATGATCGTGGGGGGGGAAGGATAAGGCCCACAGGCCTGGGGGGCGTCTGCGATTCTTGGCGGGAGGGCGGGGAGGCAAGAGACAGGGAAGAGGTGGGGGATGAGGCTGTGGGCGCCGCTCTGTGGGCATGCAGTGTGTGCATGTAATGAGTGGTTTGCTCTTTTAAAGAAGAGAGTTAGGGATTACACCCCCATTTACATGTCTGAAGAACACAGAGGTTTTAGGGGGAGACGGGCAGGCAGGCCACATTGCTTTTTCCCCCTTTTCCTAGGCACACCAGAGCGGTGTCATGGGAAATTTGAGCGGGCCTTGAGTTGTTAGCTGCGATCCCCAGCCGCAGAGAGCCTGAGAGGCGGATCAGGTAGATCCTGGGTGCCTGCTGGGCTAGGCTGGCGATCAATCTACAGGAAAATGAAATATCAGCAAGGGGGTTAGATGAGCAGAGTTAACGGGGAATTAATCGGCCTTGTTGTCAGCATATCACTGATGAGCGGTACTTTTGCTTGGGGCTGTGGTGATCAGTCCATGTCCATCCTAAGGTGGGTGGCAGCCACGGTCACGCACTGCTGATTACTAGTTCACATCATAGCAGCAGCCGCCGTGGAGATCCAACATGTTGACTGGCTTGGGGCATGGCTGGCCGCAGCCACCGGCGACTACCAGGGCGGGAAATCGCCGGCGGCTGGCGAGGGCTGCGGTCCCGTCCGCGTAGGAAATATATGGAATTTTATAAAGGTGTTGTATGACATGTTGGGATATAGTATGATGTGGTAGATGTTGTAGKAAAATGGCTAAATAGCTGCTTGCGGAAGGAAAGCCTATGGTTCCACATGCAGAACCACTGGTCATCCTTAGAGCCATGTAATCATGAGATAAGCATCTTTCTACACGGCTCTGGTGAAAGGATTATGGCCTGGTTCCGCCAGGAAACTGTAGCTTTCCGATCATGACTGTAGTGGGCTGGAACATTATGGTAGTATTAATTTCTCAGACATCTCTCGGGATGATAGTGGACCCGTCTGGAGTCCTGGACGACTACTTTACGAGAGTCTAGATTATGTCTGTGATTGCATTATTATCTTATTCATGCTCTCACTACAGGTACTGGTGTAATATACTACTTGGCATATCATCATAGATTTAAGTCCTCAACCTGGTGTCCCTTACATACCATAGCCTAGTCAGTATCCAAACTACTTATTTGGTTTCCTTCCTGTCTGGAGGACTAGGCGTTTATAAAGTTGTCGAACAGGATTTAATGAAAGTTTCTGACTATAAGCCTTCCTCAAGATATTGGTCTTTTCTTCAGAAACAATTTCAATACACTAATCTAGTGAGGCGGGGCCTTTGTTGCTCTGGAGTTACCACTATGGTACATCAATACTACTTCCTGGCATAGGAAGTGTGACTGACATTGATCCAGCCCCCCCAGCCTGGTCCAGCCATCCCGCCTAACAATCAACAGTCACACTGTCAAGGATGGCGGAATGAGTTGGTTAATATACCTGACGCTGGTGCCAACAGGCATTTCAAGAAATACTCAGACATTGCTACTGCCCTTGGCGTGATTGGTACATTTGGTGGTGGTTTTACCTTTGCTACCCTTTTCTCCACGACGTGTTCAGACACTCGCATAAAAAAGCTGTTGGAATTTTCTTCGGTCCTTTTCATGGGAACGCTGCTTGCCTCATTACCAGTATACTGTGCCGTCCACGCACTACGGGAAGATAGAGGACTTCGAGGGGAGATCCAGTGGTTTGTCCGCTTTCAATTGATATTTTCCTCCGCAGTCCTTCTCAGCGCTCTGTTATGCATGTTTTCTGCCATGTATTATTTCGCATTTGCCTCCCCATTCATACTTGCAGTTATCATGGTTGCATGTACTATTGTGTGGTGTATTGAGGCCAGTTTTGCTTCATATTATGATTATGTTGATACACCGGGAGAGCGCAATCCTGTGTACCTATTAGCGGTACAGGTTTTATTGTTTATCGTTGTTATTGCAATGGCTTTAGGTTGTGCATTTGGCAATGACCTCAGGGACATTTCTCGAAGCAGGTGCGACCAATAAGGGCAAGAGACCCACCCCATTGCTATTACTTGAAGTTACTATCCATACTGCTTGAAGTGGCTTATGGGCGTTATCAAATCCACAAACTGATATGAATCGTGGAAATCATGGACTTTGTCCCGAACTTTGTTCCTATAATGGCATGGACCTGTCTGGTTGAATATTATGCCTTATACGTTATGATTCCAGGGTTGATCAACTAAATGAGACCATTTCCCAGAATATGACAAATTGGACGCTATGGAAAACATCGTCCCTACAGGACCTAAAATCCCCTTAGGTGAGGACCACAGCAAAGTGCTGCATTTGCTTTGCGATGGAGGAAAACTATGGTAGGTGTCAACGCCCACCCCTCCGCACTCCTATCGCTATTTCTCAGGTGGACACTGGCTTCTGCTTGCACCTAGTGGAACCTCAAGAATGGACTCATCCGAAGAGCAGATCACTCTCCTCAGGGCTGAGTAGCGAGGTGATACTTGGCACCTTGGCCTTGGTGCTAATGTATCCCTGGTCATTGATCCAATTGGGCAGACCTGAACTGAGATCGACCGAGAGGGACAAAAGAAGTCAACATCCATTTCCAGCCTGGCTATAGGCCATATCAGCGAATTCATATTAAAGTATTCCAGCCATGGCAGGATGTTCGGCCGGTCGGTTTAATTATTCGGCTCATTGTTCAGGCTAAGCCTATGAACCGGGTCAATGGCTAATGTTAAGCCTCATGGTTCCCCGCGTGCAGGTTGCCATTAACCAGAATTAAATCACAATTAAAGGGCATGTTGCCGAAGAGGCCCGCGAAGTATGCTATAACCTAAAAGGAATACTCAGAAATAAATATATGGGATCTCTACAGCTTTCACCTGCCCATACTGAGGTCGATCTCACAGTAAGCGCGGACCAGTACAAAGTTTGCGTTACCAATGCTATTGCAGATATCTCTGAGGGCAAATATGCAAAGGCCATTCTGTCCAGGAAGGTTCCCCTCCCTTTTCGAGTGGATATGCCAGCGACCTCCTTCAGGGACGTCGGTCTAATTCTCCGGCACGCACATTCTTGCTTCACCACTTTGGCGTGAGGAGAGCTGAATGGGTGATATCAGACATCGGAACAAATGGAAAGCAACAATGTAACCTATTCTCCATCCACTCCATTACATGGACAGCTGGCAAGAGCTGCAAGTATAATGCCAAAGCCTGTGTAGATAGTACCTGTAATGCTAGCTGTTTGCAAATTAACACAAGCATCACTGTCATTCATCCCTTCGAAACAGTACCACAAACAGCAGAGAGGAAAGAGAATGTCACAATTAGAGCCCTTAGATTATTGCAAAAGCAGCCTTTACACAGACCAAAGCCCATTAAAAGAACCTATAAACACATTAGAGGGAGCAGCACTACCTGGTTTTCCTAATTAGCTCAGCATCAAGGAATAGCCAGATACATTTAGTACTCACAGCTGGTACTAGAATCATAGCCAGACTTTTACCTTCACATGTTATGTGGTTTAGATGCTACCCTACAGTAAAAGATACAGGGCCCTTATCTAACAGAGCAGTTATTAGAGAAGCTCCAAACATAAGGTTAACTTATTAGTAGTTATTAATCTAACCTTAGGATGGGAAACTAACCCACCAAAGTTAATAAATCTCATGGGCTCATCTTTAGGGACAATTATGGATTTAGTAGTGGTGTCTGTAATCAAAGAAGTCTGGTGCATAAGAGGAAGCCAGGAATTATTGAACAAGTTATTTAGTTGAAGACAACACCGCTTATTTTCTCTGTGTATAAATTTAACAGACTCACTTTCTTAATCTACTAAAAGAGACGTGCAGAGATATCTTATAAAATAAGTATAAAAGTAGTTAACATCATTCTATCAGAACTCCTCTCAAACATAGACTTGCATTTCGTCAGTTCCAGCAATAATAAACCTGCAAACAGATTCTGTCACTAATTTCGCATTTTGGCACACCTACTAAGGTTGTGGGGGACTGGGCCCCATTCCATGCTTTATTGTCCCTGCGCCCATAGTTAGAATTCTGTTGGATGACAGCAACCTATCCTGGCATCCTACCATTCCTACCTATATATAACTTTCCCCCGTTTCCTTATTTTTAATCCTTGTAACTAGTAGAGTATGTTCCCTATTAATATAGATCTTATAGAGCAGTTTAGACTGGCTGACACAATCCGCAAATCCATATTCAACCCACCCAGATCCGCACTTTGGGTTGGATCAGGCCTACCTAGATCCAACCCATATGGATATGGATAGGCCTCGACATGTTCTGCTAGTTATAAAGAGTAAACTAGAGAAAGGGCGAGAGTTATATACAGGTAGGAATGGTGGAATGGCAGGATAGGTGGCTGTCATCTACTGGAATTTTTAGTATGGGCGCAGGGACAATAAAGCATGGAATGGGGCCCAGCCCCACACAACCTTAGACAATAGAAAGAAGTGATTATCCTAATCCACCCCAGCTTAGATTCTGAGCGCGACGAAACAGCAGGCAGAGTGACTGGTAGGGACTTAGTAGCAGACACGGACTTTAGAAGATGGAGCACACAGCTGTGGATCAGTTCCGCCAATCAGGGTGGGGGCCAAATTGAGCGGACGCCCACTCGACCACGCACTAGGAAATAACATGCACTTTGTACACAATACTATGATTAGGGGAAGGTGGGGGTACATGATGCGTTGGCTGGAATGGGGTCGAGGCAGTGTAGCAGGAGGCCCAAGGAGGGCTGCGGTCTCCGTCTTGTAGGAAAAGAAGTAATTATTTCTTCCAGATAGATCTATATTATGTAATCCAGGTACAACACCAGCAGCAGAGGGAACATTTGAAGGAAGCAGGAACGCAGACAGCGGCCAGCAAACCACTAATCAAGGCCATAGAAAATTGGTCGCAGTGCAGATGTCCAGAGACCAGGGACTAGGATTGAGACAACTCATGTGTACAAAAGCAAGTCACGTTCCTCAGGGAGTTTTCAGATCTCGAAAGACACACAGTTTTGTCCCATTGTGCTGCTGCAGGCGTTCCAAGCCATTGAGGAAAGCACCCACTTCATTGCCCTTATAACCAAGTACAGATGCTTTGTTAGAATCACCGCCCCCATAGCAGTGGACTCCAATAGCTCTCTGGACCCCATCTGGTGCGGTGTGGAGAAGTGGCCCTCCAGAGTTGCCTAGTGAAAAAGTATGTCACAATATGTAATGGCTAATATTAGATGACACTCACCACCATATGTATCTAAATGATAGTGGAACATAAACTTCCACACAGTAAGGTCGTACTCATGTATGGTGCAGTGGCTGAGGCACATATACTCTCCCTCTTCTATATCTGTTGGGTAGCCAACAACAGTGATGTGTGTTTGCTGTCCATTTGTGGGAATGACCTTATATGGTATCGCCTGGTAGTCGTCAAAGGGTCTCTCGACTTTAACAAGCGCTAAATCATATATGTCACGATGGTAAGTAGAATACCCTAAATGAACAACGATACGCTTTCCTTTCCTACGCTCAACAGCATCGGCGCTAGAACCATTGTAACCAACATGGACACTGATATAATCAGCACGGCCATGTGTCGCGCTGTGCACATTGTGGCCAGCTGTGACCACAGTGTCCCTATTGATGAGCCATCCAGAGCCGTTGTAAAGGTGCTTGTCCCCCTCAAAATGGATAGTCATCTTGCATACAGCTATCAATAATATGAGCACAATAATCATTAATGAGTCATGTCTGGGCGTACCTCTGTATTTCCCACCTGGTCGAAAGTCCTCAGAGCTTACTTTTGTCCTTGGGTATTTGCCGTACACAGTTTCTGGGATGGACAAGAGGTTGCGAGGTGAATCAAGTGGTGCTGACTCTTTCTCTATTTCGGGTATAACCAGATTCCAGCCAGCTACAGCTGCATCTTTGTCATATAGAGGTTCAGGCTGAGGTTCAAGTTTAGGCTCAATGGCTTTCACAATCTTCCGAACATCTGCAACTCTTTTAATGAGTTGTTCAATCAAGTGTTTGGTTTTCTGTCCCTTCAATGTCCAACGGATCTGAACAGATCCCGGGATCAGGTGCATACGCTGAACTGCGGAGGATTGAAAAGATTCTTGCATCTCCCTAGATGATGACTGTATAGAATCAACTAGTTCCCGAGTCGCAGTTATGCTTGGCTTAAGACAGATTAGCCCTAGCCCTGAATGGTATGGCGCATAAAACGCACAGCTGCACCCCGAATGGCAAGCTGCCATATACGACTCACAGCCGCATCGCGAGCAGCACCGATCCATCTTCTCCAGAATGCTGGCTCACTTGGCGCTTCTACCCGAATCCCTAGTGCAAGTTTCTTCAATGTCGCTTCAATTTCCTCGACACATTTTTCAAAATCAGTTCTGAGATCTCCAAGTACATCATCAACAGCCTTTTGTATTTTTTCGAATTCGTTTTCATCCGCTGTTTGCAGTACCACTGACGCATCCTTCCCTAAGGCTTTCGTGAATAGACGGTTTACATACTTAGTGTAAATTTTATATTCCATTCGAATTTGACGAACAGGTTCCGGAAGCTCATAGTGTTGTTCCACTGTTGGCCCTGTAAGTAATTGCAGTCTGTTGCGATTTAAGAAGGATATCTCTATCGGTGTGATGATAGAGAGGAATTCAGCTAAAACGCCCAACACGTTTGCTGAGCTCATGTTCAAATTCAGAAATATGTCAGAAATAAGTATACGGTAATGATGAGGCAATTTAGTGTACTTTTCAGTATACTGTCAGTAGCCCACTACTGATTTCCACATTAGATAGTATAATCAATGTCGAACCTCAGCAGTGCCGAGATGGATCGCCTTTTTTAAAGAGCAGATCTAGGGCTGTGTCATTAGGCACTTAAAGAGGCATGCTTCAAGAATATTATGGCTAACCGAGCAGTAAGGATGATTCATTATGAAGTATATTATGAACCATTTGTGGCACAGAGTTAAGAGTCGATTACGCTGTTTGCTGATAAATGACGCAACTTCCCATACATTTACTTTTGTCTAAAACTCAGGCCTGACAAATCTTATTTCAGGTCGTAAGCCCTACTGAATAGTCAAATTGTCGTTCGTTAAATCATTACTCTGAACCCAGATGCTGACCCTGCTTTTAAGTTAAATTTGTCTTCAATCTTAGTAGAATGTGGGTGCAGCCCTCACACAGAGAAGTTCCCAAATCCGCACTAATAATACTTACGCCCTTTATTTCCTAAGCCCTAGCCAAGATACATTGAAGTAGTAAAGTATGTCTCAGAACATATGTGCTGCCGAGATTTAAATGTGTGGTATTGGGCTTGTCACGGGCTAGAGCCCGATGCAACCTAGTAATAGTGTCGTGTGCGAAGTCCACGGTTCCCATACTAAGTAGGGGCGACCAGAAGGTCTCCTGAGCACAGAGTCCATGTCCACTCTAGAGTCCGAGTCCACTCTTATCTACCATCCAGGAGTCTACGTTCTTTTACTTATTACTAGTAAGGATTCACTACCATATTCACCACCACCACCACCTGACCGTAGGCTAGCCGCGTGGGAGGGTAACCCCATGGGAAATTCCCTCCCATATCTTCCCACGCGAAATTTCTCTGTTTGAGGTCGTCTGGGACTCTTCAGCAGAGGCGTGAACCCCCTGCACAATGGTAGTACCCGGGTCCACCTTTGTGACTCCATACTTGGACTCGACATATAACTCAGCGCCAAAGTCCATGAGGAAAATGACGATCGTAGACGTTAGCGCGATTGCAGGGGGCCATGAATAGACTGCCCAATTGCCAGTCATTCCAACGCATGAGTTCGGACCGATCTCCGCGTAAGCAGGATCTTGCAAATGGATGAATGCCGTTGCCACGATCACTCCCGTGCCGAAGTAACGAGCAAAAAGGTACACATATAGTGGAATTTTCAGCGATGGAATCCGCCTCGCGACAACAGGGAAGAACGTGGCCGCTGTTGAGACTGCCAAGATGACAAAGATGGAAGAGATACGAGCCCCAAGGTGACCATTGTAGTTATTTCCGGATGCCGAGAGACAGCAGACGACTTGGGCAGGGTCCGCTGTGCTGAGATCGACATTGTTGGGGTCAAATGAGGAAGCCATAACGATGAATTGAGTGGACTAATGTAGATGGGCTGATATTGAGGGCATCGACTTGGCTTAGGTATACGAACCGTGTTGAGTACCTTGGCAGCCGCGAACAATCTCTGCCAGTAAACATGGCCCACAACCGGAAAGCTTAGCCTCCCTTCCAAGCTTAGTTTCTCTTGCGAGATATACCATACGGATCTAGCCCCCTACTAGGTGGCCGTTTTGAGTTCAAGGTTCTCCATTACCGCCAGGGAAGTGGTGCCATATTTGGAAGGTCAATATCCTGTAAGATAACGGCATGTATAAGCAGATGCCATCAATAGGTGGTATTCCCTCATGCCCATGAAAACCATAGGCTGTGGTAGTGTCTGTTGGAGCATTATTGACAGATAAAGCGGCCCATTAGATACTATAAAAGACATAAATATCAAAGATGGTGACTTGTCTGACCCGCACACACATTACTTTATCTCAATGTACCTTACTAGACACAGTGACCGGAAAGAAATCTAAAATAGATTGGAAGGTAACGCAAACCCTCCGTTGGCTGTAGCCTGTGGGTTTGTATCAGGTACTGCGCAGTACTTGCAAGAAGAAAAATTTAGGGTCATGAATTGCCTAATACCGCCTTGGAGGGTCTAATCTGGATCACAGAGGACTGCCTGAGATACAGAAGCATGCAATGCATTCCATTGTATCTGACTGCGCAAGGATATCATAATTACAAGCGGGTTTTTACCCCCAGGCCTGCAACAAAATTTTGAGTAGTTTTTGCTTCTACATACTCAGCGACCTTTTCCCTTATATCGAAGCCAGTGATCCGGATTACGAATGCATGTGAGCACCTTCGAGGACAGTGAAATTTTCTGTCATTCGCTCCACCAGAACTAAGCTATCTTAAGTCAGGTACCTTTCTAAACTATCCCACGGGCTTGAGTACTTGGTGGTTATTTATTTCGCTTACTCCGTACATGGCGCTCTGCCCAGTGAGTTAGCGGGGTCATGATTCCCATATTTAATTCCTTCCTTCCTGACATCTAGCACGCCCTAATAATAGAATGGACAAGTTGGGCTTTGACCCTTGACCCACAACCTGCCAAGAGATTTAAATACAGGGAATATACCATATGTATTACTTATATTTGGATATGCTTTACATGCTAAGGTATATTACAACTCTTATTCTGTATTATACAGGCTCATGGTTTCTTGGCGGGTTCGTGGGTAGCTTGTGATAGGCCTGTGACCCCTGCACAGTTTTTAGTTAGCAGAGAGTAGGCAGTCACTTGACATAAAGATGAAGATAACACCTATTCACTACTATGTATCTGATTGCTTACTCCACACTATAAGCCATCTCAAAATCCCATCGACACCGCCGCCAGATGATGAAATCAACTTTCCTACCCTTCCTGTATCTTTATGCTGCTGCACTAGCTGTCCTTGCTAATACTAAACCCGCGCAGTAAAAATCTCTCGTCTGTGTGGACGCTATGTTCAAACAAGACAAGGTCTATGGTCACAGTGATGCTATATACGACCCGGTGCCAAAAGAAGACCAGCTATTCAGCATCGAGTTCCTTGAGATTGCCCCGACGCCTATTCTCTCGTAAGATCCCCTCCTTGATGTGCCGCTTAATGATAACGTTTTGAAATCCTAAAGTGACCGCTTCTTTTTCGCCTTCCTTCGCGGCGATCTACCTGAATCTAAAAAGAAGGAGCTAGCACTTCCTGATGAGGGCCTCATCGATGCGACCCTCTCTTTGAGCGGCTCTGTCGTTTACGCGGATGGTAGCTACGATGACTCAGAGTCCCTTATATTGCCGTTTAAGACTGCGACATTCAATGACTGGACCCACCTCACCATTCGCGATGCCTGTGGAACTCAGGTTGACTACTTATGTAGTAGCGGCCGCAGCGACATATTACTAGATTTCCAGATTCCTTCAATGTTTGTGAGGAGCGGTATGTGGACTTTCAATGTTGACGCGAGACTTGGAGATAAAGACAATACGTGTCTATTTGCTATATCGGTGGCGCAATGGTTAGACGGGGGGCTTCGGTGATAAAGACATACATGCATATTTGCTATGTCGGTGATGCAATGGTTAGACGGGAGCTTTGAGAAGTACTATTAAGATCGAGAGCAACGTACCCCTTGCTTTACTTTGAAACGATCTCCCCGGTATTTGATGACTTGCCAGAATATTTGGATCTTTTGCAGCAGAAACTACGGCACTGTTGAGTAGTGCCACTTTAGAGGCGGCAATATAGTCAGTAGGAGGGTCGGAGATCAAAGCATGGTCTGAGAACTTGAGATTAAGCTCACTAATTGCATTGCAGTCCTTGGCTCCTTGCTGCATTTAAATGGGTGAATGAATTGTCTCCCAGGTCAAGTTCGCAAGGCGCGCGGCTATCTAAAACTTGTGGAACGAGGTTCATTGGTTTGGGCCAACGATGCCACACAATCACACAGAACACAAACTAAACCACAAGGCAGACTCACAGGCCCTCTCTATTGACCCGTTAGCATTAATACGTACTCACGAGTTTCAACCAAAATTGGTTAATGTTCCCTTAAGATTATCTCCAAAACAGTTAACCAGGTAAGACATGTTGAAGCTATAGAGAAATGTGCTAGCTAGAACAGGTTGCTTTTGGCGCATGATGCTCCTCAGTGGCTTACGGGGTCGTGCCTGCCACCGACGCCTCAAGGAAGGAGGTGAACGAGGCCTGAGACATGATGTTGGTCTTACTCCTGTCGTGGGCGTGACCGTGATTATAACGGTGGTGGACCTGCGGTGCCCATGAAGTACACCACGGTGCCGCTCAAGAGACGGGAAGGAATTATGAATCAAAGTCCAAATAGTGTCTATTTCTTTTGTTAACTACATTCCTCCTGCCGAGCTACACTCATGCGTGCTAGTAACTGAACTATGCCATTGGAAAACGACTCCACAATATCAATAAGAGCTATAAACATACCACATATGAAAACTGTCCTAGGAAGGAGGCATTATTGCCTTCCATGTCAAAACATACTGCAAACAGATGCTCTACTACTGATCATCAGCCAACCCCACCATTCTCAACGAGTCCTTCCAGAGTCGGCCTTCGCTCTCCATGTCGTAGGTGTGGCTGGTATAGCTCGCTCCTGAAATATTGCCATCATCGTTTCCACGCTTTGCCTCAGCACAATCAACGAGATACCTGCCCCCCTTATTCTCCCACTCCTTGCCAATAGCAGCCCACACCGTGGTCGCCGCACCTTGCTCCGGGCTCTTCAAGCTCTTGACTAGGGCCTTGTCTTCTAAGATTGCCGCAACCTCCGCGTCGGGAATGTGCTTCGAAAGACCAGTTAAAATTCCCCCAGGATGAACGCTCGTTGCGTGGAGCCCGAGAGAGCCGTAGCGGCGCTCAATCTCGTTAGCCATGTATACGTTGGCGGTTTTCGATTGCGCGTATGCTACCCAGGGGTCGTAGCCCCCTTTTTCGAAGTTGTAATTGTCCGATGCATTGATGCCGTTTCGACGGTGAGCGGCTGAGGACACATTAACAACCCGAGAATGGAAATCGGGGGTCGAGGCGGTCAGGAGTGCTGGCTTCAACAGTTGGAAAAGCAGGAAATGAGAGAGGTGGTTAGTGCCGAACTGCAACTCGTAGCCATCCTTGGTGAATTCCAGATGTGGCACTGCCATGATTCCAGCGTTGTTGATCAGGATATTGACCTTGTCGGTCTTTGCGAGAATTGTCTTCGCAGCGGCACGTACGCTTTCGAAGGATTCTAGATCCATTTCGATGAATTCCGTACGGCCTGCCTCGGCAATGTCGGCCAAGGCAGCTTTGGCTTTGGGGACATTTCGAGCTGTCAAGTAGAGCGTCGCTCCGGTGGCGAACAGAGCGCGCGCCGTTTCAATACCAAGGCCGGAGGAGGTTCCGGTGATGACAATCACCTTGCCCTCTAACTTGCCTTCCATTCCTTCATCTTTGACCACTTGCAACGCTGTTGGTCGAGAGTCGCCTGGTCCCTGGGGACTAAGGTGAGCTGCCGCGTATCGTGACATCTTATGGCAGCGGATGTGGCTGGGATTGATGTGGAATGAACAATGGAGGAAACCGTGAAAACAACGACGCTTGTGCTGATAGAGGAAAAGTGAAGGGAGGAAACTGTGCATTTATATTATTTGCATGTCATTGCATTCTGTCTCTTCTACTACCTAGAGCAGAGAGCTTTGAAGTTAGCTGACTAGTTTTCCCTCTTTCGATCTATTCAAGAAAGTGGTGATGCACTAAGCCTTAGAATGACTTCTCTCACCTTACTTTCAAAATTGGATATATGGGGCCAGCTGACTATTTTCACCTATTTTAGTGAGGATATGTTAGCCTCTAGAAAAACGTCATTGTCTTCTAGCCAGCTATTCCTCTGGCTTAAAAAGTTGAATATATGGTACTGGCTGACTACTTTTACCTCTTTTAGGCTAATCTAATAAAGTGGCGATATGCTAGGATGAACTCTCATCTTACTTTTAATTGGATACGTAGGCTTGGCTGACTACGTTTTGGCTCTTTGGGAGTAATTCACCAATGCGATGATCCGATCCATGGCTCTACCTCCCAACTTTCCTCAGTTGCCGTTCAATATGTGGGGCTGGCTGGCTGACAGATTTTGCCTCTTTGGTCGATAGCTTTTACATGCATCTAGATACAACTATCCTTGCCTTGCGTCGTCTAGAAGCTGACTATAATTTCCTCTTTCATCTGTGTCAAGCTCCCAAACATGGATCCTGAAAGGAATTGTGAGGACTGGACAAGCATCGAAGATAGGAAGCAGCGGAAGAAAGTCCAAAATCGGATAAACCAAAGAGCTCATAGTAAGCACGCCGCCATCTACGAATCTTACTCTGTTCTATCTTTGATTCGTTTAGTTAACTGAGTGCATTAGGAAGACGAGTCAGCGAGAAAAAAGCCCAAGATCCGAAATCTGGACGCCGCCCGTTCCGAGTGGATCGTTGGCGAATTGCAAACGCCAAACCCTCCCAACCTAGCGACACCCAACAAACCTCGACAAACGCGTTGGCAATTCGAACTTCCGGAAGAGCAGTTCATTTAGCACCTGTGTCTGGACATTCTCACCCAAGGTCAAGGCTAGCTGTTGTTTCTGCGGAGTCTGACAGGTCACCCAACGTCCAATTTCCTCTTCCTGCCGACCATTTACTACATCTTATCCACTACAATGTATATCGAGCACTTGCTTCCAATAAAGACGTCTTGAAGCATTTCACGAGAATAGTCACCCCAAGTGATGCTGTTGACAATCTGCAATCCGGCAGACGACTTTGCGGTGGTCCCACGATCATCCACCCCCTCTCAACGGGCCTTCCAGGCTCACTCTTTCCGACACGTTTACAGATGGTTCATCCGCACTCTAACTGGATTGACATGCTTCCTTTCCCCCAAATCCGGGATAATTTGATCCAATGCGAGGGCTATGTTGACGTTGTCGACTTTCTGAGGGATCTTTTTGGAGATATGGTGAACGATAGTCTATCTATCACGCCAGGAGCATGTGAATCCTTGCCTGCATCTGCCCAAATGCTACTTCAAGGGGAAGATGACGACATGGTTACCGCTGGTCGCAGAGGGTTGATTGTATGGGGGGAGCCGTACGTGAAAGAGAGCTGGGAGGCTACTCCGGGATTCCTCAAGAAATGGGCATGCCTGTTAAAGGGCTGCGAGGAGTTGATTGAAATAAGCAATCGCTGGAGGGCAATAAGGGGAGAAGACCCCATTATTCTAATTAATTGATTGATTTGCCGTCTCTTTTGTATGCTAACAGTATGCGATTGATTAAGATTATGACTGTTGTAGTTCCTATCGTCCTTCGAGTGAATGTGAGAGTCCATCCGTATGATCACTGCCAGGACCAAGATGCAACCAAGGAAGCAGGTCCATAGAGTTCAATCTTTTGTACACAATACAGTATCTTCATTCTCGCATGTTAGCAGTGGACAAATACTTTGACTTAATGGACATATAGCATAGTCGTAACTTTTTTTTAAAATATCGTTGTAAAGCAACCTCGGCGCTATTCCACGGTCATTACAATGCGAGTTTTCAATTTGATAATCACATACATCAACTCTCATTGTCAGATAGGAAGATGCCTCTACTTCTGCCTAAGACCATGGTTATAATATATATACACATATATATACCATCCTGCACTATCCTTGATCAAGCGTGGTGGGGACGGACGCTAAGTGGAATGATCACCCATAGATTCCACGACCCGAATCCCCTCATTTTGATCCCGGTACCGTCAATTTGGATCAGGTTGGCCGTCATCCAGTACCATGAGTCAGCTTGGAACTGAGTAAGTCCTCCCACAGGGACATCTACGAATCCTTGTGGGGTCGACTGTAAACCTCGAAGCTGACGAAGACTGCCACTAGCTTCCCCGCAATCCGCGCGTGCATTTTCGACCTAGACGGACTCCTCATCAACTCCGAGGACATAATCACTCAATCCACCAACCGACTTCTTGAAAAGTATGGAAGGCCTGCATTTACTCCATCGATTCGGGCCCAGCTCATGGGCGTCCCCGACTCAACAAACAGCGACCTGTTCCACAACTGGGCCAAGTTGCCCCTCTCCCGCGAGCAATTCGCCCGTGAATTAAGGGAAGAAATGCACCTGCAGTTCCTCAACTGTGAACCGCTCCCTGGCGCGGAGAAGCTTCTAACGAACCTCCGTCGTGCACGTAGCGCTTCTGGGGACCAGTTCGAACTGGCATTGGCATCCAGCACCAAGAGCCATACCTTCGAACTGAAAATTTCCAGACCGGAAACTAAGCAGCTGCTCAGCTTTTTCCCGCCTGAGAGGCGAGTTCTAGGTGATGACCCGCGGGTGCGACAGGGTCGAGGGAAGCCAGCGCCGGATATATATCTCGTCGCGCTGCAGGCGTTGAACTCTGCAGCAAATTCTTGCGGGAAACCCATCTTGCCAAGCGAATGTTTGGTCTTTGAAGATAGCGTGGCCGGGGTAGAGGCTGGAAGACGGGCTGGGATGAGGGTTGTTTGGGTACCGCATCCGGATGTGGCGGTCGAGTATCAAGAGAGGCAGAAGGAGGTGCTGGCTGGGAGGACGGGGATGAGCGAAATTGGAGATGAGTGGCAGCTAGGAGAGATTGATGACGGCTGGGCTGAATGCATCCCGAGTTTGGATCACTTTGATTACGAGAAGTACGGCATCATTGTACCATCCTAGGCAAGCTTATTGGTCCTTCACGGAATGATCGCGGGACATGATATGGGGTGAAGAGTCCATCTACACTATTGATGTATATGAAATGTCCATTATAGATAGCATAGGGATGTATGTGCCGAGGCCTGAACGCTTCCAGAATCTACTATCTGACTATATCTCCTCTCTACGTGGGACGAACAGTTGCTTTCATATAGAGATAACAATCCTTTTGATGTAACAGCTTCATTGTTTCTGATAATAATTTAACTTTCAATAACTCTGGGACAGCATATTTTACTGGTATTCAACGTCACAGCGAGGAAAGAGATAGCTGAATGCGGAAATTCCACGTAACCTAAAATGAAATACTCTGCCGCCTCTCCCGATCTGAATCATCCTCTGCACATATGGCCCGCGGTTAAAAGGTTGTTTGAAGTTATACCGCGTAGTTCTCCCATCCTGATACTGGTTTGCGCCCTGCGCCAGTTTCAACGCTCCCATCCACCATACTCAGCATCCCATACTCGACTAGTGTTTCGCATATAACATTTCCAATCACCACTCCACTTACCTTTAGAGCTCTTTTTTGGAGGACCGTTCCGGCTAGGGCAATAGATTAGGCCTTTAACTCTCGTAATTCCGATTATCGTCTATGGCTTGGAGTCTGGCTAGTCTGTAGAATATCCAATCTCAAGACCCGTTTGTGTAAAATCTGCTGACTGACAAGAATAACTACTCTGGTGCTGGAATGATGAGGCAAGTGTACTCAGTAAACATTGGAAGGCAAGTAGGTACCATCCTTTAATTGGTCTCCAGTGCTAACGTAGAAATATAAAGTGGCGTATCTCGACATCTAGTCATGCTGTTGGTTGCTGTAAGAATACATTGGGCTACGTATGCACTAGTCTAGACAATCAATAACATGATCATACATTTTTTTCATTATCCTTAATAAGACATACGTCTGGGATCATAGTGCTGCTGTATTATGGTTATTACACTTTGCAGCGGATGGTGAGGTCATCCAACTCTAGTAAGCTGCAAGCGCGTCAGACCCTTCTAATGTCAATGACATAGGCTCATATGGACTCCGTCTAGACTACCTGCACCATATGATATAAAGCATCAACTTCGCTCAGCCAGTTGTCAAGTAAATAAACAACCACACGAGAACTCTAATTTACAATTAAGAGTGTACATCACCTATACCAAGACGTCGTGAGTCCGCACCTTCATGTAATTCTTCATGTTCCTGCTTATCATAACATGGGATACTCTTATGAAACAGATGCCCGCTACACAAGGAAGAATGGAAGGCTCTGGCCACAGCCTCAAGGGCCGATTTGTAGTTGAGGGCGTCCCGCACAGTCTCGACTTATACGTTACCAGTGAACTTCCACCCTTTTGAGGTCCCCAATGCCACGGTGACTTACGACTCGCCCGAAAAATTGCTGGGCCCTGAGACGCTTCAACCTAATTCAGAGGCTAAAGGATCCGAGATTGCTTTGTATCTGATGGGTCCATCAGGTCCTCAATCTATTATGGGTAAGGTTGAGCCGCCACTGCCAGAGGAGTTGCATATCTCTGGCCAGGGCGCTTGGCGAATCACTTAAGATGATGATGACGACTAAAGAAAAGTCTACTGTCCTCATTAGCACCTCACTCTTTGTCCAGTGCCCTATTATCTCTTTGTATACTAGGGTCCACGAGCAAATAAGCAATTCAATCTACTGGATGATATATTCGAGGGTACAGTAAGTAAAGAGCCCTGCCTTGGGAATAAGATGGTCTGAGCTCTTAGATACCCCCGCGCTGAGTATGTAGACCACCTGTCGATATAAGCGCTTCATAGAAATGCGGCCTGAATGACCCTGTATTTTGCGCCAAAGCTCATGAGGGAGTTCACTATATGGCTAATATAAGCAACCTTCCCTGCGATGCGGTTGGCTGGACGGGGACTAATATGGTGATTCAGTGCAGATTTGGCTAATGTTTAATATGCATGAGCTTCATTGGAGTTGACTTTGAAATCAAACTCTTCTAGCCCTCTCCAGTGTCTAATAAGCTATGCGTTTACCTATGTAATAGTCCCGCGTGGGCCTTGGGTCCCTTGAAAAGATCCCATCATCTTATTAACCTAAAAACCTAACCTCCTGTCTTATCCTCCTTCCCCCCTAGTTCGAGTTGTATTCGTCCTGAGTAGGTTTGTTTATGACCAGATTGGTCCGTTTTGTGGAACGACTGTATGTTCCTCCACGGCACGGGATGAGGGGTGCGAATCTAGCAGCTTTATTGATGCAAATGAATGTAGATGTAGATAATAGCCATTATACATACCATCGAGATGGGAGCATATATCGAGGCTGGAAAATTTACATAAATTACAATCTGTCTATGACGTAGCGTACATTGGAGCCTAATCATATTATGTGGCTGTCTATCCTGTCAGACCTTGAGTTCGCAAGCTATGGACGTTCATCCCCAGGCAAGCTCCTGCCAACCATCACCGGAATGATATTGATACTCGCAATGACTTTCAATAGGACACTATATATACCAAACCCTATCTCCTTTCTAGCACATACGACCATAGGGTGTGGAAAACAGGGCTTCCCGTCCGCTCAGCCGTACTTAAGCCACACGCCGGCCGGTTAGTAGTTGGGTGGGTGACCACCAGCGAATCCCGGCTGTTGTATGTTTTTCTGCTTTTTTTGATGTCTATCTGCTTTAGTCATTATTACTGAGATCGGTTTGCTATCTGTCTGAGTCTTCACTGACCAACTCTCCTGGCTGAAATGTCTCTGCCCTCTTGACAGTCCTTGTTGCTGCGCAGTGGCTTTTCTTCCCCCTTCCTTATAGCCACACCGTATTTTATTTAGTACGATCTTTAACTGCCGAAAATTCTTGAAATCCTTGACGGCTAATAATAGCAGAATAACTCTGCATGACAGCACCAACCAAAAGAAAGACTTTCTTAGGCAAGGACTGCTTCACCGCCTCCCCCCCCTCCGTTTGCTTGAGAGAATACCTGTCCTGTCCTATCCACCACATCATTCATTCATTCTCTGCCCTTGTTCGCTGTTTTAGATCCCTAGCGTGATGAATGAAACTGGACAGACATCCGCCTTGGTCAAAAGGCTCCACCGTGACCTCGCCCAGAAATATCAACTTCATGGATCGCGAATTGAACAGATATGGCGCTCCTGGGACAAGAGCCGACGAGATAAAGCTGTGAAGGCTGGCGCTGTTAGAGGGAAAGTGCTAGCACACCCGACAGATCAAACCATGGGCAACATGTATAAAGTTATACCGGAGTGGAATTTACGGGACCTCACACAGCCGGAGTCGGACTATCTCCTCGATCATTTGAAGCATCGCGCGACTAAATCTCTCTCAGATCAGTATCATGAGGGAGTCCATGGCTCACCAGGTGATCATGCATTCATTCTGGAGAGCATGCGTGTCAATCATCTGCGCCATGTGAACCCCTTCCGAAACAGTTTCACGTTATTCATCGAGGAAGATCAATATGGACAGTCCTATGACGTTACAGACTCTGCCAAGTACAGAGAAATGATGACCGGGCTATCAACAGCTGTGAATGCTGGGCTCTGCGTTCCCCGGTCGACGGGTGAGCTTATTCTGCAGAGACAGATGTATCTTTTGCAGGCGCTGAATGTCCTGGTCGGGGACATACTCGAGGACGGGTCGATATAGAGGCAGAAGACATCCACGCGACCCGAGAAGGCAGAGATATCGGGTAAGGATTGGCGAGGTATCGACAATTTCATTTCCATGGCACCCCGAAATGGATCCATTCTTGGAAGTCGAGTAGGGACCCGCGTTTTCGAATGCCGTCCTGTATCTGTGAGCATAGTTTTACTAGTGCGATGAGGACAGAGTTACAATATGAAATTGAAATGAAAAATGATCATCGTAACGTTCTGCTACATCGTGTCCACGTCCACTGCCCTTCTCTGGTTCTCCTCGGCTGAAGCAACCCAATTACTAGTAGCAGAAGCCATGCATTGAAACTAGCAATGCCGTCGCAGCGAATCCGAGACTGATGAGCATCCTGTCTCAGACCATGGTGAACAAGGTGTCCATGATGTTGAGGCCGTGACCAGGACATGGTCGATGGCGTCGTTGATTGCTCTCTTTGGTGACTAGGTGCTCGACTTGACGGTTGGCGTTCCCTTTTTCTGAACCAATCTCTGATTCAATACGGTCCACCATAGCATCAGTTCCTACACTACGTCAGTGCGCTCCTATCGCAGGTTCTTTTCAACGTGCCCTCGCATGTCACTATGACTGAGAACCCCATGCGCTCTTTTGCCCTTGAATGTGACGGGAAGGTATAATCCGTACAGCTGGCCGCCGCATTGAAATGAGGAGCATCCACTTCCTAGGAACTTTGAACGGCTAAGCTATAGATTCTGGAATTCTCAATTAACATTGATATTATCTATAAACCAAATAGTACACTGTGAACTGCCTTTGTTCAGCCAGGAACCTCTCTATAACCTCTTCCTCTAGATACAGTGCCACATCCACCCTATTATCATTAACACCTAATTCCATAACCAGTACTTCCCCACCTAGCTTAGGCAAAATAGCATGCACATACTGCAGATAGTTTCCATCACCTATAAAATCTACTTTAACCACTTTCAGTCGTAGCCAGGACGTTACAAGGACATATCGGGATCCCAAGAATGCCTGCCACAGCCGCTGCGGGGAGATCTCATACGCGTGTGTAGAGGTACTTAGCTGGGGAGGAGATGAATATGCTTGGACTGGAGATGCCGAGGTTCGGGTGGGATTGGGTTGGTTAACCACTAACCCTATATTGTATACAATGTATATTTGACCTGTTACTGCATGATAATGATTGCAGTCCTGAACAGTCTAGGTGCTCCAGGGACGATCTATACGAACAAATGTATATACACTATCGTATGATCTTAAATGTTCAGTTGGGAGAGGGTTCTTGATGGGAGTAGTTTGCATCTAATGGCAACTTACTTTTTACTTTCATATTAACATCTAATCCATTAACACTATTTAAATATATCCTTCATTCCATTTTCACGACTAAAGCTACCTTGCCTAGTGACAGACTGATGTCCTATATCCCCTCTACGGCGCGTAGGCAGGATAATGATTAGAAAAATCCTATGCTGCGCGTTCCTATTGTTGTGATTTCAGGGGAATTGACATCAAAAGAGAGAACTAAGCCATTGGATTGGATGAGCGTACTTAGAATACAAAATTCATCTGTGAGAGGCACATTATATAGGCGAGGAGCTAGCTGATCCTTCGGATCCTTCGGGGCTGACCTCAGATTCATAACACCTATAATAGGAAGGGGATCTATACAGCACTTACGCACTGTACTTTTAAAGATTGTATAGCACCAGTAGGGCTGGAATGGAATAAGGGTTCCTTCGAAAAGACTTTTTGTATCCGAATATTCGATAAATATTGGAAAACCTGCCAAGAATCTGCTGTATGATCTGGTTTGCTAACGCCTGTGAATTTCTTATCGTGGCATTGTCATGTAATCATGGTTTACTACATTGCTCTCTCCAATATAGACTGCAACAGAAAACATGCCATATTCCTATTGTATTTTACCGAGATGAGTGATAGCAATATCCCCTTCATACCTAAAATGGATGACAGCTCCTCTCACATTCCCAGATGCTCTGGGTGATCGCCGAGGATTAACTCACATTAATGAATGTGCCTTATTCAACTCACTACAGCCGCGGAGCTCAACAGCTTATAATTTTCCGCCCAGTACCATGGTGGCGCCTCATATGTTAAGTTCCTTCGTTTCTTTTCCGAATATGACAATTCTACCTTAGAGTATGTGACGACATCATGGTAGATAGGGTCCTGATATTAGTGGCTGGCTACATTGGCATTATCGACTGGGAGTCCTACAATAACAAATTTAACTACGTAGTCAACTCAGCAATGAAGAATTTCCAAAACCTTGACTAGCAGAGGTCAAAGATCTTTGGCCCCGTATGAAAGTAATTCTCAAGCTCCATTCCTCTCATTCATAATAGCCTTCATAATAATATCGCAGTTTGGCTTTGTAGCCCAAGGATCAACACTTATCTCTAATCCTGTGAGTGTGATGTTGGCAGACATCGATCAGGTGGAATACAAAGGCCAGGGCGTAGTGTTTCTCATTCTAATACCCTCCTTTGAGAACTTAAGTATTTTCGATTGAAACAGTCTTGCAAGGGAAACACTCGAGACTGGGGATGAAGTATGGATATAGTCCCAATAGAGTAAGAGTTCGTACTGCCTAATGCCAATGACGTCACTCTTTAGGGCTACCTTAATATATTCTGCCAGGCAATACGGGGCAAATCCGAGACTCATACTAGTACTCAGTTCGCACTCATCATCGTGCTGATTCGTCAGCTAAACGAGGCTGCTCCGGTAGCCTGTAGCCTGCTCTTGTCCATCTGATTTGGAGATTTCTTGTGACTTTCAGATGACGGGCTTATGGACGTAGCAATTATGTGATCTATACTTAGGCTGTGCTCGTATTCTCTCGCTTAGATGGACTCGGGAGTTCAGAATACTATGTCTATTACAATTCGTTCCAACTCGTATCCACTGGAAGCTATCGGTATCAACCACGCAGGTGCATGGTAAGAAGGATAGATACTAAAAGTAACCTCGTTCCAAGCCATMCAGCGCCTAATGGCCTATAGTATAATGTCTCGAGTCTACCGCGCCAACTTGCCCAGAAGCGTCTCGCACAACGCCGTCAGAGTCCTAGCACCCACAATCTCCAACGCACTAACCTCGATCTCCAACTGTTGACGGACCCAATTCCTCAACTCGACTGCGACCAGCGAGTCAACCCCGTAATTGCTGAGCGGGCGCGTAGGATCCAACGGCTCCCCAACACCCAAACTGCGCATTAAGACAGGATTCACCAGCTCCACGGCGGCAGCGAGTAAAATGGCATGGTCAGTGTCGCCCGATGAGCCCTTCTTCAGAAGCGTCAGCTTGGATTTCGATTCGGCGTCGACGCCGCCGCTGGTCTTGGCGGTATTACGGCCGGCTAGGGCGCTGAACCGGTGAACGGGCTCGAAGGGAGTCTCGCCGGGCACAATCGCTGTGATGAGTTGTCCGGTGTGGGATGGGTTCAGACGGTGCGTCTGCTGGAGGATACTGATGCGCAGGATTTGATGGAGCAGGGCCTCGTGGATGGGGGTCCAGCCGCGAGTTTCGAAGATGCGATTGAGCATCGTACCCTGGTCGTCGTTGGCGAGGTAGCCGACATCGTCGATGGGACCGAGATTGATCGAGCAGGCTGGAAGACCCTGCTGCAGCCGGTACGCGGCGAAGCAGTCGAGGAAGGTGTTGCCCGCGGCGTAGTTGGCCTGTCCGAGCTGTCCTACTAAACCGCTCACGCTGGAGAGGAGGGTGAAGAAATCCAGGGATGTCGATTGTTCGAGCGCCGCCTGATGCAGGTTCCAAGTTCCGGCTACTTTGGGTGCGATGGGCTGTCGGAACTCGTCGGGCGTCATGCTCGAGAACATGCGGTCGCGCAGGACCATTGCGCCTTGAATCACGCCGATGACAGGTAAAGAGGCGGAGGTAAAGGCACGGTGGACGTCGTCAATGGACGTGATATCCCCTGTTACCTGATCGACATGGCATCCCAGGCATTGGCAGTCGTAGATTATCTTTTGCGATCGCGCGTCCTCGTACCCGCTGCGACAGATGACAACCAAATTCCTTGCTCCATGCCGCGCCAGGTAGACTGCGATGCTTCCGCAGAGACCCTTGAGTCCACCGGCTATAAGGTATGAGCCATCTGGGCGCAGGCGGAAGGCAGGTGCTGCTGGCCGGAAGGGTAGAGGTACGGTCTTGCTCTGCTCGAAGGAGAGGACTACCTTGCCAATGTGCTTCCCTCGCTGCATGTACCTGAACGCGTCCACAGTCTCGGTAAAAGGGAAAGTTGCACCGATGTGCAGTGGTTTAATATGGCGTTGTCTCACCAGGTCCATGATGTAGACTCCTGTTTGGTAGGTGGTCTCATCGCTGATGCTCTTTCGCGAGAGGTCCAGGGCACGGTAGGAGCAGTTGCGGTCAAATGGCTCCATGGAGAGGCTGTTTCGATCGAGCATGTCCTTCTTTCCGATCTCGACGAGCATGCCGTTCTCGGCGATACATCTCCAGCTCTCGTGCAGCATGTCTCCGGTCAGGGAGTTGAGACAGACATCGACCCCGCGGCCGTTGGTCGCCCGCATCAGTTCTTTCGCAAAGGCCGTGCTGCGAGAAGAGAACATGCGGTCTCGCCGCACTCCGTACTGCTCGGCCAAAAAGTCCCGTTTTGCATCCGTGCCCACTGTCACGAAGATCTCTGCCCCGAGATAGTGGCACAGCTCGATGGCAGCCAGGCCGACTCCACCCGACGCGGAATGGATCAGGACAGACTGTCCCTTTTGAAGGTTGGCCAACGTGACGAGGCCGTAGACGGCTGTGTGCACTGCAATTCCGAGGGTTGTGCCTGCTTCGAACGAGACCCAGTCGGGCAGGGGGTGAACGGCATGCCAGCGGTTTCTCACCCTGTTGGCGAAACAGCCTCCATCTCGCCGGACCATGAGCACTCGATCTCCCGGTTTGACAGTGGGTACAGCGTCCCCAATGGCAGTGACGATTCCAGTACATTCTAAGCC